TTTCATATGTTTTTGAAGTATTTAAATTTTATCTAAAATGTTTTCTAAGCAAATTAATTTGTTTTATAATACATACCTGGGTGTTCCCTCAATATCTCGAATTTGTTCAAAATCACGCGCCCACCATTGCTGTCCCACAGTGCACTACGCACCGCTGTGTACAAACAGACCTAAAGGTCGTTTAGTATTAAAATTTCAAAGTGAAATGAGAATGACAAGTTCACTGTTATTATAAAGTTAATTTTTTTTTTACATGTAATTCATCAAACGTGAATGTTTTATTTTATCAATTAGATATTACATCAAAACCAAGCAATATTTTCGCGCACTTTGCAAATTTCGATTTCGCCATTTTCACCCTTCCGCGGCTAAAAACACGTCAGCCCTTCAGCGCCCTCTTAGGCCAATAAAAAACCAAGTGTTCCAAAAACTTGAATATTTTGAATGCAAAATATTTTATAAAAAGTTATATATTGTTATAACTATAATATTTATTAAAAATTTTATTTCTAAAATGAAAAAAATGAAATTCTATTTTCTATCTATGCATACAATAATGCAATTATTGGTTTAATATCATAAAATGAATTCTATAATTCAAAAATATATGTAATTAGAAAAATACCAATTAATGATTTTTTAATGAAATAATTATATTAGAATTAATTCTTCATAACAAAGATATATATTGATATAAATATCAATTAATAACATAGATTATTTTTATGTAATCAAAAGATAAAGATAATAAAGAAAAACAATTAGATAAATATTTAAATTCATTTTTTTTTCTTTATACAAATAATTTTACAACCACATCAGAAAGCAAAAATTTTGAAAATTTTATACATTCTTTTATTAATAAAAAATAATTGTAAGAATTCATAAACTATAAATTTAAATATTTAATAAAATGTTTTGTTGATTTTGGTGACTAAAATATGATGAAATTATAATAAAGAATATAATATAATATTAAATATATAATAATGTAAATTAATATTTAAAATATAATTGATATATAAGTATAATGTAAATTAATATATAAATTAATAATTAAATTAATATAATATAATATAAATAAAAAATGTATTATTTTTATTTAATTATCATATTGATGATTTATTTTTAATTCAATTATTTATAAAATAACACAGGTTATATCGAATTAAATATTTCATTAAATCTTTATGGAACACAAATTATTAAATCAGATTTATAAATGAATTCACATGATTGTATTGTACTTAATCATAAATTATTTATATAAAGTATGTAATAACATATTAATAATGATATTATATAAAGCGCCATCTCATATTATATTGTATTTTTATGCAATTATTTAATATTTATAATTCCATATTATATAAAAAAACAACATAAAATGAAATACATCATGCATTCTACAAGAATAAATAATGTATTATTATTATTATATATTATGATTTATTTTTATAAAAATATAAATATATATATATATTTTAAAATGATATAAATAAATATAAAATCTTTACTATTATTAAAAATTTGTTTTTTTTTCTATTATTATAACAATAAAATTTATTTACTTATTATGATATTTTTTTAATATTTTTTTCACTAGTAATTAATTTTTATAGTTCATGCACAAAATACACATAGCGCAAAAGTCATTTTTGGTTATTCGTGCAGAAAAGATGGTGGTGACGGCAGCTTCTGTACGTCAACAGCTCGCAAATTTAGCATATTGCGGAGGTTCTCATAAAGATCAAGCAGAAAAGTAAGCTTATAAAGTAGAATGTAAAATATATTTTTAAAACATTTCATACAAGTAGGTAATTACAGGTATCGAGCAATATTGGACTCAATACTGTTGTCATCCAGCGAAGAAGCGATGGATGCTTTGAAGATATTCATTGAAGCAAGTACGTTACTTTTTTCTTAATAGATTTTTGTTATGATATATATATATGTGTGTGTGTATGTGTTATATATATATATATATATATATATATATATAACATTATTTATTAAGTGATAGTAATTATTTATTATAAATTTGTTGTACACGTAAAATATGTATTCATGCATGTTCTGTATACAATTTATTACACTAAATATGATAACTTCATGTTTGTTTACATTATATATTTATATATAATTATATTTCTAAAAATGATTTAAATATTTGTTATTTTTATAATTTGTAATAAAGTTTTATATTTACAATTTAATGTTATTTTTAATATTTTTTAAATAATATAACAATAAATGTTTATTTTATAGTTGTAAATGAATATGTAAGTTTGGTCATTTCAAGACAAGTTTTAACAGATGTTAGCAATCGATTATTACTTTTACCTGATGAAGTGTCAATGGCTATTTCACATTATACATTAGATAAGGTAAATATTTTTATTGATTTGAAATATATTTAATTTATAACTTTTATAATATAAACTATAATCTAATAAGTTATTAATTTTTCAGATTCAACCAAGAGTTATTTCATTTGAAGAACAAGTCGCTAGTATAAGACAACATTTAGCAAAAATTTATGAACGTAATCAAAATTGGAGAGAAGCAGCTAATGTTTTAGTTGGAATACCATTAGAAACAGGACAAAAGTAGATATAAAAATTGTTATTTCATTATATTAACTTAATCAAAATTCTTGATTAATCAATATTATTGTTTTAATATTTATCTTTCAGGCAATATACAGTTGATTACAAACTCGAAACTTATCTTAAAATTGCAAGATTGTATTTAGAAGATGATGATCCAGTCCAAGCTGAAGCATTTATTAATAGGGCATCTCTTTTACAAGTATATAAGAACCTGAATAATTATATATTATATTAAGCAATTAAGTATTAAATTTATATATTATATCCTTTTTTATATAATTTTTATATTATAATTCTTTTAGGCTGAATCAAAAAATGAACAGTTACAAATTTACTATAAAGTTTGTTATGCAAGAGTATTAGATTATAGAAGAAAATTTATAGAAGCTGCTCAAAGATATAATGAATTATCATATCGATCTATTATACATGAAGATGAACGTATGACTGCACTTAGAAATGCATTAATTTGTACAGTATTAGCTTCTGCAGGTAAGCTTTTATATTTTTTAAATAACAAAAAATATATATTTTAAATATATATCGTTATAATATTAGGTCAACAAAGAAGTCGAATGTTAGCTACATTATTTAAAGATGAGCGCTGTCAGCAACTTCCTGCTTATTCAATTCTTGAAAAAATGTATCTAGATCGTATTATTCGACGTTCCGAATTACAAGAATTTGAAGCCTTATTACAACCACATCAGAAAGCAAGTACGATCGATGGATTAGGGTCAACTATTCTTGATCGTGCCGTTATAGAACATAACTTATTATCTGCTAGTAAATTGTATAATAATATAACTTTTGAAGAATTGGGTGCTTTGTTGGAAATTCCACCGACAAAAGCAGAAAAAATTGCTAGCCAAATGATCACAGAAGGTCGAATGAATGGTTATATCGATCAAATCGATTCTATTGTACATTTTGAAAGTAAGTTAAAAGCAATAAATCGGTTATTAAATGTCATATATTTAGTACAAATATCTTTTATCAATAATTTATTTTTAAATAGCACGCGAAACTTTACCAACGTGGGATAAACAAATACAATCTCTTTGCTATCAAGTAAATCAAATAATAGAAAAAATTGCTCAAACTGAACCTGAATGGATAGCAAAAGCCATGGAAGATCAGATGGTACATTAATATAAATTTTTTTTTAATATTAACAATATACATACAAGATCGAAACAAAAATATCAGATAAATATTTGATACATACACAATTAAAAATATATTTGAAGGCAATAAAGATTGTTACTATAACTCTATAGTGATGCTTATGCATTACAAATGAATCATTAATTTTATGTATGTTAATATGCATGAAATCAATTTTTATATGATCAATAAATAAATTTTAATTTTTCATAATATAAACAAAAAAATTAGATTTCATCATTATAGTTACTTTATTATTTATAAAATTCAAAAATAAAATAAATATAAAATATAGAAAAAAATTTTTATTGATAAAAAACACTTAAAGTCATTTGTTTAACATTCACCTACAATTGTTATAACTTCACGCAAAGCATATTCCAATTAAAGGAATATTGTAATTATCTCATGTAAATAAAGCATTCACACTGCATATAAAATAAAATTTTCTTTATTTTATGAATTAATTGAAATTTAATTCAAATTTGATTGAATACTTAACAACTGTTGTATAGAAGAATAAAATTGTATGAGTACAAACCTCTTATGCATTACAAGTTTGCTACATAAAAAAAGACTGGAATTATAATTAAAAAAAGTATCTATCTTAATATATTATTTTAAAAATGTGAAATGTTTATATAAGATGTCAGACTTTAAATTATTGGAATCTTCATACTGAACATATATTTCATAATAGGTTTCAACCCTAAAATAGTTACATCGGCAGTATTATTTTATATTAATTACAGAGGCAGAAATGAATCATTTTGTAAAAGAAAAGTAATTGTATTTTATATTTGACATTATTTAATTTCAAGTCCCTGTATGTAATTATTTATTTAATATAATATTAAGTGCAAGTATTTTTACAATAAATTCGATTATTAAAACTATTTATAGCTACCAAATGTATCATGTATGTGCAGCAAATTATGTATTCTTATTTAAAAAATTGAATTTATAATTATTTTGAAACTTGATAACATTTATTATTAAATTAAAAAATATATTTGCAATAAAATTTAAAGATATTTTTTTCCTAATTTAATTTTATCCGTATTTGTAATTAATATTATTTATGTATTTATATTTTTTATAATTAAATTCAAATTAATTAATCTTTAATTTTATAAGACTGTATATTTAACAGGAACTGGTAACAGGCTGCACCAATCGAATATTATAAGAGAATTATACACAAAAAATAATACACTTCTATTTCATTTAAGAATTTATAAATCGTATTGTTCATGATAAGATATTGTTACCATACCGTTTTCATACATATTATATGTGGCATCTATTTTGGGATAAACCTATTTATGTTATAGGCAATACTTTATCTGAAGCATGTAATGTGATACTGTTTTATGACACAAAGATCATAAAATGATCCTTAAAGTGAATCAAGTCCTTTCGTGTCTGTAATCATATTTAAGCTTGAAGATCTAATGCAAGACCAATCTTATGTCCACCAGATCCAAAATTCTTTCCATCAATATTTGTAGAAAGTGTCAAAGTTACACCTAAATATTAAATTTAAATATTTATTTATAAATATATTAAATATATATTAAATATTTATTTATAAAGTAATTAAAAAAGAAAAAACAAAATATATTTTATGAATTTTAAACATTATTTACCATCACGTAATTTTTGTTGATATCCCAAACCAACTTGAAGATTAGAATTAACTTTAGCTCTAATAGATGCATCATTATCAAGATTATATTTTGTAGCAATTCCAAATTGTGTTACATTATTACTTGAATTCCATTCCAAATTAATTGCACCTTCTAATTCTGGTTTTACTTTATGATAAATGAGGCCACTAAAGTCACAGCCATTATTCCTAAATAAATCAAAATAAGATATTAAAAAATTATATTTAATTAACATATTTAAATTATTTTCTTTATAAATATTTAATGATTATACATACACTGCTGCATGAAGGGTAAAGTCTGAAGCAGTATATCCAAGTGCAAAATTGTTCTTTGTAAGTTTGTTTCTTTGTGTATCAAAACAGGCCTGATAACCAGCTAGCCAACCTACAATTTAATCAGCATTTTATAATGCAACATGTTTCATTCATTCTATTTTATTATATCACAATCTTACATCATTTTTTTCTGGAATAACAGGATACTGGGAATAAGAAAAGGAAAGATTTAAATGAATTATAAGAAATCACATGGGAACAATGACATCAAAAATATCAAATATCAACTTCTGTACTAAAAATAACAAATAATATATTACATACTATGCTAAAAATAATTTAAGTTTATATTATAAATAAAGAATATATATTCTTACCTTGATATCCTACAACAGTTGATGCATTTACCAAAGGACCAGTAGAAAGACTAAGATCAAAATCAGCAGCTGCAGACACATTATCATGTTTATAAGCTGTCTTTAATTTTCCAGTTTTCGTCCTATAATAATAAAATAATTAGATATTTTTTTGAAATAATATCATAATAATAAAAAATATAATATAAATATAATATAAATATAAATATAATTTATTTTAAGAAAATTTCAAATATTGATAAATAAGTATAAAATATTGATAAGATTAAATGATATATTTATTTTACCCAGTTTGTGGAGAAAAAGTACAGCCATAACCAAGAGTAAGACCTTTGAGCAATTTATCAGCAAAAGTAATATCAGTAGCAAGGGTATTATCAGTATTCCATTTTTCACTAAATTTTAATCCATAATCATCAATATTGTATTTAGTTTCTAAAGAACCAAATACTTTTCCAGTATCTTGATTAGATACTCCACCACTAGAAAATTCTACACCTGATTTTGTTTTTGTTTTTACATCTAATTTAATTAGACCAAAATGATATCCACTGGAAAATAAATCTCGAGCACTTTTGCCTAAATCATTATATGATGGTGGAGCCATGATCTATATAAAAGATTAAATAATTACATAAAATTATTAAAATCATTATTTTTATAACAATAATATATATATAATATTATATATAATATATGTATATTAAATATAATTATTTATTTTATTTCATTACAAATAATGAGTATATTTTTATATATAACTATATATTTTCATATATTCTATAAATGAATTTTAATTATAATTTTTAAAAAATATATTTTTAAATTATAGATAAATATATAAAATATTAAACATTAACAGATTTCTAATATAATATTATCATTTTATAAATCAATTTATAAAATTTATATTATTGATATTATAATCATAATTAAATGATTGATTAAATCTATCATAAATATGATGTATCTATAATATATTCTTTAAATAATAAAATATATGAAAAATACGATTTAATTGATCAAAAATTTTTAATAATACATAGATAATATAATATTTATTGAAAATATTATTCAATTCATATTTCGTAATATTTAATATATACATATAATAAAAAAAATAAATATCAAATTATTTAATCGATTTTTAAAAGATATATTAGAATAATAAATTATCGAATTGAATTAATAAAGTTATTGAAAAAAATAAGAAAATATACTAAGTAACAATACATTATTAATTTAACAATAATATAGAGCAAAAATGGAGTGATATTGACTTGTCTTAGTATTACATAAGGCGTAAATCAGTGATTTCCAATTCTCATAAATAATTTGAATTTCATATTATTATGCATGAAAATATGTTTGTTATAAAAAATAAAAAATTATTATTGATATCATAAAAATATAAAATATTTAAATTCATATAAATTTACAAAATTAATAAAAACGATCTCTTAAAACACTGCTAGACGACAATCGACATTATCAGCAACTCATGCCGGCTTTATGAAAAATTTTTTGTAAATTATGTATTTTGAATGTAAGAATAGAAAATCTAATTTAAAACTAACGTGTACGAATAATGTGATTCATTGATACTTACCGATGTTTTATGTTATAAGACACAAGTGCAAAAAAGTGTATGACTTCGTTTCGAAGTTGCGTACGTGAGACGATATGTGAACTAGGAGAGAAAGATGGAACCTGCGCGCAACTGAGCTTACGCCTGCGCAAATTAATTTCTAAACAAATTAGAGTCTATTTTTATATATAAATATTAATAAAATATATGTATAAAATTTTTTTATATAAAAGAAAATATTATTAGAAAATATATCTTTCATCAAATAAAATACATTTTGTTATTTAATTTTTATGTTGATTTACTTTCTAGATATTACGTAATCTTAAAGATCACCCTCATAAACATGGATTTCATACATATCCTGATCATCTGGTACCACGTATTGAACGCTAGATAAAAGATAAGAATATATCAAGAAAAAAGTATTTATCTTTTTAAAAGTTATCTAATTAAATACATATTTAATTTATATGATTATCAAGTATTAATAAATTATTAAGTAGCAATTAAAATTATTTTTTTGGTATTAAAACTTATATATATAATTTCCTTATATATAATAAATAATTTAAAAGAACAAGTTGCTGTTGAAAACTTTTATTAAATTCATGTATGCTTTAGAGATAGTAGTTACATTGTAAGTAAGTGAAATCGTTTTTTTATAATAAAAAATATATTAAATTATACAATTTTAAATTTTTGAATTAATATAGTTAAAAAGAAAAAAATATGACATAAAGCATTTTTTCACTGATTCTTTATTATAATCACCAAATTATATTCAATAATGAATTTTTATTATTTCTATATATATATATTAATTATATATATATTATTTCTAAATCTTTTAATTATAAGAAGAGAATTACAAATTAATGTTTATTATTCTAATAATTATATTTTAAATTTTCGATCATAATTCATTTCAGTTTGTCTTTAAATATATTCTACTTATAAAGTATATTCTACTCACTATTTCATCACGTAAAATATTAAAAATATGATGTAAAAATTGAAATATATTTATTTAAATATTTATATTATTTAATTATGTAAAATAGTGTTATTTTTCAATTAGTTTGTAAAAGTATTAAAAAAGCTAAAACTGCATATATATTTTTGAGTCTCAAAATAGACCGGTAGCTCGATTCAGTGTGTAGCTACAATTTCTATGCAAATCGAGACTCTTCCCGAAAGACGATGGTCATATCTAGATCATATTTTTGGCAATCTTCACGGAGTAGTATATTTTTAATAAAACGATTATATATATAAACGTCACTACTTAATTTTTAGTCTGTTTGCATCCTTTGACTTTCATAGATCGTGCGATTCGATTTGAATGCGAAGAAAGCGTGCAATATAACAAAGAAATTTGAGGAAATTGTTTTGGCATCAATATTAATTGAGTGTTAAATCAATCATGTCTCAAAAAAACTTGGTATGTATTAATTAAAAATAATTACATTGATTAAATTTCATTTTTCTATAAATTAACTTTATTTTTTTTAAATTATTTATTTTTATTATTTTATTAATTTTATTTATTGTTTTTGTAAATATATATTTTTTTTTAATTATCTATAATTTATAGATAAATTTAATTATATAGATAATTAATATATATTCGAAAATAATATATTTAGATCAGCAAATTTTTTTAAGTGTAAAATGATTATTGTTTCGTCATCAATAATTTTATTTACTCATATCACTATTTCTAACACTTGTAACTTTGCATTCAGCATATTCGAATTTCGCGTCATACTCTTATAATAGACGAAGTAGTATTCATTAATCATTTATTGCATAGTATTAAAAGATAACAAGGAAGTAATTTATAACACGAAACTGTATACAGATCTTACGAAATCGATCATATTGGTATGCTATTATAACTATAGTATAGAATATTGTTTTTCATTTATTAAATTTATTGCACAAAAATGATTTTAACGCATTTAAAAATAAAAGCAACAATTTAAAATTTGAAATTAAAAAATCAATTTTTTAATTATAAAAAAATATTGTTTTATTAATAACACTCTTTTTTATTAGGAAACATCCAATTTAATGGGTAAAAGTTCAACAACATACAAAATTCTTCAAAATGATAAAGTAGGAAGGTAGGAAATTAAATGAAATTAGATAGAAGTCATTGTAATTAAATCATTATTAGTAATAAAAAATATTTTTTGTTTGTGTAAAATGAATAATTTTAAATACAAATAATTTGAATATTATAATGGTTTAAATATTTTAAAATAATTTTTTTTAGATATATGGTAGCCAATAAGGAGTTGGAAGCAGGTGAAGAAATTATTACAGAAATGCCTTTTATAGTCGGACCAAAAGCAGCAACATATCCTTTATGTCTTTCTTGCTACGTATCATGGCCTCCAACATTGAACGAAAAACCTCTTTGCTCGAAATGCGGTTGGCCTGTTTGTTCAACAGAATGCGAGAACCAACCTCAACATAAAGATTATGAATGTCAGGTAGCGATTATGAAAATTAAAAAACAATTAGCATCTCTTGAAACTATATTTCTATATTTAACACTTGCTTTTGAATTATACATGAACATTTCCTACATGAACATAAATTAATGAGAATTAGTAATGTTTACGATGTATTACTAATTTGCGTAATATAACATAATAATTAATAAAAATACCAAAAAAGAAAAAAATGCATTAAAAATAAAAATGTAAAAATGTTAAAATATTCGTTAAAATATACAATTTACTATTTTGTATCATGAATCAAATAATAAATTATGACATTTGTACATTTTATTTGTAGATATTCGCACAAGTCAACGAGAAATTTAATGTACAAGCTGCTTTAGAAGAAACAAATGAAAATGGAGTACCACAATTAGAATGTATAACTCCATTGAGATTGCTTTTGGAATCGGAAAAAAATCCAGAAAGATGGAAGAATGAAGTGAAGGACATGGAAGCTCATAATAAAATAAGAAGCCAAAAGAAACAGTGGAAATCAGATCAAGTTAATGTTGTAGAGTATATAAGAAAACAACTTAAATTAGAGAGGTAATTATATATAATTTTTTAATAGTGTAACATAAAAAATAATATTTTTATGCGGTACATTTATCAAGTTATATTTTTTTTCTCTTATTACAGGTTCTCAGAAGAACAAATTCAAACAGCATGCGGAATCTTGGAAATTAATACTTTCGAAGTTCGAACAGCAAAAGGATTTAGCGCGAGAGCAATTTATCCTAGAGTAGCTTTAATGAATCACTCATGTATTTCTAACACTTGTCATAGCATTTCACCAACCGATTATAAGTAAAATAATGATATAAATAATTTATTAAATTATTATTATTAATTGAATAATTATTAATAATTGATATTTAAAATAATTTCCTTCGCAGAATACGATTGCGTACCACGCTCAAAATTCCTCTGGGTGGAGAACTTTACGGAAGTTATACACATTCATTACTTCCAACGATGTTGAGAAGAGAACATCTTCTCGAAGGAAAAAATTTCGCTTGTGCATGTGCAAGATGTTCAGATCCTACTGAACTTGGAACGCATATGTCTTCATTAAAATGCAATAAGTGTGATAATGGAATAGTGTTATCTTTGGATTCTTTAGGTAAATATTTTGCATAATTAAATAAGAATATAATCGATTTTAATCACACTATGCGAATAATTAATATTCTTGATTTATTATTTCAATTATAAACTTATATTATAAATAACTTTTATTATAAATATTACAGATCCAGAAAGTTCATGGAAATGTACTCATTGCGAATTTTCGACCTCAGGATCAGCCGTTCGAAAAGTATTACAAATTATACAAATGGAAGTGGATGCAGTAGAGGCCATCAGCGGTGCTGATGGAGCTGATGCTATTCAAGAAAGAGAAACAGTTGCGAAAAAGTATCGTTCAGTTTTACATCCTCGACATGCTTTTCTTACAATGTTGAGGTAAATATAATTTTAATAATTCAATTATTATAATTCAATGCGATATATAAATATGAATTAAATTGTTATTGATTATTTAATGGAGTGATTGATTTATGCATATAATGATGATATATGCCAAAATATTTTTTATATATTTATCTATTTAATTGTATCTGTTTTTTTTTTGTAGACATTCATTGACACAAATGTATGGTCGTGTGGAAGACTATCTTTTAGAAGATTTGCCAGACGTTGTATTAGAACACAAGATCGATATGTGTAAGCTATTACTTCAAGTACTCGACGTTATAGAACCTGGCTATTCTCGTATAAGAGGTAAAGATTTATAATTATCTATCACTTTTTTATTATATATTTTTATTATATATTATATATTTTAACAATAATACAATTTATAATCCTCAGATATTCATAAAACTGTAATTAAATAATTACAATTCTTAATTCTTACTAAAGGTGATATTTTATTAAAGAATTGTTATTAATATTTTATTTTTATTGATGAAAGGAATGACATTGTATGAGCTTCATGCACCCTTACTTTTTACTGCTAAAACACAATGGAATGCCGAAGTGATTGATAAAGCTGCCTTGAAATCAAAAATGATAGAAGCTTCTAAAATTTTGAAAGAAGCAGCAACGATTTTATGTTTTGAACCATCGGATACAGCGGAAGGCCAAATAGGTATCGTCGCTAAAGAATCTCTGGCTCAGCTTGAGGAATCAATCCAAAATTTATAAACTTTATTTATTGTATATCGAAGCATCATATTTATTAATAAAGATATATAACATTGAATGTATTTGTTAATAAAGATATGTAATTATATATATAGACAATTAAATATGCTTTGCTAAATCATTGTTGTATCATTATATGATTCATTTTACAAATATAAATTATCTTATGAATTTTATATTCAATTTATATTCAAGATCAAAGTAATTTACTATTACTATTAAAAAAAAATCAAATAAAGAAAATAAAATTTTATCTAATTAAAAAATTATTTTACTTTATTGCAAAAATTTAAATTTATCTTTTGTGATGTAAACAAGAGATAAACAGATCTTAGAATAATCAAAACAAACGGAAATAATATAGAATGTATATACAAATATTCATAGGAATTAATAAATATATTCAAATTTATTAACATTTAAATTTCTAAGAAAAAAGTAAAATTTATTTAAAATGGCAATGACCATGGAACATTGCAGTCTCTAATGCAATGCATTGTTTTGTCGCCAAATACCTACTCGACAAGCATGCGGCTACACTACGACTTCTAATAATAATATAGCAATCGAGAGTACGAAAGAGACACGGCTCCCGCTACAACTTCCTGTATTTCGGTGTCAGTTACGAACCATAGGAAATGTACGATATCGTCAGACTCTTACGGGTCTAAGTATCGTTAGTTTCGTATGAGATCGGTACATTTTAGTCAAGTAATTGGCGAAAATAGCTCAAGTGATATACATATAAGATGATGGAAGAAAAATCAAAAAACGTTGCAACTTCCACGTTAAAATATAAAGTTGCTTATTCAGAGAAATTAGGCAGGTACAAACATATAAATTATACAAATTATTTAACTTAATTTATTATATCTTATATTTGTTAAAGACATTGAAATAGAATCTATTAGAAAAATCTATTATTATATTAATAAATTTTTCAATTTAAATTCAATTAAAACGTAAACATTGAGCGTATAATTACCGCGCATACAAGTATATATCCTCGATTTTTGCATTATTTTTATTCTATTTTTTTTTAGAGATTTTATGATCGAATAAATTATAAACTAGATATAAATTTTATACTTCATATCACGTTATATATTTTGAAATATGTTATACAACGTTTTCTATTTTGATAAGGTATTTACAAGCGGCAAAAGATTTAAGAGCAGGAGAAGTAATACTTCGAGAAGATCCGGTTGCTGTTGGACCAATGTCTTGTATGAAAGATCCGATATGTTTCGAATGTTTGAGTGTATTACCAGATATCGAGCAAGATTTCCATTATATTTGTTCAGGATGCAATGTTGTAACTTTATGCGGTTTTTCTTGTGAGGTAAAAATATAAAAATTAAATTACTCATAATTATTTACCGCATATAAATTAAAAATCACATTAAAAATTTGTTATTATTTGATTATTGATCGTTTCAGGAACGAGCGTATTATCATTCAACGTACGAATGTGAAATTATTAAGAATAATATGGAATTGTCGATAGAAAATACAGATACTTTAGCTGCTGTATTATTTGTTTTAAGATTATGGTTATTAAAGCAAAAAGATCCAGAATTGTGGAAACAAGTCCTATCTCTAGAATCTCATCTAAATAAAAGAAGAAATACAATAGTTTGGGAAGATAGAGAAATAAATATTGTAAATGTAAGTGATATAAAAAATAATAATAAAAAAATGTGACAACATCAATTTTTAATAATAATAATATTTTTTCATTTTTTGATTTAATAATAGGTCTTAAAATCATTAAATTTTGTTCCTGAAAACGATCCATCTGTTTCGGAGATTATACAACAATTGTGCGGAATTTTAGATGTTAATTCTTTCGAGCTCAGATCTCCAGGAGGTATGGATGGACTTCTTTTACGAGGTTTATATCTGGAAGCCTCCTTGATGGCTCACGACTGCAGGGGAAATGTCCATGTAACTGCAGATGATAATTTTCATCTTACCGTATATGCTAGTATACCGATTAAAGAAGGCGACACAATTTTCTTCAATTACACTTCATCACTTTTGGTTCGTTTATTCGTCTTTATTTTCATCTTATGAAAGAATCAAAACTCTACGCATAAAATTGTAAAGAGATATTTAAAAAAATGAAAATTTCGAAACATATAGAATTTTTAAAAATTATCAAAAACTATAAAATTACACAACAATTTAAAAAAAGAATTTATTTATTTATGCGTTTCATTGATAGGGAACAACAGGTAGAAGAGAATATTTGCGCACTGGAAAATATTTTGAATGTGAATGTGATTTATGCAAAGATCCTTACGAAATGGGATCATATATGAGTTGTATTTTGTGTCCGCGATGTAGGCAGGGTTATGTAGGAATGCAAGATCCTTTAACAAAGTTTCCATATAGCAAAAATACGAAATGGCAATGCAATAAGTGTAAAAAGATCATATCAGGATGTCTTATTAAAACCTCTTTAAGTATATCAAAAAATTTGGTTGACGATGTGGATGAATACAATATTAAAGTTAGTATTAAACAAAAATCGAATGATTAATATATATTAATGAATGAACTTCAGTTTATATTTTTTATTTCTTTAATAATTTTCAAGGTAATGGAAAATTTAAAAGAGAAACTATCAAAATCTCTTCATAAGAATCATTTTTTAATGTTATCTTTGAAGCAAAAATTATTGAATGTGTATCGACAGGAAGTAACAGGGCCAAATCCGAAAAGGAAAGTTATGCGAAGTATGACATATCTATGTAGAGAAATGTACGATTTACTGGAAATAGTTGAACCAGGAATATCTCGATTGAAAGGTACTTTTAATGAAATAACTTATTCAAATCATTTGTTAATAAATATATTACTAATGTAAATAGAAGTGATAAAAAATTTGAATTCGATAACATTAAATACGTTTTAAGTTTTAATGTATCAATATTATATAGTCTATTAATGTAAAAAAATTTTTTAGGAATTATGTTATATGAAATACATTTACCATTAGCATTATTAGCGAATCGTGAATATAATGCACGGGAAATTTCTCCAGCTGAATTAGTTAAACGACTTGAAGAAGCTGGAGGTTTTTTAAAGAAATCTCTAACTATGCTTCTTTTGGAACCAGTAGATACACCAGAAGGGAAATTAGCTAAAAGAGCATTACAAGAATTAAAATCACTAAATGAAAATATAGCTGATGTTAAAAGTTTGATTAAAACTGAAACTTCTAGTAGTAATAGCAAAAAATCTCAGAAAAGTAAATCTAACAAATCTGATAATACATCTGATAATAAATCTGACAACAAATCAACAAACAAAAATAAACAAACAGAAAATAAAAATGTGTAAAAAAGAAATACCTTTTATATTAAGATTATTGATTATCATATAAAGTAATTTATATTGTTCTTTTTATAACAATGATCATAAAATAATTATCAATAATTTAAACGAAAAAGATTTTAAATAATTTTATACTATTTTAAATATTACTGTAGTGTTCAAATATATGACTATATTATTTTAATATTATTGTATAATAAATTATACTATTCTTAAATAAAATATCATTAATATTTTATTAATTATTTTTAATAGTATTGAAAAATATAAAAAATTATAAATTATTTCTTTCTTCTACAAAATTTTTTCCCTGATTAAGATTGTTCCATTTTAGTGGTTATAAACTACTGTTTTTTTAATCAATATTATGTGATATACATAATGTATATGTAAATTACATTCAAATGAAATTAAAAAAAATTAATTTAATTATTAAATGCATATATATAGTATAAGTTTTACGAACGATTTAATTTATAGTAAAAATTGATATTTTGTCCGAAATATTATAATTATTTAATTAAAACATAAAATATTAAACGTGTATACTAGTAAAAACTTAAATCTGTAAGTTTATTTATTTTTTAATATATTTGTTACTATAAATAAATAATATTCTAAAAATTTTAAAAACTTTGTGATATATACGAAATATAACCTCTATAAATAAAACAAATTATAACATAACTGTTTAAATTATTGCTATTTTATTAAATATCTTTTATAATAAATATTAATAATATACAATATAAAATTTTAATAAAATTTAAATTGTTTTAATAATTTGTTGTATGTAATTATATTATATTATAATATATATAATAATTTTAATTTATATAGTAAAGTACTTTTCAATTTCAGCAAACAAATAGCATGTTTGATCAAAGTATCATTGGAATATGTTTTTGTGTCTGCTTAGCAATAGTTTTCAATTTTTCTTTACATCGAATAGAAGAAGGTCATGTTGGTGTATATTTTAGAGTAAGTAAATATATAAATATAAAAAATATAATTTATAACATTATAAATATTTTTTTTAAATGATATAGGGTGGTGCATTATTACCTCAAGTTAGCAATCCTGGATTTCATATGATGATACCTTTATTAACAACATATCGTGCTGTTCAAGTTACATTACAAACAGATGAAGTAAAAAATGTTCCATGTGGAACAAGTGGTGGTGTAATGATTTATTTTGATCGTATAGAAGTTGTAAATATATTAGATGCAAATAGTGGTAGGTGATATCATTAATTAAACTAATAATTATATTTATAAATTATTAAGATATTGATTATTTTAATTTTACAGTTTATAATATGGTAAGAAATTTTACAGCAGATTATGATCAAACATTAATATTTAATAAGATTCATCATGAATTAAATCAATTTTGTTCTGTACACACATTACATGAGGTATACATAGATTTGTTTGATCAAATAGATGAAAATTTAAAAACTGCTTTACAAAAGGATTTAAATGATTTAGCACCTGGTTTAAGTATTCATGCAGTTAGAGTTACTAAACCAAAAATTCCAGAAACTTTGAGAAAAAATTATGAATTAATGTAAGTTTAAATTATATAATAAAAGTTATTAATTGATTTTTTCAGAAATTCTTTTAGAATCATTATTATTATTATTATTATTATTCTTATATATACATATATACACATGTATACATGTATTATAGGGAAGCAGAGAAAACAAAACTTTTAATATCAATTCAACATCAGAAAGTTGTTGAAAAAGATGCAGAAACAGATAGAAAAAAAGCTGTTATTGAAGCAGAAAAAGAAGCACAAGTAGCAAAAATACAATTTAATCAAAAAATTATGGAAAAAGAATCTTTACAACGAATAGCAGCAATTGAAGATGAAATGCATTTAGCAAGACAAAAAAGTCATTCTGATGCTGAATATTACCAAACAAAAATGCAAGCTGAAGCAAATAGACTTTTGCTTACCAAAGAATTTTTAGAATTAAAAAAATATGAAGCATTAGCACAGAATACAAAAGTATATTATGGTCAAGATATACCAAAAATGTTTATGTATGGAGGTTGCTCAAGTGATGATAGTACAAATTCACGTATAGAAATTCAAAAATAATAATTATAGAAATACATAACTTTTTTTTTAAATATTATATGATGAAATAGTTATTTTATTTATGTTTATATGTAATCAATTAAAATATAATTTATCAATTTTTTTGTGATTATCATATGTAATACATATATAATATGATTGTTTATTTATAAACTTTATTAGACTTAATCAAATTTTGTAATAAAAATTTTGTTAATATAACAAATTTTTAATACTACTAATTAATATTACTATATATATATAAATTTAAGTTTTTTAGTTTCTTTAAAATAAACATTTCAGATAAATATCATATAAGTAAAGATAAACTTCAAACAAATTAAAAAATGTTTTAATAAACCAAATCATTATTTAGAATTATTATTATTATTATTATTTACAATTATAATTAAATTAAATTTTATTAAATAAAACTAATCTTTAAATTTAGGAAATATGAGAAAAATATTTTATAAATTTTCGGAAATTAAATTACAACTATCAAAACTTTTTTTTATTATGGTAATTTAAACGATGCGCGCGCATTCTACGTTTATCATATGACAATCTGTCAAAAGTAGTATTTGATAGTTAATATTCTTTATATTTAAGATCTATTAAACTTTAATATAAATTTATAATCTACTATATAATATTTATCTCTGTAAATATTGAAAATGACAGCAGTAAGTTTTTGATCATGTTACATTATTTTAAAAAAAATTTTAAGATTCTCATATTAAGGTTATGATAAATCAAGTCGATTCTAAAATAACTATAAAATATTTGTAAAAAAATATATATATTTTGGAAACAAATATTAAGATATTTAAATTTATATTAATATTATGATATCATAATATAAAAAATATATATGTTAATTATCTTTAATATTTTTTTATCTCAGGAATTAAGAAAATTTCTTTATGGACTTTTAAGTAGTGTGGAAGGACTTCATAGTATATTGATAACAGATAGGGATGGAGTACCTGTTGTGTCTGTAGCTGATGAAACAACACCAGAATTAGCTATGAGAGCAAGTTTTTTATCTACATTTGGCATGGCAACAGATCAAGGAAGTAAATTAGGATTAGGGAAAAATAAAACAATTATATGCATGTATAGTAGTTATCAGGTAATAAAAAAAAATGTATTATTATAAAATATTATTTAAATTTTAATGCTTTTTAAGAAAAAAAAGAGTCTATATAAATATTAATGTAAATTGCTATTTTATTTTTATAGGTAGTTCAAATGAACAAGTTACCATTAGTAATTAGTTTTATTGCTAGTCATAATTGTAATACAGGCCATATATTATCTTTGGAAAGTAAAATTGATCCAATTCTAAGCAATTTAAAAAATGCAGTAGTGGAAGCCTGATGGTTACCTGTTGTGCATTACGGGTGATAAATACCAAAAGTTTGCATTTGGTAACACTTGTAATCAATAGATATTATAAATAATGAGGTGGAAATATTATTGTATATTTTTTTTTCTAATTTACAAAAAATTTAAATTACATTTTTTTACAATTTCTCTGTATTTCTCTTCATTAGCATTTTTATATGACATTTAAAAAAAAAAAAATATCCAACATTTTTTATAAGATAATATAAAAAATAATGCTAGATATTAAACATTTTTATAACGAGCAAAAAATTATCACAAAATATCAAAAATATTTCAATGTTTTCAAAATATATTTAAAGAGATATAGAAATTTTATATGTATAAATAGTATAAATTCATGTAAAAAAAAAACTAATACTAAAGTACATGTTAAATTTATATATATCAGTTAATATTCTAAAATATTTTAAAAATATATTATTGTATGGTATAATTAATATAATAATGTCTTTTAAATTGTGAAATAAAAATTTATATTTCACATATGTTCAAGAGAACATATTAGTTATAATTCATATACCAATGGCTTATCCTCTAATCCATTGAGAATGTTTTGTGCTGCAGTAAGAGACATATCAATTCTTGTCTTCACAGTAGCACTGCCCATATGAGGTACAATAACTGCAATAAATTTTATATTTGTTAATGTATATACAATTTTGCTACATATTTCTATCAACTAATATGTTCACATTATAAAAATATAAAATGGAATATAAAGAAAATTTACTAAAATCTAATAAAGATATAAAAAAAGTAAAAAAAATTAAATTATTTCTACCTGGAATTTATAATATTAAATAATTTAATTTTATTTATTAAGTAATTAACAATTCTTACTAGCATTAGGAAGTTGAAGAAGTTCATGATCTGGTGGCAATGGTTCTGGATCTGTAACATCAAGGCCGGCCGCAAAAATTGTTTTATTACGCAATGCTTTAATCAAGGCATCTGTTTTTACAATTTGTCCACGAGCAATGTTAACAAACACTGCATTTTTCTTCATTTTATTGAAAGTATTATCATCAAATAATCCCCTAGTTTCATTATTTAATGGAGTGGCAACAATTACGAAATCACTTTGTGCAAGAAGTTCATCAAGAGATACGAAATCAGCTCCGAGCTCATCTCCTGATAATATAATAAAATTGAAATAAAAATATCCATATTTAAAGATAAATATTTTATTCTTACATATATCATTCATAAATACCTGCTTTTTTACGAGAATGACCAGTATAAATGAAATGACCTACATCGAATCCTTTCAATCGTTTAACAATAGCTTGACCAATATTGCCCAAACCAACAATGCCAACTGTCGATCCTCTTAAGTCTTGACCAAGTAACCATTGTGCATGTGTTTCTACTTTACCGCTAAATTTTTAAGAATTTAAATAAACAAAATATACATATAAATTTTAATATTTTTTACATTTAAAATTATTATTTAAACTTTTTTTTATAGATATTTGTTTTAACAAATTAAATTTTCGAAAGAAAATTAAATTCGTTTTTAATTACTGTTCAAGTTTTAGACGTCCTTCATGAATTCGTCTTGCTGCATTTAATAATAAAAGTACTGCCATTTCGGCAACGGCAGCTGATAAAACTATAGGAGTATGTCCAACTTTAATACCTCTTCTTTTAATTTCGGGAACATCTAAATGATCATAACCCGCTGACATCGTTGAGACAACTTTTAAGGACGATCCTAATTTTTATTTATTTATGTTAATTTTTTAATATTTTTTTATAATTTATTTTTATTTATAAAAGAATAAATATTTATATTATTATTGAAAATTTGTAAATAAATTTATATGACTTGAATGTTGCTTTAAGAAATATTTGATATATAAAATTATTCATTTAAATTGAAAATACATCATTGTATAATATATTATATAACATATTATATAATAACTAAAAAATTAATAAATAATTTATAAATTCTGAAATACGATATTTAATTATTTGTCATTATTATTATATTACAAATATTTCTTTAAATAATTAAATTTTAAAATTTGATTTGATTAACCTTGTTATCGATAATTTACATTAAAATTCAAAATTCTGCGAAAGAAATATGATTTGTTATATTATTTAAAAAATTATTATATTTTAATATTTACCTGCTTTATCAAGAAAGTCACTATTCACATTGATATGACCACTAAGAAAAAGTGCATCATGATCTGGAAGTGCTTGCAATACTTCTTCACGATCACTTACAAGTTTTTGAATAATTGTAACATCACATCTAAACAAACAAGAAAATTAATACATCATGTAATAAATAACAGTAAAACTTCGTAATTAATATTAATAATTATATAAAATTAAATATTTATAATATATATAAAAAAATAAAAAATTGCTTTATAAAATATTGAAAAATTATAAATATATATATATTTATAATTTATAAATATTGAACAATTATAATATTAAAAGAATATAATAACATTGTTAAACTTTTAACTATTTGTTTTAATCATTTTTTCAAGTTAAGAACTTATTATTAAATATTAATAATTATTTAAAAAATATATATATATATACTTACTTTGTACGCAAAAGATTTATAGCAGCTGATGGTACAGTGTTAGTAGTGACTAAGACACGTGGTTTCATTATTCGTTTGCAAAATAATACCTTCAGTGGCAAACACTTTGTAAACTGATAAAATAACAAAATTTCTTGCCTTATATAACACTATAATTTGATTGTATGCGCAAGCGCATATAATCCAATCGAAAGATAAAAAACTGATTTATAGAAAATTTGATATGTTTTGTTTTTTATAATAAACTTGTCGCTGTTAATATTTTTTATTATTTACTGATATAAATTATATAACTTATATAAAATGATAAGAAAAATGTTATATTGTACATTTATTAATGCGTTAAATAGAATTAAAAAAGGGTTATATAAGCATATTTCGAAATAACATTATTTAATATAAAATAAATAATATTATATAAATCTTAAAAAGATTTTAATATAACATTTTGTAAGTCGTGTACGTTTACTTGACGATATGTATGATCATGTTTTTATAATATTAATATATATGAAAAATATAAATAATACAAATTAAAATATGGCGCGATTTAGTGAAAACCTACTTCATCATATACTTTCCTATTCATTAAAGACACCGTTTTCTGCAAATGATAGACAAGTTAGTACGTGTTTATCAAATTATGAAAGCCGTTTTATTCTCTAGCGATTATATATGTCAATGAAATGGCAGTAAAAGATGTAACAGTTATTCAGATATTAGTATAACATTTTTTCAATCATGCAATTTAATGAACATTTTGAATATAAAAGATATAATATATGTAGTATAAGTATATATGTAAATACATAATTAATTTTATTCTTTTATGTATAAAAATTCTTTAACAATATAAACTTTTAATTATTATAAATAATAATCTTTTTTATAAAATATGTGAAATTTAATATTCTCAATAATAAATTCTCAATAATAAATGAAATATATATAAATATATATAAATAATTAAATATAATCAATAAATCTAGTTTTTTAGTTATGTATTTGGTATTTAAATAGTGATTTTTATTTGTAATATATTAAAAAATAAAAATAAAATTCAAATGATCAATTGAAATAATTATTTTATAAAAAATACTAATATATTATAAATTATAATTATTAAAAATAATAACATTCTTAGCAATCTTTATCTACAACTTACAAATTATGTATTATATTATTAATAACTAAATTTCCTTTAGTGATTTCAAAGCGTGAAGTATCAGGAAGATATGAAGAAGTATACATGTTCCTTTACATATAGCTTATATATAAGTATTTGATATATAGAGATATATAGAGTTATATTTAGCTAGAAGTTATATAGGTATATCTCTATATATTTATAGATAATTTTTAATTGTTAAATGAGAATTTTTTTTAATAATAAAAATTGATAGAATTATATATAGTATCTATTATATATCTTATAATTTTCATACTTCAAAAATATTAAAAATAAATAATATTATTTATTGCATTAATAATAATATTTATTTCTTATTTTAATTGACAAAATAATATATTTATTGTAAAAAATAAATATGGATCGGAGATACATAAAAATTTCATGTACATATAAAAGAATTTATAAAATTATATAAATAATATATTCACAATAAAATAAATTAATAAAATAATTAATTTTTTTACATAATTGTATAAAACATATTATATTTATATAATTGTGCAAAACACTTATATTTCAAAAAATTTACTTATTTTTAATATTAAGTATTTAATACTTTTTTAATACTTTCTTAAGTAACGGGAAATATAACAAGAAAAAATATTTTTGGACATTAACCGCGATATCCTGTTATGTATTATTCCATTCGATTATTAATTTTTTGTAAACCACTTATTTCCTTAATATTAAATATGATTGAATATGGAAATCTTTAAAAATTATAACTTTTGTATTTAAAATATTTTTTTTTATTTACTATATTTATTTACTATATTTATTTATATTTTATTGCTATATCAATAATGTGAATTTATCTTGATATTTTACATTATTATCGAGAGCTTATCGATATTTATATTAATTAAGCTCATAGCTATTGTAAAGAATAGTTTACATTTAAATCTTCTGTTATAATCTAATCTTGGAAACAATGTCATAATCTCTTTTATATTGGTACCAATATAATAAATAAAATTAATATTTATAATTATTAATTTATAATTATATTTAATTTTAAAAATATATTCTAATATCTTTCATCTATGATAAATATAATATATAACCATGAAGTATGAAATAAGAATTTTATAGAAATAAATTATAAATATTTTTTAAATTAATATATTTGTTAAATTATATTTTAATTTTACTGTTGGTAATAATACGATTTTAAAAATATTTTCGATCTGAATTCAATAGCTCATCAATCTTTCCATCAAAACGAATGACTGATGAAAACTTATTTAAAACTGCTTTAAAAGTGTATTTATTAAAGTGTCAACGTTTCATAATTCGCGCCATGGATATTTTCATAAGAAACTTCAGAGGTTATGAAATATCGAATTCATAACAATTAAAAAGCATGCTTTATATTTAAATCCAAATTTATTTACAAAAATAACAAATACAAAATAATTAACAAGTTTAAATATTAAAATAAAAAATGAGGTGGATGACACGACAGTTTTCGTTACCAATTTTACTCGGTATATCCTTAACAAGTGTGAGCATTGCTATATTATACGTATTATACAAAAAGGTAAGGTTGTAAAAATATAAAAAATTATAATTATTTAATATTTTGTTTTAATTATTTATTTAATTATACAGGATGAAGAAGATATTAAATCTAGAAAAAATCATGTTGAAATTTCAAAACGATTTACTGCAGAATGTAAAGTACCTAGACAATTCGTTCCTGCTGTTATTGGAAGAGGTGGTTCAATGATAAAAGATATACAAAATAAAACTGGAACACAGATACATTTTAAAGAAGATAACATTGATTGCCCTGATCGTATTTGCATCATAAAAGGAAGCTATGAAAGTGTACATTTAGCTGAAGAAATGATAAAGTCTATAATCCAAAATCAGCCCATAATTGAAACATATGAAATGTACGTACCTCAAAGAGCATGTGGAAGAATAATAGGAAGAGGTGGTGAAGTTATACATCAAATTCAAGCAACATCTAGTGCAAAAGTCATTATTGAAAGCAGTTATACTCCTTATGATCCAAGTATGTTCTGTTTTTATAAATCCATGTTATTATGTTTTATATTTTTGATTTTATCTCTTCTAAATTTTAATAACTGCTAGTAATTTACAGATGCTGAAAGAAGAATTATTATAAAAGGAACAGCTGAACAAATTGCTACAGCTTTGTTACAAATTGAAGATAAAGTTCGAGAAGAAAAAGAAGCACGTACAAAGTTAGAGGCTTCTTCTGCTTCAAGATTGCCTAGAGGAAAATTATCTCCACGTAATACTAAAAATAATATACAATCTGAACAGGTTCAAACTACTGAATTATTACCAGGTATATAAAATATAAATAATGTTTTTTTTATAATATTATTGGATATTTTATATATTTTTTTATTTTTATTCCTAGTTTCTGACGGTGGAATGGAAGTATATATATCTGCAATGGAAACTCCTAGTCAATTTTGGGTACAAGTTGTAGGTCCTGGAACTACTGCACTAGATAAATTAGTATCTGATATGACTGTTTATTATAATGATGAAAAAAATCATGAATTGCATAAATTAAGAAATGTAAACATATAATTGAATATTTTAATATTTACTTATAAGAAAAATTTAACAGATGTCATTTAGTAATTGCCGTACATCATCATTTTAGATAACGCTCGGTCAAATAGTAGCAGCAAAATTCAGTTTTAATGAACAATGGTATAGAGCTGAAGTTATTTCTGCACCTGAAGATGGTCAATGTGAAGTTTATTTCGTGGATTATGGAGATCGTGAAATGGTTCAGCTTGATTGCATATTGGAACTTCGAACCGATTTTCTCAGCTTAAGATTGCAAGCGATCGAATGTTCATTGGCTAATATTAAACCAAGGTAAGTTAGTTTTCAATGAAATAAATTTAATCGAATGCAAAAAAAATGAAGAAATTTTCTAAAAAATTTATAAAAATAATCTTTATTAAAGTTCATTCATTGAAATCAAAAATTTATAATTAATTTTGTTTATATATATAAAGAAAAGATGTCAATTGCTTAATTCACTATCATCCATGTTACTTGATCTTGAACTTCCAATACCAGCTTCACAAACTTCATTAAACAATTCTGGATTTGTTTGTTCCATTATTTTCCATGCTAAACTTTTGTTAAGTACCGTTAAATTTTCCTCGCAATATGCTAAACTTGCTTTTTTAAGTGCATCACATCCAAATTCATCTGCAATTAAAAGTCTGCTTGCTATGTTTTCTGGAGTTATTGTTTCCATAAGATTTCTTTCACAAAGTTCTTTTAATCCTAAACAAATATTTACGAATAATTTTATTAATGAATGTTAGATTTCTAAAGAATAAATTTTTCAATATTATAATATACAATACCTTGCAAAGAAAAACGTTCAGCCAATGATAAAAGTTGTGGAGCAAAATTATCCAAATTATCGACTTGATCGCTGTATATGTATCGCAAAAATTCTTCAACTACCTCTTTATTAAGATCCAACAATTCCAAGGAAAATACATAACGTTTCTAAAATATTTTAATATAAAATATGATCATCGCAAAATTTAAATATCGAGTAAATAAGGTAATGAATAAAGTTGAGTACATACCCGTAAAAAAAACAAATTCGAGTAAAAATTCTTTTTTTTTTTGGAACCAATTGTATCACAAAAAATTAGTTATAAAATTATGTTAGTTACACAAATCACAATAAAGTTTTAAAACCAATTTTAAATAATTTTTAAGTTTTAATTTTATACAAAATTTAAATAAGATTATAGATATTAGTTATTAAATGAAAAAAAAAATAATTTATTATCTACAACATATACATTATGAAATCCTAAAATTATAATTATGTTAAACAAGCATATAGTGAAAGAAATTTAACTTTAAAGATCAAATCTATGCAATGAAGTAAATATCGACACTAATTTTAGTTTTTTAAGAGATATTTTTAAAATAATATAGATTTGTTATCTACATCGTTTACAAAGTTTAAAATAAATTAATTCGAACATTCTGCAACATAGGTACAGAATAACTTCTGACACGTACATTGGAACGTCCGTTTTCTTTATCAATTATATTATTTTCTTGTAACATCCTCATATCCATTTTATTTTTTATAGTATCTATCTTCATATCTTTCCTCTCATTAAATTCTTTTAAAGGCAAAATCATTTCAGCAAGAACGTTGCTACGAGCAGTCAATACAGTACTATGAACTGGAATTTCTGTATTGTTTAAACCACCACAAATTAACTTAGTGTCTGCACCATATGAATGTTTTAACAGTCTGGCCATATCCTGAAAAATTTTTATATATATATTGTTTGTTTTATTTTTTAAATTTACATATCAATAATCATACAAATTCTTGCATTTATTTTTAAATATTTTATTCAAAGAATTTACTTGTTTCTTAATTTCATTTAATGTTCTCTATCTTTTTTGTTTTCTCTATTTTTATAGATATTCTTCTTTTGGAGAAGAAAAAAAATTGATGAATATAAACAATGGAGAATTTCAATTAAATTCTGTTTAAATTGCTTTTATATGTATTATATATTGAAAATACTTGCCTGTGACAAGTTATGTTTTTCGCTTTCGTATTGAATTATCTGTATTTTAACCATTAATACCACCTCACCATTCTTCTTTAAATGTCTGTGGACGATGGACAAGTCTCTATAGCCCAAGGAAATGATGTCCGTGTATGATTTTAGCTCGAGTATTGTCCTGCTAACGTGACAGTATTCCCAATGTTTAACGTCGGCATTGAAAACTGCAAATTGAAATCGTATCTTCGCTTGTTCCGCTTCATCTACGTTGCAGTTCAACATGTTCAGGCACAATACCACCGGGTTTATCATTCTTTTGCCTGTTACCAAACAGTGGACCATTCTTTCCTTTAATAAAGTCGATATCGATGATTGTTTCGAGTGATAAAAAAGGAAAAAAAAAAAAGAAAAAGAAGAGAAACAGAATAAAAAATGCATTGAATTCTGAAGTAGTGTAATAAAATTAAAAATAATTTACATTTCTTTTTCTAGAATCTCAAATATAAAAAAATTAAAGAAGTTAAAAATAGAATAAAATTTTATAATTTTCATGATTCTTATTAACTTGAAGAAATCTTATTTCTCAAGTTTAATAAGTTCAAAGTTTAATTTAATTCATTCATATTTAAAATACAAATTATTTGAGAAAAAAATTATTTAAAATGATAATAGAAATTATCAAACAAATACAAATTATAAATTATAGTTGCGTTATATTGTTCTTCTTACCATCAGGATTTTTCCAGAATCTGATGGATAAATTCCATGTGCTGTGAATACCATTTATATTGACGTTGAAGGACGGGCTATCTATAAAGCTTTTCTTCGAAATAGTTTTTTTATAATTTGGAATAGGCCATGTGTATTTAAACACGACGTCTGAAACTGCTGGTACCAATAGCTCCATTTTATCGTGATTTCACATAAACGAAAAGGCCTACGATAATCGGATGATGATGAATTATTATGTATCGTAAAAGTCCATTTATTTGAATTTGTTAAAGGAAAATTAATTTATGATCATTATGATAATGGATCATTTATGCAGTAGAAATTTATTGATTCTTTTTATTTACTATAATTTTTCATTCAAATAATTAGAGTTATTATTAAATAATTAGAGTTATTGATACATTTAAATAAGTGAATTCAATCAATCTATTTTTCAATTAATCTATTTTTATTATATATAATATATTAAACAAAAAATTAGCAAGAAAATATTCTGTTTAACAATAGAAAATCGAATTCTCATCTATACTTAATTTATTATACTTTAAAATAAGAATTACTTTCATTTTTTATCTTCTTTAATAGTATGTATTATCTTTTCTTTCATTCTTATTCATTTTTATAATATAATATTTTTTTATTAGTTTTTTCATTAGTTTTCTTTTCTATCTATATTATTTCTTATATTTCTGCATTCATCGCGCATATGCCAACTTTTCTCGCCGTATTTCTTCTTTTTTTCTTTCTCTGTGGTTCATTTTCAATTTTCTCGCATTCATCAATCTGTTTGCGAGTAAAAACAATTCCTCTGGCGTTCTATAATTGCGGCACAACGGATAAGGCTTCTTCATGTGAAAGTGCGCAAAACACTTTGTCGATTGTTGATCCCGTTATATCTCGTCGAACTTTTTCTTGTATAAATTGTAGTAAGTTCAACGTCGGATACACACATTTGTACATTTGGCAGGCCGCCAATTTTCCATTTTAATTTATCTTTAATTGAACGAAACTTTCTTGTCGGTTATACATTTATGCTTTTGTTTCAGACCGGGATTAAAGGGATTGAAAATGAAATCGAAATTTAATTGTAGTTAATCGGAACAGCAATTGCGCAAATGAAAGAGCCGATTTCAATGCAATTTCAATCGCGACTGCAATCGATTGAATATCAATTATAGAACTTCGTCTCTGCATAGGATAGAATTTTTTCTGTACAGATGTTACATTACAGATGTGCAATTTTAATTGGGAACAAGCAAGAAGACCGATTCTATTGAATTTATTTCATATTTATTTCTGTCTTGCCGATTTGTTATATTCAAATTATAATGTTTGTATTTAAAAAGAATTTTACAGATTCAATAGAATTGAGCTATAAATTAGAAATTATAAAAATCATTTATACATATATATAGTAAAATTTATACATCGAATAGGATAATTATTTAGAATTTACTCTCCTATTCTTCTCTTAAATTGACACTTCTATTATTATCCAACAGAATCGACTATCAAATTATTTAAAAAAATATTAAATTTACAAAAAATAACATTAATTTTATCATACAAATTTGATCATCCAAAAAGATTAAAAATTTTCTAGAAGATTATACAATTTTAAAATTAGATTATTGATATTTGATTATTAATTGATTATTAGAAAATTTTCATAATCTTTGCCACGAGTTAATATCAATGTCAAATCGAAACCAACCATTGTCGAAATTAAGATGGACAAAAATCGAAGCATCCCCGCAATGCCTCGAATGATCAGAATGGGAATAGATTCCGCTGCGGGGTAGTAATCGAACGCGAATTGAATCAATCTGGCCGAATACCGGGTTTCGTATCGCGTGCCGAGAAATAGCTAATCACCAGCACAACCTCGAAGTAATGCACACATGATGGTTTTCGAGTTGGAATTACCGCGGTGCCGACGGTCTTCGGTTACACGCGACACGACGGCTTTCGAGGGCAAATCCGAGTGCCTCGTTGCCAGAAAGCCGCAGACCACTCCGAAACGCTTTCTATTTCCGTTCTCTTCGTTCCATCATCTATCAGCTTCGATTCATTTCGATGCAGAAAAGCTGTTATAAATTGTATTCTTCTTCTTCTTCCTCTTTTTTCTTTAATTAGTGAAGTGAATCATTATTTTTCTTTATTTTGTCCATTTTTAGATTTTTTTTTTTTTTTTTTTTTTAGAGAGAAATTCAATTTTCAAATTTTATTATATTATAATATATATCTTCTATGATAAATTAATGATGATATATTTAATGTTTTTTAATATTAGGTATATATTTTAATAGTAAAAATAATTTATTTTTTTTATTTTTTTCAATTATTTAATTTGATTATTTAATTTAATTTAGTTGATTAAGCATATTAAGCATGTAAAAGAATTCTCTATGACAATAACAAACCACCTGACAAATTAAAATTAACAGATGGAGTAATCATGTTAACGATCCTTAATTGAAGGCAAGAACGACCTCGAAGACCATTTGAGTTACAAATAAGGGGCTCGTTTAGAAGACTTAATTCCTTGCCTTATATTCGTTACAATTAGTTGCATAAGAGTTTTAAATTCAATTATCAAACGAAAATTCCCTCTTTTCTCTTTGACAATTATTTTTTAATTTCTTGCCTTAAGTTATAAAATTATACTACGAAATATTATATTTTTCTAATTAATAATTTAAATATTTAAAGATTAAATTGTCAATCGGCAAAGATATTTTCAACCTGACAGTATTTTCACGATAATGTTTTTCAATGATGGATAATTCAATATTCGTTTCATGAGATCAGCTTTAATGTCCATCGCTTGGCAACCGGAAGAGAATCAAGGGAATAGCGTATTTCTCCGTTTGACATTCAAATACTTATTATTATTACTCGACACTTGTTTCGCGCTCGAAAAAAATTCATGGTTGCGCGTAAAAAACGAAATAAATGCGTACTTACGTAAATATAACACACGCGCCTATTATGACGTTCATTAATGCATCGAGCAAGAATCCCTCTTGCAAGCGAAAATTCACTTTTTCATTTTGCACTCAATCTTATTTTATATATCTTCTTCTCTTTTTATATAATAAAAATATCAGTGCGAAAGAATTAATTCATTCTCGAACCACTCCAAATCACTTTTGATAAGTAAAAATATTTCAAGTGTTATTAAATAAAATTTGATAAGATTCTTAAATTATATCACAGATACTTATTACTTATTAACAACTAGGAAAATTTTAATTGTCTGATAAGATTTGCAAACTATATCACAGATATCTATTGATAAATAATTGATAATTTGATAAGATTACAATTTTTTAAATAGTCACTACAGTGTAGTCACGTCTTGATTTAATGAAATAAACTTCTCTTTCTCTCTCTCTCTCTCTCTCTCTTTCTCTCGTTTCTTTTCTATTTGTACGAGGATATTGTTCGCCACGAAGATCGTGAAACGACTGAGACCCTCTGACCATTACAGAGAGTCTACGTTCATCATCCACTTCATCTTCTCGCACGTGTATACATCTGTGTGTTATAAATGGAACAAGATGTCCCGAAAGTGCTTGAACCTCGTGAAATGGGGATGTTTCACGCGCACCTTCTTTGTTTCGTGCGATAATAGCCTTATCAATTCACGAATTCGGATTGAATACCGTATATGAAACAGGGTTAATGGGAATTGCATAAAGAATAGGTCGTTACATAAAAGTTGTAGGTAATTGAAGCGAGAATGAAATGGATCGACCGTGTACAGTCAATCTGAGATAATATGATTCTTTTAATTTTAAAATTTTTTTTTTTTTATAGAATTTATCACGAATTTCTTAGAAGCGAAAAGTCTTGAAATTTGTCAGTCCATTCCTTTTTTTAAAAAAAATCTAGAAGTTTAAATTCCCAATCATGAAATTTAATTAAATTCAAGTCACCTCGAGATTAGAAATTAGAAATCGAAGTTTATCAATTTTTAACGAAATTTTGATCTTGAATGAGATTCATAATCTAGAAATGATTCATAATCTTGATTCAAGATTTGTGTATAGAGATATTTACGACTTTAAATTTATCTGTAGTGAATTTTAAGATCTACAATTTTAGGATCTTTAATGTTACTTTAATTAAAAATCCATATGAGTTAACGATTTTTATAAACAAAATACAAATATTTATAAGTAAACGTAGACACGTATATATATTCGTAACTTCTAAAAATGTTAAATTTTCCTTGAAATGTTTTATTGCGTAATTTTCTATCTAAACATTGGCAATCGCAGATTCACGAATTGCGAAGTTACACAGAACATAACATAACAAACATCTCGAAATTGGCAACAAAAAAGAAATCGGAGTTGTACAATCATAAATACGATTTTATTTTTTTAATGTTTTACATTTTCAAATTTTTAGTATTTTTTTATTTTTATATCACAACGAGAGATGCACCGATTTATATGAAGTATAATGTTGCAAGAAAAAATTATGTTCACATTGTTCTTATCTGGAGAATTGTCTGCAACAAGGCAAAACTTGATAATTTTTCTCATGCTAATTTTATGCGCGTTACTGTAATCGAACGAGAGGGAATATGCAAACAACTTGCAAATAATGTGCAAATATTTATATCAGAATTCATATTTTCCAAGGTATTATATAGATACCGATGTCATATATAATAGAACTTGAAATTATATTTTATTGTTTCAAATCCATCAACTGTGAATTATTTTTATAAATTGCATTTCGTAAATACTATAATATATGTATAATACTTTGGTCTTAGAAATTTATTATCTATAAAATTTAGAATTTAGAATATTTTTCTATTCGTAAAAAATAAAAATTAATAATTGATCTATTTTTCATTATTTTAATATAATTATATTTTTCTTTTTTTTTAAATACAGAGACAACGATTGGAGCGTAGATGCTTGTAACTTGTTCGCAGAGTTCACTTGTGTGGCTGAATGGATAGTGTTGACGGCTAAAGTTAGAGGTTACAAAGAACGGACTTTTGGCTATGGAAGATCTCGACGAGAAGGTTCTCCGATTCCTTGCGTGGACCTTTTTTGTGATACGGTATTTCATTAAGATTTTCAAAAAAGAAAAAAAAAAATCATACGAATATCAAATATCTAAAGTATGTGAAATATCTATATCTCTTATAATTTCTTTGATTCTTAATTGTTATTTTCTCGATTCATCGTTTAGACCGTTAATGTCGGTCAAGAGTTGATAAATGAAGGCTTCGCCGAGTTAGAAGAGAATTTGTCATCGGCAGCTTCCTCGACGTTGTCGTTATCCAATCGAAGCCACGAAGTCACGGCTATTTCAACTCCCGCGTCTACTTCCCCATTGGCGAAACGAGCTTTGAGTCCTGAAATGTTAACAGATACTCCGAATAAATTAGATTCGACTTCCGAATTGCAAAATACTTCGGTCATAGATTTGAAGATAACTTCTAATGTACATGGGCTTTCTCAAATTGAAGAAATCGATTTAGTAACACCACAGGTGAGTGTATTGGAATTTGATATTTTAAATTTATCAAAAATTAATATTTCTTCAATTTGTATATAGAAAAATTAAATACTATTAGAATATCAACAAGACTATAAAATCCAAAAATGATAAGAAACGATGATAAGAAATATTCATAAGAAAATCGAATGTCGCCGGAAGTTCAATCGTAGAAAGTGGCCGGACATCGATTTTTGTTCTCTTCTTTTCAAACGCGTTTGCCTGCGGTTAACCATTAAAGCGATGAATATATTGCGACCGTTAACAATGTCTGTATCGATTTCTTTCAGAAACCCAGTACACGAATCGAGGAGATCGATCTGGTGACACCGGTGAAGGACGAGACCAAACATTTCATCGAGAACGAGAAGAAAGTGCAGCACGAGGATGGGCGTGGTGATTATCTGCGGAACGGAAATAGCAATCAGTATGGGAGATCTTGCAATTCTCAGATGAAAGTCGCCAAATACTCGCCAATCGCGCCGGCTGGCTACGAAAGCGATATTTCGGATGATTCAGGCGAGATGGAACTAGGGTAAATCCAAAGAAACGGCCATATCTTTTTTTCTTTTTCCATCGAGTTACGCTTCTATTCTTTTTTTTTTGGCCTCGTAGTCGTTTAGGATATAACAATTTAATCTTTAATCTCGATAGAAAAATGAAAAAAAAAAAAAACAAAAATAGTATAGAAGTCATGCAATAATTTAGATCTTTTATTTATACGCTTATTTTTTGAAATTATGCTATAATTTTGCGATATTCTTCTAATATTTTGGCAATTTCATAGAAAGTTATGAGAAAGAAAGTTATCGAGTAATAAAGTAACGGAATTTTTATATTTATCAAAACTGGCAGAAGAAAGAATTAAGAAATAGTTGGAGAATCTCATTCTGAAGTATTTTACTGCTTTGATTTTTTTTTTTCTTTTTAATGCTTAAAGTATAATTTAATTTTTACTTTTCTGTTAAACTATTCTGCGCTTTTTTACTTATTCATATTCAATTTACTTCTTTTATTAAAATAATTATTTTCAAGCCATTTAAAGTACAAATAGTTATTTATTATGTTATTTAATTTGCAAATGATTCTCTCACTATTTTAATAGATGCATTTTAAATCTATTTTATTCGCTACGCGAAACATTGTTTTCTAGTATTTTGCATTAATAGACTCTGCCATTGATTAATCAAAATCATCAATTAAGCATAGAATTGTTTTCAAACGCTTTAAAAAATAATACATAATAAAAGAAGAATTGTAAGAGCTTAAAAGCGGCATAAAGTAGATGTTTTAAAAGCAGTTGTTACTTAAAGCACGATAAACTCCGAAAAAAGCTCTTCCTTACTCTTCTTCTAAGTAGTCACGTAGCGCTACTCTTGAGGTCGTGCATTATTTCTCTCAGAACACGTACTCTACTTAAAGCTCAAGATTAAGAAACTATGTGCCTTACTGCTTCGTACATAATTACCATTACTGAGACATAAATATATAGCATATAAGAGTTGCAAGTATTACAAGATATATACAGATTAAAAAAATTATGTAGATCGTTCTATTTTTATAAGATAACTAATTAATTAATTAAGCTCGTTTTCATATTAGATTGGTGGGAAGTAAATGAATAAATTATAAATAAATATATAAATATTTTTTTTTATTTATAGTTTAATTAAAAAACAATCTCAATTTTATTGGCAAATTATAAAGTATTTTATTTATTTTTTAAGTTTTGATTTTTTGAAACTTTTAATTTCTTTTTTTTAAATTATCAAAATTTTTGCAGAAAAATTCCACTGCTTTAATTAAAATTATGATTTTAAAACTATAAAAAAATAGTGCCATATTATTCTATCTTTTTATTTATTTATTTATTTTTTTTTTTTGAGAACTTAAAGCAGTTAAAAAATAAAGTAATAATTTTTAACACGAAAATATAAACAAGTTTTAACTGTTTCTATAAAAATATAATAAACTCGATATATCATTCATTTATTTTCCACTAATATAATAAAAGTATAGTTCAAAGCGATAGGATTACTTAATAAAGAAAATAATCAATTCCTATATTAAATCCATTGTTGCATATTCTTAGTTGACTTCTTTATTTTTCTCTCAGATATTTATTTAGATAAAAAAAAATAAAAATAAAAATAAAAATTATTAATTTGTTTCAAATTGTTTCCACTATACAGATCTGAAAGCTTTACAAAGATTACTCGTTTTATTCGATTATAATCATATGTAAGATCATACGTGTATCTTTATCTTTATATATGTATCATCCGATATATTAAACATGAAATTAATATTCATTCTCTTAATCGAATATTGTAACTCGAGTAAACGAGGAAGCAAAGATATTCGTGACGAATAAAATGATCGTTCTATAAGATATTTTATCTGTTCGATGCCTTCTTAACGGAACCCTAAATCGTCGTTTCCTTTCACTTTATCCATCGCGCCGCTGCTTTCTCGGATTACGGCATACAAGATCGCCAATTTTTCGGAGCTCCTTGTCCACTGGTAAAAGTCGAGCTGACAACCACAAAAAAGAGGGGACAAAGCCCCCGGCGTACGGCAACAACGGTAACACCGCTGACAAGAGGAGACGAAGAAGAACAAGGAAAGAACGATATCGGAAGTTACTGCAGTGGAACAGTGAGTAGAGAGCTTGCTCATCCGACACAAGACTACGCGAAACCGTATCTATTTTTACGGAATATAGTTATTAGATTAGAAATTTGATAGAGCAATTTTGCAATTAAGATGTTTCTGAGAAAGATTTTAGAAGGAAAAAAGATGATATGAATCTTAAATTTGATTTTGTGAGTTTACAAGGGTAAGTTAGCAAAGGAGGTTAATTTGAATTTTTAGGTTAATTTAGAAAAAAATCAAAATTAAGATTTACATATTTAAACAACTCTCCTTTTTTTTTTTTGATAAATATTTGTTAAATTATTCTTGTATTGAATAATATAATTTTAAATATTTATTTTCTTATATAATGACTAATCAAATCTATCGACAAAATAAAGTATTTTTTAAATACGAGATAATAACAGGAATAATACCAATTTTCGTAACCAAATAATTAAACTTACTGGATTTCATTTCCAATGAAACGTGTCGTATCCACGACTTCCTAAACTAGTGAAAAAATGAAAAAGAAAAAGAAGAAAAATAGTTCCCCATCAATTTTCGCGTTCTTCGTAGCCACGAAAATCGATTCGAAATACAGTAAATAGAAGATAAAGAAGTGCCATGAGTAATTGGCATCGCTTGGAAGCCGATGTGCTCGGTGATCGAGAAAAACGAGAAAGCTGCGGCCAAGTGAAACTGTATAAAACGTGGGTAACTCGGCATACTATCATCAGTTCTACGAATATTCAAACCAGAAGCGCGGTGACCAGTAATCTCAACAATGAATCAATTGGTAAATTTTTATTTCTCTTATGGTGTTTTAAGTTGAATTGTTGAAGACAATAGCTACTATGTAAGTATATTATAAGTGCTTCATAAGTATCTGGATTTTTATATGTAATAAAATTAAAAATTAATAATTTAAAACAAGAATTCAAAAAAATAATTTTTATTAATTTTTTGACAGTGTAATAAAATTAATAACATAATAATATTAATATTATGAAGTTTTTTATTTTGAGTAATTTTAAAATGTGAGAATGAAAAGATAATCTAATATCTGTTGTTTCTTACTTTTTGATAGATTATACTCTAGATCTATCATCTATTTGAGCCATTTTTTGAACCAAATACTCACTTCAATATAATCATTACTTGGCTTCTCTTCTATTTCTTTGGCTTCATATAATAATAGAATACATAACCAGCTGGCAGTTTTGCCATAATAGGACATGTTTTAATTGGTCCTATTAGCTCAATTGCTAATCATTAGATGAAATTATTCGATGGTTCATTAATATGAGTTAATTGACTATGAAATAAAACAATATTCGATCGATGATTAAAACTTATAAGTTAAAGTAAGTAAATTTAAGAGCTTCTACCATCCAATTTCCATTTATATCCAAAATAAATTGTTCGATTATTCAATTTTTTTAATCATATCTTTTTAATAATATCATAATTTCATAATAATTGAAAATTAATTTATTTGATATAATCGTTAATTATTGAAATTTTCTCGTACATTTTTTCTCGAATATACCGCGATATAAATAAAGTGAATATTAATTGAAATTTTCCCGTTAAATTTGTCCAAGAAAAGGTCTTTGTAATTATTATCTTGACTTTCTTAATATATTCTTCAGGTTTGATATTAAATAATTACGCATTCATGCGTTGAAGTCCTTGGAACTAAGTTTGTATTGTCATTCAAAGAACAAGAAGAAACTAAAATGTGTAAACAAATCATTCAATTTGTACCTCGTCATTAATAGATTGATAGAACTTTTAATTAAACATGTGAAACAACGGATCATCTTTATCATTTCTTATAACATTTGATTTCATTTCAAAGACGAAGATTTAAAAATTAATTCGTTCCTACATCGAAGATATCTTACATCTCCAAAAGAAACTTAATACGAAGAAGATTAATTTAACTTTTAAAGAATTTTCCAATATATACTTTGAAAGTCAGAACATAGAAACAAGAACATAAAATGCATAATCAATAGCAATAATTTGATCAATGAAAATTAGAGATTACCAGCAAATATTAATAATTATAATTAATAATACTAATAATATGTTATAAATTGAGAACTGAAAATGGAATATAATTGAGAATTGAAAATGGAATTTAATAGCGATAAATATTATTAAAAAAATAATTTTTTTTCTTTATTTAATCTAATTCTGATAGAATTAAATTCTAATTGAAATAGATAAAATTTAACATTTATATTATAATATAATTTATTATAATTTTTTAATTCTTATTAATTTTAAATTATTTCTTCTAAGTTAAAATGGCTCCATTTGCACATATTCTTACTTTCCAACAAAGTTTTAAAGTATTAAATTTTTTTGGAAATATATGAAAATATTTGCTAAATGATAATATAATTAGAAATAATTATTATTTAAATGACAAGTACAAAGAGTTCTTATTTTTTTTATTTCATATAAAATTCAAAGAATCTCAAAAAAATAATATAATAAAATGAAACTCATTTTCAAAATTCTTCCATTATAGACAGTAACATTTCTTCTCTTGTGCGGTGTCTACGGTGCTTTGGCCGGACGTCGTTACATAGCCATTCCAATGGATGGGATCGACGTGATCGAGCTGAGTCCAGTGGCACCATCCACACCGAGGATTGCTCGTCAAACCGAGGCTTATATACCCATACCAGTTCCTAGTATTTCTCAGGAAGAGCTCAAGAGTCCTCGGCAAGAGAGGTCCAACGCCCACATCCTGGATTACGTGGATTTCGGTGGACAAACGGGATCGAATGGAGCCTTCAGCTGGTACGCCGATTATCCGGCACATCACTAATGATCCAAAGGATCGAGAATAGTTTTACACACGCGATGCATCCTGCTTATTGTAATATATAATAACTAAAATTAGATTTTGTGAAGGAGATCGAAAAAATTGCAATTTATAAATGACATTTTATCTGTTTGATTAGATTGAGTCATATTGAAACATTTTTTTATAAGAATTATTTACGTAATGATTAAGTTGATCATTGAGTTGAAGATTCATTTGTTAAATAGTTTTTAAGACGTGTAATTTATACGAGATATATATAAGTTTGAAATTTGAATTATATTTTGAGTTAGCGAAATTTAAATTTCTTTGTTGAATTAATATTTCTTTGTTGAAAAAGTATAATTTACTTTTGTAGAAAATGTTAATTTATTTGATTGATGAATTTTAAAAATTAAATTTATAGAATGATTTCTTGATTTAATATGAGATGTAAATATTCCAATTAATTTTTGTGTAATTTTTATGTAATATTACTGATATAATTTTTCAGTAAATTAAAATTGTTTAAATAAACCATGAAAAAATTTAATTAATCAAGATTTGGTGTTTTTTTTTATCGAATATTCCTAAAAGAATTGTTAAGAGATAATCATTCAAATTAGAAGCTGAACTTTTGAATTAAAAAATTCTTAATACACAGAATTATAAATATGCAGAATAAGTATGCAAACAATAATTATTTTACAGATAAATATATAAATTTTATATATAATATTTAATATATATATAAAATTTGATAAAAATATTTTTATTTTTTGAATTATTAGAAAAATTTGATTTGCCACCTCTTCTTGAGTTATATTTTCCTACTATTTTATTATATTTTTTATATAAAAAATATTAGAAAATTTTCTAAATATTATTTCTATTTTATACTTATTTTTTTAAGCTACCATATACAAAAGTACATATAAAATTTGTGTATATATAATGAAATACACTTTACATAGTTAAACAAGAGATCAACGCCATCTCGCGTTTGGATTACCGAAGCTCTGATTTGTTATTAGCATAGCAGAATATGCAAGGAGGTATGTGAAGTCATAGAGAAGGAAAGCAACATTGTGCGAGAAGGATAGAGAGCATCTTCCACCATTTTGACGCTACATAGAAAATTTATTAATTATTCATTTTTTGTACAAAATTTCTATACTTTTAAACTCGTGTCTTGAAGCTAGAACTTTAGGCAAACTTCTCGTATTAATTTTAATAAGAAATTCTTTTTTATTAATTATTTATTACCAATTAACGCATCATATTTTTCATTACAGCAAAGACGCCATATTGAAAATTAATTAATTATTCATTTTCTGCACAAAATTTTAACACTTTTAAACTTGTATCTTGAAGCTAAAATTTCAAACAAGTTTCTTTTATAAATTTTAATGTGAAATTCTTTCTAGTTAATAATTTATTAACGATTAATGTGTCATATCGAACTAATGTAATTGATACGTAATAAGTTTTTCATTAATTTCTCATTAATATGAAATTTATTTATAAATATGATTATATTCATTTGAAAGGTTGGTTCCTCTCTTAATTTCATATATAAATTTTATTTAGAATTTTGCGATTGTTTAAGTGAATAAATTAATTGTTTATTGTTCGGTTACGGAGTGGGGATTGATAACTGAAACACTCTTTAGATTAATCGTTAATAAATTATTAATTAAAAAGAATTTCACGTTAAAATTTATAAAAGAAACTTGTTTGAAGTTTTAGCTTCAAGATACAAGTTTAAAAGTGTTAAAATTTTGTGCAGAAAATGAATAATTAATTAATTTTCAATATGGCGTCTTTGCTGTAATGAAAAGTATGATGCGTTAATTGGTAATAAATAATTAATAAAAAAGAATTTCTTATTAAAATTAATACGAGAAGTTTGCCTAAAGTTCTAGCTTCAAGACACGAGTTTAAAAGTATAGAAATTTTGTACAAAAAATGAATAATTAATAAATTTTCTATGTAGCGTCAAAATGGTGGAAGATGCTCTCTATCCTTCTCGCACAATGTTGCTTTCCTTCTCTATGACTTCACATACCTCCTTGCATATTCTGCTATGCTAGTAACAAATCAGAGCTTCGGTGATCCAAACGTGAGATGGCGTTGATCTCTAAACAAAATTTTCTGCCTAATTTATAGATGAAATGTGAATTATGGATTCTGTCAATAATCAATAGTTTATGAAATTAATGAAAGAAAGCAGCAATTTTTTACTGTTTAAAAATATTTATTTAAAAGTATCGTAACAGAATTGTATGCATATTTATTTCAAAACTATAAATTTGCAGAATTATTATGGTAAGTGTTAAGAAAATTAGGAAAAGGAAATTTGTTGGAAGATGAAGATAAAAGATATAAAAATATACTTAAAATATATTGCAGTAAGTATATTGCATAAATATATATATGTGTGTGTGTATTATATGTTTTCATTTATTAAAAATAAAACTGGTAAATGTAATTACTTATTTAAAATTTTTTTATATCATTTAAATATTATCATATAAATAATATCATATAAATCTTTTAAAGGTATTCTGATTTCATAAAAAAAATGATGACCAAAAAAGAAATTGAAATATAATAAAAAAAATATGAAATAAAATATATACAAATGGGAAAGGTGAATATATTTAATACTTATGTATAGTGGCGTGACAAAATTTTTGATCGAATAAATATCAAAAGTAACCTCAATTTCTTTTTCTTAATTTATGTTTCTCTTTCTTAATTTTCTTAATTCTTCTTTTTCTAATTTTGCTTTCTTTTAGTCTTTTTAATTATTAATATTCTAAAAAAACTATTATAATTATTCTATTCAATTAAAAATTATTGTATGCCACAATAACATGTAATAGAATATTTAGAGTAATAATAGTTTTATTTTCCGGTATATGATCATACCCATCGCGTTACAATACAATAAATAGTGAGAGAACGACAATGTGTGTTCTTTGTGTCTCTTTTTATGTGTTAATATTAATATCTATAATTTTTTTTTAGGTACAACGATAACAATCTCGTCGAGGCGAGCATCATTCCTATTCCGAGGTGGAATTCAATTTAACGAGCCGTTGAATTTCACGAATCACGAATCTTCTTAAGTACTTATATATCTATATATAGTATATATATATATATATATATATATATATATATATATTATATCGCGGCCATTTCACTAGAAACGTAGGATCGATCGAATCGTTCATTATTATCCTCGTCACGCTCTTTCTTTTACGATCTCCATTCGATTTCCTCGTTCTTTTCACGCTCGCTAAAATTTCAAAGGATTTTGTGAAAAGTCAACACGCGATTATAAATGACGACATTTCAGAAGAAATCGATGATTTTAACGATAAATTAATTAAGCCATTTTCTTTCTTTTGTTATTTTTTTTTAATTCAATTTTTCATTAATTCAAGTTCGAAAAATTAAAGGAAAAAAATGACTTAATTATATACAAGTAATAAATATTCGTTTTCCACTAATAGAAAATTTTTTTCAGGAATCACTTAGAAGCACTTCAATGTAAAGAATACAGTTTTTCAATTTAAGAAGTTCCTATGATATTAAATAATGAAGATATTAACACAAACAATTCGTACGTAATATTATATAAAAAATTTAAAATATATAACTATCAAGTAATTTTAATATGCATATAGAATATATGAATTTTTATAAAAACTATTAACTATATTTAAACTCTTAAAATCTTTTCTTCATTTTTGCATATTTTTTTTTTTTTTTATATAGGTGAATAAAAAATATTCTCTACGTGTATTTTTTTCAAGGAATAAAATTATTCTTTGCGCAATAGCATAAAGAGGATAATAAATATTTCAATGGATCCAAGCGTATCATTTTCACATCCATTCATCATCAATCCAATATATCGAAATACTTAAACATAAACGCAATTAGTTAATACCGATCAACATCATTCTGCCGCCTTTTTCTGTTATTCGTATTTTTATACTTTAAGTTTTCATGCATGCAATCAAGTACAATGTACATATTTGCAATTGTATTTTATGCAAACGCAAGAACAATATTATTTTTCATAAAATTGTATTTTTATCAAAAGAACGCCATTCGTCGCTTTCTAGAGATCATATTCGATATTTCGCTGCAGTCTGCCATTTATTGAAAGAAAAACATCCCTTTTTTTGTTCATGATGATTTTATTAATTAAATTTATTCAGTTTTGTATAGCTGAGCACCAAGTATCATCGATCACTCTAAAATGGGACGTTATTCCATTCGTATTAAATAATATATAATATATAATTTCATGGAATAACATTATAACATTTTTGTGATTCGAAATATGAAATGATCAATCAGAATATTATTATATCATATTTCTTTCATTAGATATATAAATTGAATCAGAAGTAATTTTAACAATCAAATTCATTTTATTTATATATTATCCATATTATAATTAGATTTACAATTTAACATATAAAAATTATATTAATTATATTAGATTATTTATTTATATTATAATGTAACATAGTTTACATAGCATATATCAAGTTTGAATCAACAGTTAATAAATTACGTACATTTTATGCATAAGATTCCTATATAAGGAGCAATGATGGCAGACTATATCAGCGATCATCGATGCATTAATTATGGAACGTTGTCATGGCGTTCTCATAAATGATTTTGCAAAAAAACAACTGCTTGACGCTTGTCAGAGGCGTTACATAAACGTGTAGCAACTCGTAAACGCTTCTGTTTGCCGCGAAACGCCTCTTCATCCGCTTCGAACGCGTTTCCACTTATCGATGGCTCGTCAAGCGTAACGAAAATACATAAAATACATTATGCGAGAAAAGAAATACGAACATAAATAGGTAGATGAATCTTATACAAATTTTATCTGTTATTTAAAGACGCGATACATTTAAACGATGTATTGCGATGATTATGATTGGTCCATCAGAACGAACTTTTTCAGAGGAAAGCACAAGGGTGTAGTGTAAAATTAAATCTATATTTGTATTGAAAATTGAGATCGAATTGTGATTACATTGGATATAAAACAATTTTTATAAATCTTACATGTACAATGAAAAATTATATTTACAAAAGAAAAAACTCTAATAAAATTAAAGTATTATATAAATTTAAAAGAAATTGTCTTTTTTCTTTAATACACGAGTAATTAATTTCTAAAAATCAAAAGTTTTAATATAGTTTTAAAGATAGTTTTTTAAAAAGTGTAAGAATTTCGATTTTCCATAAGAAAATAAGTATTAAAATTTAATTTCTCTTAAGGTTTATGCAATACATAATAGAATTCAATTCATCTAAACAGTTTTTATTCGATATAACGATTTATTTTCTTCAAGACTTCATTTAATCAGACACAAAAAAAAAGAAATTTAATTAAATGACTTTCAATTATCTTAATTCGAATTATGAAAATTACATTGTAACATCTCTAAAAGAACAGATCTTAAAAGTTTACACGCTTTCGATGCAATTCAGGAACTTTCGAATTTATTCTGATAAATATTAAAAGTCAAAGAGAAATTTATCAAAGAAAGAATAAAGCTAAATATTTCTAGTCAATCGACTATCCTTCAGATTATTAATCATTCCTTAGAACACAATCGTGCGCGATACTGTGCGATTTGTGAACGAGAATAATAAAATATCTTTGAACGCAATCGCGAACGTAACATTGTATCGAATATATAATAAGCTTTAAGCGTTGAACGCGTTACTGTTGTACTTAAATGGCATTAAATACGGCACCGAGGCACGTGTTCGTCTTGTAATGCTGCGCATAAGCGTATTAGGTGTGTCGTTTAAGTAAAATTTTTAATGTTCAGAAGAACATTTTTTATATGTTTATTGTTTATTTTAAAATAATTATATATATATATGAGGAAAGAAAGACAAAGAAGCAGATACATGTATATATAAATTAAATCTTATCAATCATCAGTCGTTTTTTTTTTTTTAATTTTTACGTTTGCACAATCAATGCCTTAAAGGTGAATTTAGATGAAATTGAAGAAAGAAATGAAATCGTTTCAATCGATTCAAAATAGTTAACGAGGACAAGATAATATTCAACGATTTTTCGGTTCACAGAGCAAATCAGCTATTTTCATGCTCTTGTTTTGCAGAGAGTCGTAGGAGGTTTGAGCTGGCCACTAAAACACGACCTAACGTCGAAAACGCTTGATCAAATTTCACAAAGAGCGGATATCGATTTGACATTTTAAATTTAAATCCGATTTAAATTTTGGATTTAAATTCGACAACTAGCTTCAAATTTTTAATGAAAATACATCATAGATTTTTCATTCGATTGAATTTAATAATTCAATTTTATTTTTTTTCTTTTTTAATCCGATTAAAATTTAAATCGTATTTAAATTTTCAAATTTCAAAACTAAAAAAACAAATTCGATTAATTTTACAATAGATCGAGTTTGCATTTGGAAATCGTGTCGCGTAACTTTGAAAATCCTTGTGAAAAGGAAGAGAGACAGAGAGAGAAAAAAAAAAAGAGATAAATTTCACAGACTTCTCGATTCTTCTTTCGAACAAAAGATATTACGTACACGTAGATTAGTATCGTTTCGTATAACATAACTAAATTTGCCCGCAGTCACGCGAGAGAAAGACTTTATATTCGCAAAGTTGTTGCCGGACTCTAAAATCGTGAGCCTCGTGGCAGGTGTTGCGGGGAAAAGATTGAACCGAATTAATTGCACTGGCTTTTTACTTCGGTCATAATGTACTTTAATAACACCGATGATAAAACTTGTCAGTATCGCGGCCATTTCCATCAAGTTTACATGTTTCAATATTTTTACATTCTTCGCTTAAAAGATAAAACAATAAAACAGGTTAGAAAACATTTTCATTGGTTAATAATAATCCTATTTTTCTTTGGTTCTAAATGTATGTAAAGAATGAATAAATTAAAAAAATAAAATTTTAATCTACTATTTAAAAAAATCTAATATTAAAAGTTCAAAAGTCTTAGAATACTTTTATTATATTTAATGAAAATTTAATATTTGATGCAAATCATAAATTTTAATTGCATACATTTTTTTCTTATAATAAACGTTCCAATAACTTGAACATTTATGAATGGAGCAAGAGATTGATACGACACATCTAATACACTCATTATCAGAAATACGTGCACAAAACGCATGTTTTAGTCATACGAACGAACAACGTGATCCAGGTACAACTGTTTGTTAAAATCAGCTAAAAGCGTGAAACCGATTCAGCCTATCATTTGTAACTATCTTAAAATTGTCAATGTGGCATTTAGCAAGAATCGAAAACAATACGAGTAAAAAATTATCATCTATCGTAACTTTTATATAATCGTAACACTTTCTAGTTTACTGCAACCATCTATTCACTATAGCTTAACTTAACGTAAACGCATAAATCCCGAAATTTGGAAAAAAAAATCATAGAAAACGTTAAGAAAAACAAAAAATTATAAAAATCTTTCGTTAAATTATTTAAAATAATTTTATTTCTGCGTATTTTAATTGTCCAAATTTCGGGACTTAATAAGCTAAAGATGCAGGTACAAGACACTATGTGTAAGAAGCAATCTCGATTTCTCGCATCGACCAGTGAGTTTCGTCTTTTCGCATTATCTCTAGGAAAAATTTTTTCATTTGTTTCCATAACAAATACAATTCCAATTGAATAACTCGCGTTTCCTGGAAATCGAAAGACGCTAATGGCAAATTATGATATTTATCCTTGATTCTACTTCTTTGTTATTATGTTGAATAATGACGATCAACCGCGAACAGTCTCAATAATTACAACTTCTATGAATATGCAATGAGTCGGATATAAAGGTAAGAATACACACAATATAAAAATAAAATTTTGTCTTTCAATATTTTAGGTTAGAAATTTGCAAGATGGAATCCAAATGAAATTCGTCACTCGTAAATAATTTATTGCGATTTTAACTCTTTCATTCTCATTATAATATAATTATCATTCGAAATTTATATTCTTTGCAACATCTTTTTTTTTTTTTAATAAAATTCGTAAAAAAATTATTTGGCATATCATCCAAACGATTCACAATTCAAACTAAATCTTGTATATCCCGAGAACTCGATTTTAACAAACGAACCATCCTGCTCGTACAAAATTCATTTCACGATCAACCTCTCTCTACCTCTATCGTTCTGTTCGAACACGATTTTACAGATCAAACATCGATGGCCACGCGATCAGTTTGCACGATACGATTCGAATATTTCTCGAAACGATGGTGATATCTTCTCGCGTTTAGAAGCCATCTTTAAAGATCTTTTAAAGACGAAGACGCTTGATTAAAATCCTAATAACTAGAATTCTGTTAGTTGGTTAGCTTATATTTGTTTTTTTTTTTTTTTTTTTTTTTAAGATCCATTAAACTGCAACTGCAATCATGCCATTTACATTGTTGCACAGAAATACAGACACGGATACAGACACGCGTTTAAATATTATTATGTTCCTCCACGGATGCACAGCGATTAAGATTATACACAGCTCGAATTGTACAGAGTGTTCTATAATCTCTTAAATACTTAAAAAAAAAAATTCTCTCCAACGATAATATACATGTGTATAGCCTCCGATTAGGAATTCTTCTCTTTTTCTTTCCTACCATTTTATCTTTTCCTCTTTGTCATTTTCTCCTTACCTTTTTCTCTTTGCATCTTTCTTAAACAAGCGAACAGTCGCTTTTCACCGAGTATCACGCGCTCTTTTGCACGCTCCTCTCTTTAAAATATATTATGCACAGATGTACTCGAGTTTGAAGAAATATAGTGCATTCTCAGAACGATGTTTTAGTGCGTTTCAGCGGAAATTCAAAAGAAGTCGAGCAATGTCGATGACCCGAGAGAGAGAGAGAGAGAGAGAGAGAAAAAGGGAAAGAAAGAAAGAGAGTAGAAAAATAAGTTCTGCGTGGAAGAATAAGTAAAAAATATTACGCGACATTTTTTCATAAAGAAGTTTCCTTTTCGAAAAAATTCAAGGATAATAAAATATCATCATATTGGAATAAAAATATCCTTCGATCAAAAAAATAAAATTTTTGTTTCAAATATAATTAAGGATGTTATCATTTGACAAAATTAAAATTAAAATTAGTGAAATGAAAAATCGAACAACGATTTTCATTCAACAATTAATTAATAAAAATTCATCAGATTTCCTTTAACATAGTTTCCTTTGACTTAAATTCGCCAAGTTTATCAGCGCTACTATATTTCTTCCGACAAGTGTATACACACACGCGATGCTTTGTAATACGCAGTGTTTCGAACAGTATTTCGTGATCACGCGAACATATTTGGATAGAGGATCGCAGCCATGTTTTAATCGGGGCACGCGTGAATCTCTGTGGCATCAGACTCTGATTGGCGACCACGTTGATTCATAGTTTTGATTATCATCGCCGTGACGTTTTATCACGAGGTTTAAAACACTTTGCGTGGTTGCAACGAGGAATCGATATTGTCACTTCGGTGTAAACGCGTCCACTGGTGTGCTGTGCGCGGAGTTGTTATAACAGATGTTAACCAGAAGAGATAGAGAAGAGGAGATGCTGCTTAAAAAATTTACTAAAAAAATTTAGAAATAATTCATTTTAGAATTTATTTTTTTTTTCTTTTTCTTTTTTTTTTTTTTTTTTTTTTGGCAAAATCGTTTTTATAACTTTTACGAGTTATATATATTCTTCCTTGAAATATTTTCTCTTTGAAAACATTGTTTTATATGAATAATATAAGCTTGTTTTATGTTCTACGCATAAACATGGCAGATATGTAACATTTCTTGTATTTATAAAATCTATTTTCTCTGAAAGAAAAACATTGAATATCGTTTATGCTACAATTATTAATTTTTCCGCGCAAATTGATTATCTCCTCATTTATTATGAGAAACTTTATAAACGTTTAGTATCAAACGTAACGTGTATAAAATGTAGAATAATATAATAGAGTATAGCGAGTTCTCACAGATCTAATCTCTTATATAACGTATATTCCGGTTTATCCACGCGAACGTTTATCTCTTGAACAAACTTGTTCGACTCAAAAGTGAAGGTCCTTTTTTTAATTTTATCACTTCTCCTTTCTTAAAAAAATAAATTTTATAAATTTTTTTCCTCCGTAATTTTAACCGTCTAAACGCTAAACTTGATATATAAAAAAATAAATAAAGTAGTAGTAGGTAATAAAAAATGTGAACACGGTGATTTCACGGTGTGTTACGCGATTATCGATAAAACTATCACAAAAATTTTCTAAAAGTAGACAGACCCGGTATTAAGAATCACTTGCAGTATCGATCGTACGCTGAAAGTAGAGTGCCGCGTGCTATTTAACGTTTTGAGTTCGCAACGTTTTTAGTTTCGTTCCCCATACGAAAGATCTCGTCCATTATTTTACGCGAAATATCTTGTTCTGTGTGTTATTTCGGATTGTTGTCGTCGTCAAAGTCAACAAAAATTACGATTTCTGGTATAAAAAATTCCCATTTTTCTTCTACATCCAGTATTTTTTTAAATTTTCTTGTATCATAAACTTGATGTCACCTCTATTATGATAGTTAATAATTTTTTGATTACATTATACTATAGTGATGAGGTGAGGAATATTATATCATTTTATAATTATCCTCTTCTGAAATCGTTCTTTCTTAAATATTTCAATCGACTCCTTCTCAAAATATTCAAATGGCCTCCATTTGTGCCATCCCCATTCTTGTACAATTAAAAAACGCTTCGAGCATGTTTTTTTCTTTTTTCTCTTTTCAATTAAATCTTACGATCTCAAAGAGTTACAAAAATAGTCTCTAATATTTGTCTATTGTACTACTACCTTTGAATACGCGAATTTTCATTTTTTCTTTTTCTCTCATTCTTTTTTTTTTTTTTTCTTTTTTTAATATATCACATTTACCGTAAAATAGACATCGNAAAAAAAAAAAAAAAAAAAAAAAAAAAAAGAAATTGATAAGAAAGAAAAAAATACGATGGATCGAATGACAATAGCGAATCCTTCATTGCGTTTACGATGACAAGAGATTAAATATTGTGACGAACTATATTAAACCTAGAATTATTAGAAATTTTTTTCTCCCATTTCGCTCATTCTTTCTACGAATCATTCGTAAAATTAACATCGATCGCGAGAGATCGATCAAATTTTTGTGCATTTCCTCGACAACGATACACACGCAGTATAGAAACTCGAAGATCCGAGTTTTTGCACGATTAATTAATAATACTGATTCACATCCATTCTCACACGAAAATCATTTGCGGAGATCGGCAACTAGATATACAAACTATCTTCTATAATAACCCAAACTTTCAAACGCGATACATTTATCTTCGCTTACATCGAACTTGATACTCGATTCTTCAAAATCCAAAATTCAAAATTTTTATTTTACATTTTACATTACTTAGACCAACGCGAACGAGTATTCGATACTTCCTTTTCATTTCAAGATACACTCTACCAGTAGAGAGATCAAATTGGATTCTTTTCGTTCGATTGGAGAAGAAAATCGAATAGAATTTTTGACAAGAGTCGAGAAATCGACGTGCATCGATAGGTAATCGAACATCGTCTTTTCCTTTTCTTTTTTATTTTTTTATTTTTTTTTTTCACCCTCTTCATCTGCGTGCTTCAAGTGGCGTGGGTCAGTTACGATGGAAAGAAGTGTCACGTACTTACTCGTTGAAACCGGCGGAGACGAAACGTACGTTATTCGGTTCACCGTAGTTTCTCTGTTTTTCGATTCACATGGTGAACTGGGACAATAGAATTCGGGGAGTTGTTCGGTTGCTCGGAGGCTCGGGTCAAGTGGTGCACCAGGCCAGAATCACTTTCTTGAACGGGACGAAGATCGCTCGATCGGGATCGCTGGAACACAATGTGAAATTATGTCAAAATTATCTTAATGTTTTATGCTTAATATAAAATACGATAATTAGAGGATCGATCGTGATTGTAAATCACGTAGATCTCTTGAATGTCTTTCTTTTTTTTTTTTTTAAACATTTTGCATCGTATAGAAAATAATAATTGTAAATAGAGCGCAAGTTTTTAGATAATAGATTATCTTTCTTCGATCAACTGCAATGCAAAATGCAATAGAATTCAATATTTCCGTATATACGAAGAAAGAAACAAAAATTTTCACGATATTTCATAGAGATTGTATCCAACAAAACGTAGTAGAAGTATTCGAGTTTTTTAGTAGCTGGTAATGGAGACTGGCGATTCAGAGATATCTGGGCAAAAAAAAAAAAAAAAAAAGAAAGAAAGAAAGTAACGACCGATAGAACGTTGGATGGAACATTGTTGTTGCTTTTACACGGTTGGTCGATAGCCATGCCTGTCGCACACGTTATCGTGAGAAACGTCCGTCCAGGGAGAGAGAGCCTTGGAAAATCGCTCCAAGTTTGGCTCGAGATGCTCGCGTGACGATCGTCGTCCCTGAAAGTACACTTCATCTGATTTTGATCTCGAGAACGTACAACATCTATGCGTTACTTCCAGTCCCATCGTGTGTAACTCGAATCAATAACATGGAAACGCGAAAGGAAATTCCTATCGTGGTTTTGTGCAGCGTCGATAAGATTTTAATTGTTCGAGAGAGAGGGTTTCGTTAGAAATTTAATATCACTTTTCAGCATTGACGAGTAATTCTCTGCTTCGATATGAATTCGTTGCGATGTTTCTTGCGATGTTTGCACTTGATACGGATAATTAAAGAGAAATTTCTATCGTGATAGAGAGAGAGAGTTGATAAGAGATATTCGAGAGATTTTCTTGGAAGTTTAAGCGTTATTGGAATGAGTTAAGATAAGATTTGAACTATTTGAAATAGAAATTTCGTAGAAATTTAATATTTCCGAAACAGATTTGATTCGATTCTGATAACATTTGCACTTGTGATAGTTAAAAAAGGAAATTTTTCTCTCATTGTAGAAATTGATAAGATTTGAGCTATTGAAAAAAAGTTATTGTTTTATAGAAATTTTTCATTTAAAATAAATTTGTTTTTCTTACAATATTTGCATTTGTGATACGAGTATTAGCGGTAAAATCCAATTTTTCTAATAAATAAAATCTAGATAACGAGACATTTTTAAGTGAAACGGAGAAAATAACAAAAAGCGTGGAGTCGATCAGTTTGATTGCCAAGAGGATCAGGTATACATTACAATCCATAATTCTTTATGTATAATTTTTTTTTTTTTTTTTTTTTTGCTCTCTTATCTTCTCTCGTAAATTACGACTCGCGGCAATTTGCTCGGCAAAATACAAAACAACCCATATATTTTTTCGATAAGGCTAGAAAACACCGCGACCTGTCTCAATTGCGTGACTCTTCCTTATTGCTCGAAATTTATAGAGTGATAAAAATTCAAGTGCACGCTCATAAAAATGGAAGTACAAGGAAAATGCAAATGACTTATCGGCTCATGCAACCGGTCAACATGTTACAATATTATAACTCGTGAGTACGTGTTACGTGGCATTTTCATTCGATTCTTTCGAGGAAGTCGAGCCACGATACGAGAATCGTGTAACATTGATCTTTAACCGGTCGTCAATTCTTTTTCTTTCTTTTTTTCTTTCACTCTTTCTTTCATCTCTTGATCGTTGTTACGCCTTCCAATAATCCACCGCATAAGACGTGCACCTCTTTTGCTGGAATTTACTTCGCGATTAAAACTCTTTTCTCCAAAGAATACGCACTTTGTGAAAATCCTCGTATTCATCGGAGAAGAATATTCGCACTTTCTGAAAATATTCCTCCTCCTCTTCGTAAAAGAAGAATATACGCTTTGTGCAAATAATAAATACATTGTAACCGAATGAACGTGTCGTTTGAGCTGGCTTGGTTTTGTAACACTCACGATGATAGAATACCGTGCAGATATATAATTAAGAGAAAAATTTGTTATACCCGGAGGTCTAATTATTTTCTAATTTTTTTTTTACGCAAAATTTCCACGAACTCTTATCGAATACATTTAACAAATGATATTAAATTAAAACATTAAAACGGGAGATAAAAATTAGCATCGTCATTCATTCGATAATAAATTCACGTTCACATTTTATTCATCGCTCGTGATGGAAGAAAAAGTAATGTACAGTTATGAAAAATGATAAAAATACCGATCATAAAAATATCATTTTACGTCGATACTCTCCTTTTTATTCTTGGAGTCAAAGATAAAGATAAATCTTTCGCGTGTGTTACACGTAAATATCGATTTAAAAAAAAAAATCTCTCAGATTTCTATATCTTATAATATCTCAATCTCACAAAAAATGAATATCTCAAAAAAATTATTCAAAAAAACAAATTTTAATATTTAATATTTTTATTTAAAAAAAAAAGAAAAGAAAAGGAGGATAGAAATTTATCATAACGGAAGAATATCGATGAAAAAGTATCGATGTATCGTCGATACAAAGTCTCACATTGTATATAAATTGTACATGTGTGCACACATAGGTCAGACCTCAACGATCTACGGCCACGACACGATGAATTACTTATTCATCGTGTTGTCGATGCACTTGGAACAAAAGTGTTACATCGAAACGTTGTTTCACGTGGTTCATCCGACAAGACGTAAAAACGCTTTCTCGGTTTGCGAACCGAGAATAGCAATTACCGCAAAACGGCCACCGATAAATTCTTCAAACTTGGGACAAGATATGCGCAAAAGTGTGCAATTACACCAACTTTACGTAATAATTTTTTCAAAAAGTTTAGCCAAGAAATTACTAGGAAATTTGCCTCGGCGATGGAACGAATTAAATTAGAAATAACGTACGATGAATTAATAAAAGAGATATTTTCAATGCTTCTGAAAATTCGCTGCTTCAAACACGAATATCATCATAGAAAAATCTCTCTACGAATTACTCGAAAATGAAAATATTCCGCAATGGATCTCGGATAAATACGAAACAGTTAATGCAGTTAAAGTGTTTCGACGCAATTCCAACGAGTTTCGAGGAAAATTCTAAAACTCTTCAGGTTTCGCCTCCGACAAAATGAATATTTAAAAAAAGAGGAATATCAAACCAGCCTCTGTACATCCGTTCGTTATCCGGGCGGAGATGAGCGAATTATCGTTTCTTTCGAGGAACAAAAGTTGTTAAATGTAAAGTTATCGAGCGACGTTCACAGGGTGAACTTTGCATTCTTACTTGGAAGAGAGAGAGCCACGTTTACGCCAGTCCACGCGCGAATATAATCTCGTGCACACATGGCCGAGAGAAACGTCCATGGACGAAGAAGAAGAAGAAGAAGAAGAAGAAGAAGAAGAAGAAGAAGAAGCGAGAAGAGAGTTTATCGCGTAGCGGAATTGCTTTTGTCACGCAGCTCGTTCCACGTTCGATCTATTATCTCGAGAACACGATGCAATTACGAAATTAAATACGTTCCCGATGATGATTCGGGAAAGGACGCGGCGGCGATTTAATTAAGAACTAGGCGAAGAAATCGTGACACACGCCGTTTCGTTTGGAACGGTTTCGCTGAAAGGGAGGAAAGGCCCCATTGCCGGGACGCGATTACCCGGCCAGACCTCGTAAAATACGGGTAAACGAATGCATCACGAAACCTCGTGCGCTGCGAAATGATCACTATTATACCTCGTAACTGCAGAAATTCGAGCAATCTACTCGACCATCGAATATATCCCGTTCGTATACTGGAATTTCGCGTTGTTTCCGCGAAGTAGGTAGCGCCTTTCTCAAGTATGCGCTCCGGTAATTACTCTTTTCTGCGGCGCGAGTTGGAAAAATGTCGGGCTGCGGTGTTACGGTGGATGGATTTTTCTTACCGAAGAGAGGATATACTTGACATGGACTTTCGTATACCAAGAAATATATATACAATTATATATATTAAATATTGATATGGAAAAGTATTCCAGGCTACCACTATGGACTTGAATTTTTTAAGAATTAACTCTTAGCTGCTTAAAAAATTTGTTGTTTAATTGTTTTTAATTTTATGACAATAATAATGAAAATATAAAGAGAGAGAGAGAGAGAGAGAGAGTTAAGAGGAACGTAAAAAAACAAGTTTAATATCGTAAAATTAACTTTGTCGATATATCGACGAAAATAGTAAAACTTTTATCCCGTACTACGATATACGAGAGTTATTCTTTGGAAGAAAGTACTTACGGTGTCTACTCGGTCGTTCAATATCACTTTAGTTTCATAATTCGATATCCATGTCTCGTTTCCTAAGCATTTCGTTAACATTATTTTCACTGCGGTAACGATGCAGAGTCGCGATCCTGGCATTGTGTTAATAGGAACTGCTAACTGCGAAAACGCGATCAACGTTCGTTCGATAAAAGACCTGGTTATTATTTCACCAGCGAAGCAACGTTCCCCGTTTCATCGAAGTCTCTTACTTCACGCATCGATCAATCATACGTATAAAATTGTGCTGACGTTGTGCTCGAGAAGAGATAGAATTTTTTAAATAACTTAAATAAACGAAACTTACCAATCGAAGAATCTTCTCCCGTGAAACGTGCCATCGGAGGAGCCATTCGAGTAAGGTAACTCCACGCCTACGTGAGTCTCCTCGCGGCCTGGTACAGGACCCACGTATCTCACTCGCCCTTGAAGAACTTTACCCTCTGGCGATATAATCTTCACGAGATGATCCAGCTTTAGATCTCTTGGTATCTGTCGAAAGAAGGAAAATACAGGGGAAGGTTAAAGATTAATCGAATATTAAAAAGGAAATATTTTCTAAGCTCGTCTTTGTTATCGCACCAACGATATTTCAAAAAACGAAATTACCACGAAAATCGGATCGTAACAATCCGATTAATCGTATTCTAAAAAATCTATCTACTACTCTACGAGAAATAGATTCGTAAGTTATTATTAAATAATAATACAAAGTCGCAATTCGATGCGAAACAGTGTTCGAATCGAGGGACAATACACGTAGAGATAATTGATGATGGAATTTACCTTTGGCAGGTACGGTCTGGCATCCTGTGGCGGATGCCAGTCACGGATTAGATCCGGCTCAGAGTATCGCCGTGTACGTCTCCGCCTAGCTGTCTGTCTGTTCCAGTAATCGGAACTGACGCCGCTACTGGATATTGTCAGCATCGAGTCGATGCTTCGTCGCAAATAATCCTCGGCCTCGTCGATCAACGACTCGGTCGAATCGCCGCTGTTATCGCCGGTCACCAAATCCGAGCGCAGATTTGGCAAGCTGCCACGCGTCATCGGGCATTCTGCGAGCAAACCAACTTGATGATCGTATGCGAAAAACTTGCTACTTGTTGGGGAAAACACCAGATTCATAACAGGTTCCGGCTAATTAAGATTGTCTTCCCGAGAGGATTTCGAATTTGTTCATCGTAAACGTAAATTCATCGAATCGTAAATGTAAGTACGTATTTATTGGAAATGAGAAAAAGAAGTTTGGAATCGTTGTAATATTTTTTTTCCTTTCTTTCTTTTGTAAAAGAATTAAAAGAATATATTGAATAGGTAACCGTGATCGTATCAGCTTTGAAATTGTTTAAAGTTTGATTATTTTAAAATTTTTGCGCAGTTATATATAATATATTTCAATTCTGAAACACATGTGAATATTGCGCGTTTTAAAATTGTTATATAACTATCGAGTTGAAGGAAATAGTAGTATCTGTGAAATCGAAATTTAAAATTCGAATAAATATTATAAAAGTAATCTTAACAAGTGAATTTTGTTTTTATTGTTTGTAATAACTGTACGGAGATATAGGGCAGATACAAAATATAAAAAAAATATTGAAAAGCACCCGCGTAATGTAGATTACGATCAAATTTCTCGTCCATATCCTATAACGTTGGAAACTCGAACCTACGATACGGTTCTATCCAATACAAGGTTGCTAAGCGCGATAGAAGATTAATTTAAAGTGGCTGAGGCTGAGATTCAATTAACTGTAACCAGCTTCAACGGATTATCGAGAAATCAATTACTATTTGCAACATTTTATCCTGATTGAAAATAAAATTCACTCGTTTTCAAACATCAATTCAAATTAAAACTATAAATATTTATAGATACACTCGTAACGTATAGTATATTATTTCTCCAATTATCTTTTCTATCTTTATCGTTGTTAAAATCATTCCACAACGAAAATAAAAAATTCTCTATTCGAATTATTATTTATTTATTCTCTTCGCATTTTCCATAACATCCAGTTCAAATCTGGATAAATTTTGAATCTAATTAAATTGTCCATCGTAGAAATAATACACGTGTCACGATGTTTGACAATCTCTGATCTCTAGATGACAAAAAAAATTATCTAGATTAACTTGTCTGAAGAAGAACGTACCTTGAAAGGTGACCTTCGATCTAGTTCTCTTAGGAACGCTCTTAGAAGTTTTCGAGGACGTAGCAGGCGGGTGCACGTGGGTAGGAGAAGAGGGCATAGAAGACCAGGTGGGTCTCGGGGTGGAAGTGGCGAGCGGAACTCTCCAAGTGTCGAAGGACGCCGCGGTCGCTCTCCACGAGTGTCTACGCGGTGGACCGCCGACCACCTCCAATCCGGGCGATGGGATCGAGGACAATGAACCGCGGTATCGCGAAGAATAAAGGTCGGTCGAGAGACGACAGTCGCAGGGACTCGGCAGTCCTGTGGCAGGGTTGCAACGGGGCCAGAATCCTGCAGGAGAGCCCAATGATTCTCGCCGATGCACGTCCGGTGTACGAAGTCCACAACCTCGGGAACTGAAGCAAGTCTGAAAGAAAAAACGTGAGCGATTAAAAAATGTAGTTTTATCGTCTATAAATAGTATAATAGCCTCGTGACTCGAGGAGAAGGTCACGTGTCTATTATATAACGGAATTAACAAATAATATTTGTATCTTGTTGAATTTGTGCTAATATTTACACAATTTGTTAGATTTGAGTGTAATATATTTTGTTATTTAATTTATATAGGAATGTAAAACTTGGAAAATAAAGGTACATGGGTGCAAATACTTTTTGTAGTCAATATAATTTTAAAAGTTATGGATGAAAAAGTATAAAAAAGGAAAATGAAGATGAATAATAATTGTGTTTTACGTAAGATCATGATATTAAAAATTTCAAAGAATTTTAAGTTGAAATGAAACGATGAAAAATATTTGCATTTCGATTGCGATACTCGAGATCGATAGATTCTTCCTTAAAGAAAGACGGTAATTGTACAACAGAGAATATTATTGGAATCGACACTACGTATCAATCAAGGCAATAAACATTATAAACCGGTAGTATCATAATAAAACGAGACGAAACCGGTAATTAGTCATCCAAGTTGACGAAGAGACGGAATTGCAACGAATTGCATTAACTTCATTCGTTTGACCTTCTCCCACGCACAACGAGTATTCATTTCTGTGAATACTAACAGAAATAAAACAACGCTTTAGGTATAACTCTACCACGTTGCAAAAGAGATTTATGTACACGTAAATAAATTTGTTCTAATTATCTTTTTCCATGAAGTTTTCCGTTTTCCAAGAAATCTGTTTTGTTTAGATGAACAACTATATTACGATATCAACGATGTAAAAGAAAAAAACAACATGATTATGTAAGTTCTTTTCTCTCTCTTTGCGCTCTCTATTTCATAAATTTTTAAATTTTTAATAAAATGCTATAATTTCATTTTAAGGATCCGATATTAAATGCTCCGATTATATTCATTGATCACGAGAAATAAAAAATTATTAGACATTAATAGAATATACTTTTATTATTCATCATCATTTAATTACATCAAGATACTCTTGAAATGTAAATTCCATCAAATATAACGAAATATATTTAATGAAGCACAATAATCGAAAATATTTAAACACCAAACATATAAAAATTTAAAACAATTGTAACATAAAGATGTAACATATATACAATAATAAATGTGAAAGCGATATAGAAATCGATATGCAATTTGCAGTGAACAGATTTCTCTCGTCTGTCGCATAATAATAATTATTTTATAATAATTACAAATACAAATTATGAAGATTCTGATCCCAATTCGGATCCTACCTGTGCGTGTGAATCGTGGCAGAGATGATCGGCACTTCTCGACAGTTCCGGTACCATACTGGTGAAACTGATGTCGGACAGCATGACTCTTCTCGCCTCTCGGGTTTTATCGGATAATCGAAGCCTTCCAGGCACCCCGGCCGGCAAAGCAAATTTGCTGGGCAACGTGGTGAACGTATGAGCCACTTTATGCGCGAGATAACTCTCGGAACGCCAATGGGCTGGAAGCGCAGAAATGTCTGTTTGGGCGCCAGATTCTCGTCTTGCACCGGTGATCCTGTCCATCACTGGTCTCAATGGTGCCACGCTCTTTCGTCGGTTACCCGCCAGAGCTTCACGATGGATGATCGGTCTGAAATAGTGGATAATTACGTATTTATTAACAAGATTATTTTTTTATGAAATTTTTTTAAAATTAATATTCGTCTTATAAAATTTAATTGACATTTAATATAATATGATATACTGATTTTTAAATATGTAGTGATAAAATTTTGAAGTGATAAAATCGAATTATGTGTTAATTTTGAACCGTTAACACTTCATCCCATCACTCATGAATACATTGACTACCAACTCTGATCTAATTTAATTAATAATCTATTAGAATCAAAGCCAATATCTGATACAACTTTTAATTAATAATAATTTTGGCCACGATAATAATTATACACAGTATTGATTAAATATATAATTATAATATTGCAAGAAATAAAATAGAACAGGTGAACAGACGAATGATTTTAATTAGAACGTTTATTAAATTACATATACGTGTCGATTATATGGCAGGAAACATAAGATATCGTTTCCTTTATGCGTACCAGTCGTACAATGCTTTGTAAAATAAATTGTGTACACGAAAAAAAAAAGAGAGAAAAAAGAGTTGGAAGTAAGTGAAAACGTTTTATATAGCAATTAAGTACCGAGCAGCTAATTAATGCACTTTCAACGAATATACGTATACATATATTAGCGTGAGAATTCTTCGTCAAGTGCAGACTGAAGTGCCCTACGAGATGTAAAACTTGGCACATCCATTCAATCGAATAATTGTATCTTTTTCACTTTCATTTTCAAAAATTTGATATGAAAAATAACATCTACATTTATTCCAATTTTTATTTCAATTAAACAAATTTATATATAAAATTATTATATAAAAAATTACTATATTTATTAGTTCGATAAAAAAAGATAAAAAGATATTGAGAAAAAAAGAAATTGATATATTATGCGACATTAAAAAAATATCTATTACCTGTAGGCAGTGGGTGGTGCAGCTAAAGTGTTCCTTCTAACCGCATGTCTGGTAGCATGTTCAGGCTCTTCGACGATTCCACACTTGCTGATATCCGTTTCAACCAACACCGAACACTGCGACCATATTTTGTTCAACCTGGTGCTAGAACCCTCGTCGAACCTGTCCACGCTTTCCTCGCGATCGATACTCGAACTCTGCGAGGAAACCGCCTCTTCGACAGAGCTAGTCTTCTCACCGTTGCACACCAACGATTCACCTTCGGTTGATTTGGTATATTTCAATAATACCGGTTGACCAGCGGGTACAGCCTGCTGCCAGGATTCGGTTTCCGTTATGGAGACGAGGTCCTCTTGAAGACCGAGATCGCGACAAGTCTCGTCCGTCGTGAATATCAACTCGATATCATCGAGCTCTTCAGATTCGTTCTCGGATTGATCGTTCGGTTTCGGTTGATCCACCGTTTGATTTTGACGTTGATTTTGCTGCGACACTTGCGTGTCCGGATTATCGCTGAACACCGAATTGTCTCCATCGGAGACAGACTTCAAACTTAAATCCTCGAGATCCTTCTCTTGCACCTCCAAATGATCAATTTGAACCTCGATCGCATCCTCCTCTTCAATATCTTTGGATTGTCTAGTATTGGTCAAAGCAGAAGTCTCGTTTTTCAACGTGTCATCCAAATCGACGCTAGATATTCCAATTAAAGGTTTAACAGAAATAGAGTCCTTAGACATGGTGCACTTCAATCCGATGTCCTTAGATTCTGATTTCGAGAAGGATTGTGCATTCTTGGACATTTTCTCAGCTGTATGAGAATAATCAGGATTCTCATTGTTATTTCCAGCGTTGATGTCGGTACACGGCCCAATGACCGGTTTAGATGCCTCTGGCATGTCCTCCGCGACTAGTTCGTCCCTGGATTCGTCCATGAGTACGCCTACTTCCTCTGACAGACTGATATCGTTCACAGGGTGAGAATGACAGCGAGAAACAAACCGCGTGTGCACGCTACGCGTGGCTATTAATAGTTACAACATCGAGAACTAAACGCATTCCTTTTAATTAATGCTAACACCATGAAGCTTCTCCGTTTAGCGATTCATGTTGCTAACTATCGAATTATGCAAATATCTTATCAATTATAACTATTATATATAACTATTATTCTGAATTTTTTTATATTTGACAAGACACGTTGTGCATTATTTTATTCCAATTCTGTATATCTTTTTATATAAACATGAAAAATTGCTTTAGTCAAAATAACTTTTTATTAACGAGTCAATAAAAATAAAACATATAAAACGTATAAAACTACAAAGTAAATGTTGAATTAAAACCAAATACAACAAACAATGAATAAATGAATAATCGTTTCACGTCAATGTGATTAATTGGAACACCATTTTTTGCACGCAAATAGGAAAAATCGTTTTTCCATGTTAATATTACTACGATTGATAAAGAGAATCGATAAAAGGTCATTATCGATCAACTTCCTTTGCCAAGTTGCTCATGATAATCGAGCAAAATTTAAAGATAGGCTTACTCTTCGATGTCTTCTACTGCGAATGAAGAAAAGAGGGCCTGAGGTGGCGGACTTGTAGCAGCATCGTTAGAAAATTCACTGTTCCTGCTTAGGATCTTTCGTCTAAGGACATGATTCTCAAGAGCGAGCCTCTCGACAACGTTAACATAGCTTTCGCCAGAAAAATCACCAAACCTTTCCTTAAGACGACGAAGCTCTTCCCGTGAGGAATCCAGCGCAGAACGCAAAGATATCACAGTCTGAAAGGACCATATTGAAAAGTCAATTATCATTATATTTTGTAAATCAAATGTAAAAGATATATATAAGAGGAAGCAAAAAAATTCTAAAGCATCTAAAACATAAAATATTTGAATTTATGTAAATTAAATTTAAACTTTACAATATTATAACATTATCATCTTAAGGAATATTTAATATTTTTTTAAAATTTTTTAAGAAGAGTGTTTTAAAATAAAAATTTTATAAATAAAAAAAATAAAAATCAGAATAAAGTATAACGAAAGCTGAAAAAGCAATAGTTTTGATTTTTTTCGTTTTTAATTTTAATTTCCAATCATTATATATCAAGTAACATTATTTTTTTTTCAAACTATTCAATTTATTTTATTTTCTTAACAAACAATCTATGCCTATCATCATCATATGCGATAACAATAAATTTTAATTCGAATGTTCATAAAATAGCTTCAATTACATATTATTATCAAATGAAGATATTAGGAATTAATTAAGATTATGGATGAATGTTTGAAAAAAATTATAGTCATATGATTTGATTTCGCTATACATATATAATGATTAATATATTGATGTTTTCTTTAAAAAAAAGATATCTATTATGCGCTATTATTGCTATTATGCTATTCTAAAAATCAGCAATCAATTGATTACTTTCTAATTTATTGTGAAATTGCACGAATAAATTATCAATAATTCTCAACTTCGTACAATGGAAAATAAAATATTTATAACTATTTATATAACAGGAATCAGATAGAAAGTATAATGAAAATTTAACACAGAATTAAATCCAAAAAATATAATTCAATATAAAATAATATAAAGGAAGAAGTGTATTAATGTAGAGATATATATTCATGATATATATATATATATATATATCATCAACAAATGTTAAAAGATTAATTGGAAAAAAAATCAAAGAAAAAAAAAATTAAATTTAATGTCATGGATGTCTCGGATTAATCGATGATTTTTAGAAAAAAAAAAATATTAAAATTGGTTTTTTAAAACTTTTTTAAACTCTATTATCTAAATAATGTAAGAAATGTTCTAATGTTCTAATGTAAGAAAACTGTAAGAGTTTTTATATTCTTTAATTTAATAATGTTTAAAATTATTTTAGATCAAATAAGAAGAAAATATAATATAAAATAAATAAAAATTTAACTATAATGATATTTTATATCATATATATCATGAATGGTAGTAAAATTGGAAGAATTAATTAAATTCGTTGATTCAAACCTGATGCAATGCTCTTACGACGTCCAGTCCGGGGATTCCCGGGGATGACAGGGTAAGCTGCAGCCTCTGATGGTGAGACTGCCGACCAGCTTCAGCTTCCATGCCTCCTCCTCCCCGCCCAATATTTCTAACGAGATCTTGTTATCTCCACAGATCATGCCGAAATCGTCTTTCTCTTTGTCCGTTTTACCACTTCAGCCAGAATTTTACCGATTCGAATCGATTACTTTATTTTCGTTACAACATACAACAGGAACCACTGATCGATTTCCTCACTCATTGGACCTCGAATCTTCAAGGTAAAGCCAAAAAGATCAGATAATGATATATTGATATAATCAGATGAACTATCATAATTAATAAATATTAATTCAAAACAATTATTAAATTTTAATATATTTCATAAAAAAAATACGAAATATGAAATTAAATATAAAACTATAATAGATAATTAATGACAACTTGTTATAGATAGAGCCGAAAATATCAGAGATGGACACGAGATGGTTGTACTCCATTACTTTACATATAAAATTATGAAATTAGAACAATATATTTTTTTTAATATGTTATCCAAAAAAGAACGGTCAATATGATACGTAGAAATACAAAATACATTCAAAGCATAGATTAAGCGTGGTATATATAACAAAATATTTTTTATCACTGTTCAAAATATTATACATATCGTATATGTCGTATATCGTATTATGTCGTATATCAATTTTAATACATTGCGAATTTTCTGCATGTTATTTTTGATTGTTAAATAATATAAACGATATATTATTTTACACAATAATTTTTTTTTTATTCAATAAAGATATATATTATATATAACTCATTTGAATTAAATTATATTTGTTGAATATAATATTAATATGTGTTTAATAAACGTTATATCTTTAATATATCGAATAAAATGAAAATTATTAAAAAAAATTTGTAAAACGAAATTAAATCATTGTTTAGAAAAATAATTATTGAAATATAAAATAAATAAGTTTTTATAATTTTTTATAAAATTAAATTAAAACTTATTTATATTTATATAAATTTTTAAGATATAATAATAATTTTTGTAATAAAATTATTACCAATCAAGGAAATTATTAATTTTTTTTAGAAAGTGACGCTGTAATACCATACGGATTGATTCACTTTTACACATGCACTTTATATTCACTTTATATTCACTATCGAGAACATACTACTGAGAACAACGTTTACGGCGATGCCTCGAAGTTTTCCAATAATCAGTCATTGTTAGAGCTATTAAATGATAACAACCAATATGAAACAATTGAAAAATCTATAAATTAAACTTGCATGCGCTAAATATTTTAAATTTATTAATTCTATATAATTAAAACTTTCTCAAACACCAATTATTATTTAATAGTTAAGTTTTCTTCTTATGAATACATAATTCACTAAAATCGTTTAATGGTTCTTATTATCAAAGAAAAACAGTTCACTTGTATTTCAATATTAATTATATTCAAAATTACATTTTTAATTTTAAGTACTACACACTAATATAATTTTCATAGGAATGTCAACAATAAAGCTCGAACTGTCACTTGCCCTTTAATGCAGACGACGAGATAGAAATACATACTCAATTATCAGGTTTGCCAACATTGTGTAATATTACTCACAATAAGGAGCATTTTCACTAGAAGATATAAATGACAAATATTGCAAAACAATAATTCTTATTTATCAGAATATATATTCGTGTATATAATGATGATTTAAGCTTAAATTAATATTATTTTATTATTATATTTTTAAAAATTACTTTTATATCTTTTATAATTGGAAACTATAAATATTTATAGAACATTAAAATTCAAGATGACCTATATTAAAAATTATTTAAATTATTAAAATATTTTTACTTTTTGTAAATTACAATATAAAAAATATTAAATGTATAATTTAATTATTGTATAATAAATCAATTTTGCTTTTCAATTTCTATCTTTTAAGCTTATTTGAAAATCAAATTGTTAGAACTATAGATAATAAGTATTACATAGATATTATCTGTCTGCTCAAAGTTTGGTGTTACGAGTATACTATTATTCGTGACGTTGATATAACATAATAACAATTAAAAAAATAAAGAAAAAAATACGAAGAGTTTTTATAAAAACGTAAAAGTAATGTAATGTATTTTATCAAAAATAAATTTTAATTGAAAAAGTGAATCTACTTCGTAAGGATGGAAATAAATATAACAAACATTTTGTTTGTAATTTTTTTACATATATCGATGCTAAATTGTACTCATTTGACAAAAACTTATTTTAAAGACGAATATGTAAATAATGGTGAAAATATGCCAAAAATCAGTTGGTTATTCAGCAATTCTATTGATAATTCCATTAGAGTTAAAAGAGCTAAAATTGATTTGACTGAAGACAATTTATTAAAATCTATGAATATTAAATGCCGACAAAATTTGAATCGCTTGTGTCATATAACTAAAAATAATGACGAATTAATGTTACTAGAATGCATTCAAAATTTTAAGGTATAGCTTCTAATCATTTGTAATTAACATAAAACAAGGTATGTAATAAAATAAATAAAATAAAATTATTGTTTTTATCTATTTACTTTTATTTTACAGCCAACTGAAATGTCTGGTATTGATGATGAATGTCGTCAAGCAATTTGGGATTATATCTTAAACATTACAGATAATTCAAATATAGAACGTTTATCTAAAAGAACTTGTGGTAGAGAATTAGATTCATTAGATTGTTCTGGTTTTGGCAAAAAACATGGAGCATATCTCTCATGTTTAATTGATCAAAAAGAAAAAGTCAAAAATCCTAAGTGCATTGCATATATTCAAAGATTAGAATGGATTGCAGTTAATGATTTTAGAATTATAATAGGACCATTTTCTTCAGATTGTGAAAATGATATTAAGAAATTTAAATGTGACAAACTACAACCATACAGAGATATATCTCAAGGACAAATATTAGCTTGTTTACAAGAACATGTTAATGAACTTCAACTTCAATGTAAAAGACATATTCTTCATGTATCTGAAATACAAGCAGAAAATATCAAATTAGATCATCAATTATATTTGGCTTGTAAAAATGATCTTAGTGAATTTTGTCGAAATATTAGACCTGGAAGTGGTCAAGTATATAAATGTTTAATGCAACACAAAACAAATAGATCTATGACAGCAGTATGTCAAGAACAACTTACAAGAAGAGGAAAATTAATTGCATCTGATTATAAAGTTAGTAAAGGACTGGTTAAAGCTTGTAAAGATGATATTAAAATTAATCATTGTAGAAGATCTGCATTTGAAGATAAAAATATAAGACTTGCACAAATTCTTCTTTGTTTGGAATCAGCAGCAAAAAATGGAAGCAAAATTGATGAAGATTGTCAAGCTGAAATGTTCGATCATAGAAAACTTTTAATGGAAGATTATAGATTATCTCCTGAAATAGTTGATGGATGTGCTAATGATATTACAACATTCTGTAATAATTTGAAAATTGGTGGTGCAACAATTCATTGTTTAATGGAACATACTAGAATGAGAAAAAAAAAATTAAGAATATCTAGTAAATGTCAAAGAGCGGTAATTAAATATTTATATATATTTTTATATATAAAAAATTATATAATTATAAATATTAATTAAATATCTTTCGTCATCATAATAGATAGAAGAATTAATAACAGAAACTGATGCTGGAGAAGATTGGAGAATTGATCCTATTTTAAGAGAACAATGTAAATTTGTTGTTATTCGTGCTTGTAGAGATGTAAGAAATATTTAATCAAATAAGAAAAAATTTAAGAAATCTAAATAATATCTAATTAAACAAATAAGTAATATTGTAATTTATTTTAAATATAGATACATGGAGGTGATGCTAGAGTAATATCATGTTTAATGGAACAACTTGGTACAAAAATAATGACAAAAGCTTGTGAAACTGCTTTAATTCAAATACAATATTTTGTAGCTAGAGATTTTGAATTAGATCCTCAATTGTATAGAGCATGTAAATTTGATGCAATACATTTATGTCATGCAAGAAATGCATGGGCCAATGATGGAAAACAAATGGATCCAGAACGAGGACCTCTTGTTTTACCATGTTTATATAGACATGTATATCATCCTCAAAAAAATATGACAGTAAGAATTTACATAATTTGATAAATAACATTGTAAATAAATTTATTTAAAATTTATTTTTGAATTTATTATTGAATTGATTTATTTCAGTTAAAAACAGAATGTATTGAAGAAATTAGACGTGTTATGAGACAAAGAGCAATAAATGTTGATTTACAACCTGAAATTGAAGAAGTATGTTTGAATGAATTAGCATCATTTTGCTATGATAAAACGGCAAAAGGAGAAGAAATATTATGCCTCCAAGATAACTTAGATCGGTAATAATAAATTCAATTACATAAAAATCTGAATTTTTACACTATTTATATTTTTAATTTATTTATTTTATTTACAGTTTAAATAGGAATTGTAAATTAGCAGTTGGTAATTTTACAGAAGAGCAAGCAGAACATGTTGAATTGAATCCAATAATTTCTGCTGTGTGTCAAGATATTATGGAACGTTATTGTGAGGTGCAATATAATTTTTTAAAAAATTTAAATTAAATATTAATAAATATATTTTTTTTTACTTAATTATAATTTATATAAGAAACTTATAAAAATAGGAAATATTAAAATATGGTAAAGATGAGGGTGACATGATGGAATGTTTAATAGAACATAAAAATGATTTAAATGTGCGATCCGATTATAAATGTAAAGCAGCAGTGGAACATTTTCAATTAATATCATTAAAAAATTATCACTTTACATATAAATTTAAAGAAGCTTGTAGACCTTCTGTTAAGAGATGGTGTCCAAAGTAAATTTTTAATACAATTTTTTAAATATTTTATATAAATTTTAATCGATAAAAATATCTATTTTTATATTTAATATTTAGATCTAAAACTAAAGCAGATGTAATAGAATGCTTAAGTACAAGAGTACAGGAAGATATAATGAAAGATACACAGCATCATATACCAAGAGAATGTAGACAACAATTAAAAGCACAGCTTTATCAACAAAGAGAAAATATTCAATTTGATCCTATTTTACAAGCACAATGTATAAATGATATTAAACAATATTGTTATAATCTTGAACCAGGAAATTCACAGGTTGATATGTATATTTATCTTATTTAAATTATTCAATTTTCTATTCCAATATTTTCTATTTCAATATTAATATAAACATTATTTTTATAGATTCTTGAATGTTTAGCAGCACATAAATCAAAATTATCTGATGCATGTCATAAACAATTGTTCAAAGTAAGAAAACAAGAATTTCAAGATAGTTCAAGTGATTTTGCTTTATTAAATAATTGTCGAATAATGGTCAGACAATTCTGTCATGATATCAGCCGTTCACAAGCATTAGATTGTTTAAAAAAATATAAAGATGAACCAACATTTGATGATAAATGCAAAAATATTGTTGTTCGAAGAATGATTGAACAAAATACAGATTATAGGTTTAATACTGCATTACAAATAGCATGTTCTTATGATATTAATAAACATTGTAAAGAGGTAAAAATATGTTACTGATAATATTTTTTTATTTTTTATTATTTCATTAAACAAATAATATTTTTTCATTAGGTATTATTAAATGAACCTACAGATAAAGAACTTGAAGGAAAAGTTATAAGATGTTTAAAAATTAAATTTAGAGAATCTAAACTTTTAACAAAATGTGAACATCAAATGACCAACATACTTAGAGAGGCAGCCTTAAATTATCATTTAAATCCATTATTAGCTACAATGTGTGCACATGAGGTATTATTTTTAAATTAATTATACAAAAAAAATAAATATATTTTTATTAATATAGTAATTATTTATGCAATATATAATTATTTGGAACAGATAGAAACAATTTGTAGAGCAGATGAAAATGATTCTGGAGCAGTAGAAGAATGTTTAAAAATGGAATTTAATGCTGGTAATAGAGATATGAAAGAAGAATGTCGACTTGAAATTGCTGATTTAATAGAGCAAAGAAGAGCAGATATCAATGTAGATCCATTATTACAAAAAGCATGTGCTGTTGATATCAATAAATATTGTAGTGATGTTCCCCAAGGCGCAGGCAGACGTACGTAAACAAATATATGATATATTTATATAATTGATTTACAAATTACAAATTACAAATTAAATAAAAAAAAAGTTTTCTATGTGTATTGGAAATATAAATCAAAATTTTATTATTATTAGATATCAAGTGTTTACAAAATGTATTAGAAGACAATAACAAGTCTCTACAACCCGATTGTTACAAAATGTTAACTACTAGGATTGAAATGTTTAGGAATGCAGCAAAAGTAACAAATTTTTGTATACTATTTAGAAAAATATCTATTCTATAATTTATAAGATAAGAATTCATTTATTTATTTATTTACAGTTAATTGGACCAAATTCAATACAAGAATTATATTCAACAGTAAATCAATCTCCTGCAAGACGATATTTTATGATCATTGCTTTGACAATGATTGGTATCATTTTCATTACTGGTTTATTTTGTGGAAGAGTGACGAGACGAACAATGATAATGAAAAATAAGTGATAAATTATAATAAAAAAAGTCCGTCCTCGATTCTTTATCACTGTAATTAAAAAAGAACAAAATAATTTTAAGTAAACATCGAAAATTAAAAAGAATAAAGTGATTATTAGTGATTTTTTTGCAAGATATATCAAATTGTGCAAAATATAAAAATAAAAAATAGTAACCTTATATATATATATATATATATAATTTAATTTCTTTTTCGTTTTTTTTTTAATATACATATAAACTTCTATTATAAAAGGGAAATATTTGCATATTATGTTCATGTTCATTTACAATTTTACAATTTATTGTTCAATAGTATTATCATAATATAAAAAACTGTAAGAATGAATGGAATGTAAGTTGTAAGTGATTTGCAATTAATATAGATTTTAATAAAAATATATATATATTAATAGAGAATATATATATATATACATAATAAATTGAAATGAAAAATAAAATTTTATATCAATATTTATACATTTATATGATATATAACAAAATATCATAAAAAAAATCATTTATATCAATATTTATACATTTATATAATATACAACAAAATTTCGTAAAAAAATAAAATGATTACATTTTATTTAAAGCAAAATGTATTATCTGGGCACAAATTACCTTGGTCTTCCATTTTAGAACATTAGAATTCATATATATTAGATATTATTAGAAATGATTTATAATTAATATTATAATAAATTTAAATATTATATAATATATATACAATATGACATATAAGAATATTACATTATATTTTACGCAAAAATTCATGCTCAATTTACAATAATTAATGACTAAAGTTATTGAAACATATCAAACAATCATCAATATATTATTATTGTATTATAAGTTAAAGTATAAGACCAAATATTGTGTTAATATAGAACATATTAAATAAATAGTATGCAATATACAAATAAAACCTCAAAATAAAAATAAATATTTAAGTATAGTTATACCATTATTAGTTATAATAAATAAATTTTTTCCATATTTGTGTTATAAAAAAATATTAAAATTAACAAACAAAATGATTTTATTTAAATTAAATTTGTAAACTATATATATATATATATATATTTTCATTAAAAAACGTATTTATTTAAAATGAATCATATTAATAAAATCAGTTCATATCTTAAAAAAAGAATTAAATAAAAATCCTGAGTTTTATTTTTATAGCTTTGATATTTGAGTTTAAACACTGCGCAACGGTTATATGTATAGTTTAACTAAAAGCCGCAAGAAGACGCGACAATCGCATAAAATACAAGACCTAGCAAAACATTGTAACATCAAAAACCTTTATAGCGCAAGTCCATAACGTTGTTTCCGTTGAAAGGATAAAATTATAGCTACAGTAAATGTTGTGAAAAATATACATTGTTTAATATTGTGTGTGTTAAGTGTATAATATAATTGTTGTGTACAAAACATTTGCAAATCATTATTATTACTAATTTCAATTAGAAGCTATATAGATTGATTATTTTAAATTCAAATTTATTATTGAAAGATTGATGTTTAATATGCATCGAAGAACATCATCATCGGATACAAAAAAATATTTAAAAAATATAACATGTATGAGAAATGTCGAATCGCAATGAACTGCGCAATGATATAGGTGTGGCGCGTAAAAGAGAGAGCGTACATGCACGTATACGTAGCATACGTGCAATACGTGCTCCCTTGGAATGAAGACAACAAAGAATTGGATTAACTTTCCCCTGTTACGTTTACGTTTAAAAAACCGATCGATTGCTTTCATGCAGTGTTAAATATTTAATTCTGCTAAATATAATTGTATGTGTATATAGTATAAACAAGGTATTCGTTTTTGAAATCGAAATAAATCCTGTGCCGATCTTGAAATAAATATCTGTAGTGTTAAAAACACCGTGTGGGTGCGTGTGCGTGAGCGTACTCGTGCCCGTGCCTGCGCCTATGCGTCTCCGTTCGCCAAGTTGTAGTGATCTTCGCAGAAGTAGTGGCAGTGGTAGAAACAGTGAAGGTGGTGGTGGCGGTGGCGGCAATAGCAACAGCAGTGAAGGAGACAGTGAAGGTAGTGGTGGTGGTGGTGGTAGTGGTGGTGGTGGCGGTGGTGGTGGTGGTGGTAGTGGTGGTAGTGGTGGTGGCGGCGACGGCGGCCGTGACAGCATTTGGAGGGAGAAATTTCATACATCGTGACTGAGTTAGTGCGTGTACGTGCTACCGCGCGTATATGCTCTCTCATTCTCAAGATTGTGCGCGCGTGTTTGTATATGTATGTATGTATATTATCGCGCGCGCGCATTAACGGAATTCACGATCAGACACGCAGAGACTCTCAACAAATGTTTAAATGGACGCATCGTCCATTATCACGCAAGTGTCGCGGGATGACGAGCTAGGCCAGTTTAATAATGGGAAAGGTAGGTGTCTGCTGTGAATACAGCTTGCCGCCTTACATTTTTTTTTACGTTTTTCTTCCAGATGCTGGATGGAATCTGCACCTGTTACGGGACTGCACCGCACTCCTCACCTTACCTTACCTCACCTAACGTCACCTCTTACTTCTCTCCTGTTATTCGTCTATACTTCACTTCCGACGTCTCTTTTCCTCTCGCCCTCGTTTTTGCCTGGCCTCGCCTCATTTTGCCTTGCCTCTCCTCTTCAAATCATCCTTCTCCCCTCTTTTCTTTCACTTAAGTTCGCGTGTAACTTATTTCATCGTGTAGTATTCTATCTTGCCGCCGTTTTAAACTATTGTATTTTGTTGTATGATGCTCGATATTGAATGAATGATTTAAACAATGCAATTAAAGTCAAATATTTTTCTCTTGAAAATTTTTAAATAATATGTAAATATTATTATATAAATATTTTTTGCTAATGATAATTTTTAATTCATTTTGTAAATTAAACAAAAAGTAAATTTTCATGTATAGCTCCTTAATTAATTAATATTAATTAATATTAAAATTAATTATAAAAAAAGATTTTTATTTTTTCAATATTTTTATGTAAATATATTTTAATACAATTTAATAAGTTTTAATAATTTTTATTCATGTAATACATCTGATATATATATTTGTATATATATATTCATAAAATTTATTGTTTCAATACAAATTTTATTTCTTCCAAATGTAGCTCAATTACCACAAGAAAATGAAGTGGCCAACAATAATCCAGCCAGTGGCAAAAAGCCAAGAGGGCGTGGACTTTTGCGATCTCTACTTTGTTGTCTTGGTAGAGGACGTGGAAGTAGTTCAAAAAGTTCAAAAACAAGTTCATTGCAAGGTGATGGACATGGTTCTCCATCCCTGAGGACTGGATCCCCAAGGTTCCTTCTTCCACCTGTCAGACATCAGGATATGCACAAGAAGTGCATGGTGATTGATTTGGATGAAACACTAGTGCATAGTTCTTTCAAACCAATCAACAATGCCGATTTTGTTGTTCCTGTAGAAATTGATGGGACAGTACATCAAGTGTATGTTTTAAAGAGGCCTTATGTGGATGAATTCTTACAGAGAATGGGTGAACTTTACGAGTGTGTATTGTTCACTGCAAGTTTGGCTAAGGTATATTATATAAACAATTATTTATTACTATTAGTTTTAGGAAAGGAATATTATTTGAATATTCAAAATTTCTGATATTTACAGTATGCTGATCCAGTAGCAGATTTACTTGACAGATGGGGCGTATTTAGAGCAAGACTGTTTAGAGAATCTTGTGTTTATCACAGAGGAAATTATGTTAAAGATTTAAATAAACTAGGACGGGATTTACAACAAATTATTATTGTTGATAATAGTCCTGCCAGCTACATTTTCCATCCAGATAATGCAGTAAGTTTTAATAGAAGAAACATACACACACGCAAAGAAGAAAAGAAATAAATAGAGATATAAATTATAAAATAAGTTTATTTTTAGGTACCAGTGGCATCATGGTTTGATGATATGACAGATTCAGAATTATTAGATTTAATTCCATTTTTTGAAAAGCTCAGTAATGTGGAGAATATTTACACAGTCTTGTGCAATAGTAATCATCCTTATAATCAAGTACCTTCGGCTATACAAAGTAGTCCAAGCCCAGGGTCAGGTTCACTTGGTGCTTCCTAGCCCTACCTAAATTCTAGCCAAATAGTCAGTATTGTCATCGCTCAATGCACTCTGAGGAGAATTTTAATTGGAATATTCCACATTGCTTATTTGTTATGTAGCAATGGATAATCAGGTATGACTTATTAAATGCTGGATATATAATATAAACATTTATCAAAAAATTGTCAAAAAGAAATGAAAAATTGAATTATATATTAATTATTTCGATAAAACATAAATCACAGCTGCTTTCTTTATTGATTTCAGTTCTTTTTTCTGAGAAATAATAATACAATATTGATTGTTCGCAATATGTCAAAAACAATGAACTGATTCTATTTATTTAATTATTAAAATATAATTGATAAAAAGTTCAAAAATATTAATCTAATTGATTATATAACAAGACATTCTTTTAATTAAATTGGAAAAAAAATATGTTTTAAATACAATTTATTACACAATGAATTAATGTGTATATTCCCGTGTTTGATGTATTTGAGAAAAGGAGTAAATGACAATGGTAACAATACATGAAACATAAAATTTGATATTTGATGAATAAATATATTTAGTTGTCATATCATTTAAATTTGTGTAAAGTACATCCAAAAATTATTTGCACAAAAAAATAAATCAAAGTGTAATATAGAAAAAAAAATCAGATTACTTAGAGTCTTTTGATGAGCTATTATAATTTTTTTTTCTAAATATTCCGATTATTTACTATAATTTTGCTTTTAACACTATACTAGTATTGAACTTCAATGAGTTTTTCTCTTTTTATGATTATCACATATTGAATAAAATAATTCTTATGTATATTTTATGAGGCTAATAATTCTAAATATTTACAAAAATATAAAATTTTCTTAACTATTTAATATTAATATTAGTGAAGTTCATTGGAAACTTGTATATTTAACTTCATTATCATGAAATCAATAGAATTTTTTTATAAATGAGCATAAAAAATTAAAATATAAATATGTGGAAAAATAATGTATATGCAAAATAAATTATTTTTTCATTTTTTTATAAAATAAATAAAAAAGGTGAAATATCAAATCTGACAACATTAGTTAATTTAATTTAAATAAAAACTATGAAAAAAGTATATGATATTTTATTCTTATTATTTTAATGATATTATAATTCTATTCCAAAGAATTAAAAAAAAAAAAGAAAGAATAATGCAATAGAAATTTTATAAGATAAAAAAAAATAATATACATTTGAATATTATATTAATGCATATCATTCTGTTTTCAAACAATTGCGTCGATGAAGCATTATGTTAATCATTACAATAATAAATTACATTACATACATTAATAAATTAAAATTATTTAGATGTAATCCATAAATGAATAAAAAAGTATATATTTACATTTGTAATACACTTATTAATAAATAGTCAACAATTTTGTACGCTTAATTCGTGCATAAGAAATGTACAATTAGAATTACATTTTTATATCCAAACTATCGTTATTCATGCTTTTTTATTTTATTTGTATTGTTGATAATATATTCATCATTATTAATGATATATTAAATCAGATTTTATAGATAGATTAAACCAAATTTTATTATATTGTCATTATTAACTTAGTTTCAAATATTATATTTTATATTATTTTATATTATTTATCATATTATATTTTTCAAAATAAAATTTATTAGAAAAAAACAAACAATTTAAATAAATATAATTTTAAATAAAAATGTTTATAAATGAAATTTTTATTTATATATATTATATGTGCTTATTAGCTTTTATCCCTTTTATTGATTTATTTTATTATTTATTTTATTATTTTCATATGATATGTTTATCATATAATATAATATAAAAATTTATAGTCACATATTGGTCTTTTTTTTGAAATTTCGCGCAATATTTGTTTTATATTTTAAAATAAGAAAAATAAAATATTGATAAATAAAAACAAAAAAAAAATTAGTTATAAAAAAGAGTTAATAAATTTTAAAATAAATTTATTGTTATATTTTAAAATAATCATTAAAATAGAGTTTAATAATATTATACATTTATGATTTGGAAATAATTTTTTTTAGTTTTAATTTATTAATAGAATGAATTGAAGTATAATAAATAATATAAATATAAAAATAGAATAAATAGAAATATGAATTCTATTATTGTTTTATTCTTCTATTATTTTTTATTACTTATCTCATCATATTATTATTATTGATAAAAAAAATAAACTATTATTGTTATAAGATTTTATTTCATATAAAAAAGGGCTAAGGTATACAGAAATAATAAAGTTACATAATAATAAATCTTAAATGCATAATATTGCATAATGCTGTATATTGCATAATATTAAATGGCTTCCAACTAAATATTTTTTCAATTTTTTTGTTACATATTATATTATATATTATGTAACTATATGTAACTAACTGACAATATTGTTTTCAATCAAATTTTAAAGCACCTGATACAAAAATAACATTATATACTAAATATATGCAATAAATAAAAATTAAATATTATATTGATTTTCATGAAAGTTTTATATAAGATCATTTTAATATTTATTATTTAATCTAAAATACACAAATTTATCTCAACATTATATAAAAATGTTGAATGTTTATATCTAGACATTATTTGTATTGTTATATTTATGTTTATTATTATATTTAAGAACAAAAAACGGCATGTTATAAAATATTTATATTTAGTAAATGTACCTCGCCGTTATAACTAAAAACAAAGTTATGCTATAATCATATCCTTTCCATTTTATTCTTATAAATTTATAAATTTATTAAAATAGAGAATCGGATATTATAAGAAATGATCATTAATTTTTAAAAGTTTTTGATATAATATCAATTTAAAAAAACGTACATAAATAATAATATTTGCAATTCTATAATATAATATAAAATCTATAATATAAAAGATATTTCATTTTTCATTTGTATAATGCTCATCAAAATGACTCTAATTATAGAGTACTTTTTCAGGAAATATATGCGAAAAACACGGAAAATCAGAGGAACATATATATATATATATATATATATATATATATATATCAATAATATTCGATAAATTTTTAGAGTTAAAATCTCTGTTCTCATTTCCTGCCTGAAAAGAGTGATAAATTTAAAGTATATATGAGCGATTACAATGCGATTACAGTCATGTGACAAAATCTTAAAAAATTATTTCTAAGTTCTTCATCTTGTCCCTCCTTTTTCTTTTCACAAAAATTTTTATCTTTAATACTATATAATAATAAAATTCAAATATAGGAAACATCAACATAATATTGTAAACTTTTGAAAAAACAGATGTGGAAAAAATCATGTTATTTCCGACAAAGACTGTGTTCCTTATCAGATTTAACGTACATGAAATAACATATATCAAACATCCCTTAAGTATCCATCACGTTGTGCTTCCGTGATTAAATAACATTAACAATCCAGTGTACTGCTTTTATTGAATGCAATTTGTTGAATGCTTGAAACACGTATCTATAGTATTTCGTAATATTCATGCGTTTCTTTTGTCATGTTTTAATCTTTCCAAACATTTTGTTTTCTTTTCTTTTTTATTATTATTATTATTATAATCATCATCATCATCATCATCATCATCATCATCATCATCATCATCATCATCATCATCATCATCATCATCATTATTATCATCATTATTATCATCGTCGTCGTCGTCGTCGTTATTATTATTATTATTATTATTATTGTTATTATTATTGTTATTGTTATTATTATTATTATTATTATTATTATTATTATTATTATTATTATTATTATTATTATTATTAATGATTTATTATCATCATCATCATCATCATCATCATCATCATCACTATGGAATTGTAACATGATTGTAGATATTGTAGCAAAACACTAAAGATAATGATTCATTTGCTACAATTTAGATTTATTATTGAAAATGTGCTCCGAGAAAATTGTTAGCGTGAAGGCGAAAATAATTATGATTAATAATTATATGTATACGTATATATAATATATAAATATTAGATAGATCAATTAATTTATAAATCGCAATACTTTTATATAGCAAAGCAACGATGTCTTCAAATTCGTAATTTTTCGTATTAAAATTTACATATATATATATATATATATATATATATATATATATGTAATATGTATATGTAATACGTATATGTACAAAAATACAAGTATTGCTCTTATTGATGAACAAGGAACATATAAATAATATATTTTTAATTGAATTCACTGGTATTTGTGCAAATTATTTGTTTATACAATCTATTATATTTTATTATATTTTGTAATGTTTAATATATTGAGTTATCTTGAATTTCTTAAAAGTTCATTTATACCGGTAATTTTATTACAATTAATTATTAAATCATTTATATGTATTTGTATGTATTGTTTGTTTTATAAAATGAATTTTTCTTATCGATTCATGATAGATAAAATCAATAAAATTTTGAAAAAACAAAAAGTAATGCGAATTATATCGTTATTTTCATTACGCATATATTCTTGCATTAATTTCAAATAATTATTGTTAGTTCGTTAGATTCGTTCCCAAATACAGTGTTTATTTAGTAACTATGTCATATTGTAATAGCAATAAAAACGCTAACATTTTTCTCAGTGCCAATATAATGTTATTTCACAGCAATTTTGCTGTAATATAAAACAAGCAAATATGATATGATATGAGAGATGATATACTTTTGAAAAAGTGGAAAAAAAAACATACATGTGTGTATGCGTGTGTGTGAATATGTGTATACATACCATATGTAAGCATGAATGTGTAATTTGAAAAATATAAATGAAGAAGAGAAGAAAAAATAAAAATAATAGCGAAAATCGTTTGCCAAGCAACAGACGCAAAATCAAAATTGAAACTTTTTATATGTAATCAATTTAAATGAAAGTGAACGAAGAAGAAAGAACAGGAAGTAAAAAATAAAAAATAAAAAAGCTCGAAATTCCAGTCGTTGCCTTGTTGCATACATAATTAATAAATTATTGTATTATTATCATTATTATTATTATTATCATTATCATTATTATTATTATTATCATTATCATTATTATTATTATTATCATTATTATTATTATTATTATTATCATTATTATTATTATTATTATTATTATTATTATTATTATTATTATTATTATTATATACAATGTACAAAAAAACCATTCATCATAAATGAAATGAAATTATTAAGATATATCGTCAATATAGAATGTTAATATGATATGTAACTAAAAACAAATGAACAATGAAGAAAGAGAAAAAGAGAAAAAAACTAAAAGGAAAAACGCAAGTACATGTAAAAAAAAAAACATAATTAACGATATTGCCTTGATTTGTAAATAAAATTTAATTACTTCCACTAACAAAATTTCTGCGAATATTAAGCGGGTCGCGATTGTTCCATGTGGGCTCACCCTCTTCAATTTCGTATGTTTTTTACTAAAAATTGTAGCTGATTTTTTAACAGTAAAAATATTTTGTATAATAATGAAACGTAAAGAATATATATGTATATATTATATACATATATTATTTATATATATATATATATATATATATATATATATATATAAAATATCGAGGTGAGCCCTATGTATCGTACCAGAAAAATCAGCTAGAATATGTAAATCTCCCCTTCGATATGTCCAGTTTGCTCTGTGATTCTGTTTAATAAAAAAAAAGCAAAAAAATATATATATTATGTACATGTATATACATATATGTACATATACACGTTTGATAAATGAATTCTAGTAGTTTTTGCATGATCCCTCTACGAAAGCGTTCCCCAATTCATTATTGTGCATTTTATATATCATAACAATGTTAATATCTGATTATTTATTAAACTTTTAAAATGAAAATTGTATTAATCATGTATTTAATGTTATAAAGGGATATATGAGGAGATTTTCATTATTAATTTCAATTATATCTTTATAATTTTAATTATATCTTAATATTAAATAAAATAGTCAGCTTAGCAAGTTTTTTATAATAAGAAATATGGTGTTTAATTATTTTCAATATGCTGTAATGCTATTTGATAATTTAATAATATAAAAAGAAATTAATTATACATAATATTATATTGAAAGAATTTTGAAACAAAACTAAATATTAGATAGAAATGTCTTTTAAATTCACATATGTTCACTTCTATACTAATTTAAATGATATCGCAGAATTCAAATCAATCGTTCGGTTAGATACAATTGAATAATCAACAATTGAATATTGAATTTCACTAAATGTCCTGATATAAAGAAAAATATGATTATTAACGTAAGTACAATATGCTATTAATTTTATAAAATCTATCAATAATTAAAGCAATTATCGTAAAGTATATAATATATATTTATATGATAATTATACAAAAAGAAATACATATATATATTTAAATTCTATTTTATAATTTATTACAAAAGAAATTTTTGTGTAAATTTAAGTGATCAAGAATTAAATAAATTCTGCGATAATTATTAAAAGGAAGAAAATATATTAATGTAATTTTATAATTTTAAAATTATTAATTAATTTTTAACGTAATTTTTTTTGAACAAAATAATTTGCATTTTTATAAAAATATATATATGTAATTTTAATTTTTATTTTTTATTATTAATTATCTTATAATCAAAATATACTTTTTAAACAGATTTAAATTTTTATATTTATACTATATGTTATATTGTAGAATTTATTATCATTTTTTTATTTTTCATCATATTTTAAAATGTTTCTTAATATAAAATTTAAATATTAATTTAATATAATTCTTTACCTATTTTTTTTAATTCATAATAATTAAATATAAATATTTGAAAATTGATTATTAAAATTAATGTAAATAATATTTCATAAATATATTTTATATTTTTAATCTTAATTGTATTGTAAGAGTAATTTTCTATAACTTTTTATATTTGATATATGTTGAAATTAATTCTGAAATTTAATTATAATCAATTCTATCATTTAAATTGATAAAATTCTCTGTCATATATAATTAAAATATAATTAATAACTCTAATAATGATCTATGATTATTAATAATTTTGAATTGATAATAATGAATTATTTATTAATTAAAAATTATAAAAAAAATGTAATTAATATGTTTACCTTATTAAAAGACTTCTTTAAAAGTAGTGCAAATTGTAAAAATAGTTAAAAAATGGTATTATTTCTTATTCTACTTTATTCTACTTTTGAAAAAACATCTTTAACATTTAAAAAATGATGCTAATGATTAATTCTTATTCTATTTCTATTTTTCTCTTATTATTTTTTGTCATTTTTATATATATTTTATTTTAAAAGTGATTCTATAATTTTTGATATATTTTTATTCTTTTTATATTTATTTGACATATATAATGATATATATATCATTATAAGTATATTATCAATAATATGTATTTAATATGTTTAAAACGATCTCTAATTATCTTAGATCAATATATTATGTTGAATCGATAACATTGGAAATAATATTAAAATAAAATTTATCCTTATTTCACTTATATAAACTTTAATTTAAAATATTCATTTATAAAAATTTATTAAACTTGTATATAATATGCTCAATTTTTAATAATGCAATCATATATAAAAAAATAAAAATATAATATAAGAATATCATATACTAAATAAATATATATATATGCATATATGCAAATATATATATATTCATATGTATACAAAAGAGACATTATTTATATCTAATGTATTATTTATTTAAATGATACTTGTTTTTAAATAGAAAATTTAAAAAAAATTAAAGTTTAATATAAAACATTTTATAATTTTATAAAATCTGTTATTTATCGTGATAAATAAAATTAATTTTATATTTCTAACCTTAAAATTCAAATATAAATATAAGTTTATAATAAAAAACAATACAATATTATTTATTTTCTGTAAATAATAAAAAGTTAATTAAATAATTCATGCAAAATAATAATTATTGTGCTTATTAATACTTTTTTATATAAAAACATGAATAATTTAACAGATGTACATTGGTTTCCTCTAACATCACAAGGAAATATTTATTCAATGACAAAGTTGTGTTCTGCCAATGGTTCTAATAAAGTACTAGTAGCTTCTTTAAAAAGAAAAATATATTCCTGTGAATATCATTTAATGCCAAATCTACATTTAAGACCATTGGTTAAAGAATTACTTTTTACATATATTCCTAGTTTGTAATCTTAAGTATTAACACATTACCTGAAAATTAATCTTTTTTATATTTAATTAAATACAATATTTATATATTAGGTGGTGCAGAAATTATATCTATTGATGCTTATAATAAGATCGATAGTGGTGATGGATTTGTAATAGGAATAACTATTTTAAAAGCAAGTACAGATACATCTGTAGAAAGATATTTAAATATATATACAGAAGGTGCTATAGATGGAGAAGGAGATGAAGGAAGTTCAATTGAAGCTATAGCACAAAATTGTCTTATGGTTGAATTACCATATACACCATATCATTTATATCATACAATATTACCACAACAAAATGCTCCTAATGAGGTAAATTTTTTATAATAAAAATATTTTTTTTAATTAGAAAATAAGATGTAAGAGATATAAATAAGATTTATAAGATATAATATTTAAACAAAAATGATATTATTTATTATTTTATAAATTTATAACAACATTTTAACTATTTCTAAAAATTTTAGGTTGTTTGGCTACTCTCTGGTAGTGATTATAAAATACATATGATCAGAGAAGATAAATTAAATCATAGTTATAGTGAATCATCTATTGAAAAATATTTTCCTGAATTATATGATATTCAAGGAATCGCAATATGGATTAATATTTATTATTATGATAGTTATAATTGGTATGATTTTATATTTTTATATATTATATTATAATAACTCATATTTATCTTTAATTTTTTTAGGAGATTGACGGTAATTGGTTGTGAATGTGGTTTAGTTAATGTAGCTATAATTAATATTCCAGAATTAAAAATTTGCCAAAGTTGGAAATTAAGATATGATAAACCTATCTGTAGTGTATCAATTTTTCCGCTACAAAATAATATTGGAAAACCTTCTTTTATTAACTCTAAAAGTAAATTTTATTATATATTAAATATATATATATATATATAATTAATAATCTATAATTTGATTAATTCAAAATTAACGATAAGTATTTTTATTTATTATAGATTCCAAAATGTTTTTAAATGATAAAGAAAAATTAAATGTTCTTATTGTAAATACAAATAATGCAATTGTTTTCATGTAAGTACAATTATTTTATATGATATATAATCAAACATATATATTATGTATTTTTCATAACTAGGGATATTCTAAATAATGAAATGAATGAAGATATAATATTGAATGGTAGTGAAACAACTGATTGCATTTTATGTTCTTGTGTTGCCGATATAAATATGGATGGTCAGAATGAAATACTACTGGGAACTTATGGTCAAGAAGTTCTTATTTTTTATTTTATAAATAATACATGGGAATTGATAATTAGAAAATTATTTGATGCTCCAGTACATTCTATATGTTATATGGATATTACTAATGATGGAATGAAAGAACTTATTGTTCTTACACAACGTGGAGTGCATATATTACAGGTTATAATTCTTATTTAATTATATTAATTCATTTTAAATTAAATATATATATCATACAAAATGTATATAAAAAAAATTCAAATGTTTAAAGTAAAAATATAAATTGCAGCATAATATTATAGATGTCAAAGATAAATGGAAAAAACGGTATAAAAAATTTCTTGAAAAAGAATGAAGTGAAATTCAATTTTCATTATCAAAAATATTATTTAATATTAAATATTTATATTTATATTAAGGATTTGTAAGAGTACAATATAAAATATAAAAATACACATATTTAATATTATACAAGTATATATATATATATATATATACAAGTGTATATACAAATATATATAAGTGTAAAAGATAATAAAAAAAATAATAGAAAATTTATTTTTATTGTTATTATAATTATAAACTTGAATGATAATAAATGAATATTAATAAATAAAATTAAAGAATACTTATTGTTATTTATTTTTGATTAAAATAACTAATTTAAAATATATTTAGTAAATTTATATAAATAATTCTACATCGTAAGATTTTATTTAAAAAACAAAATGATATTTTTATATAAATTAATAAATTTGTGTATAATGTTCAAACGGATTGATTTCCATATTATAAGTAGTTTCACGAAGTATCGTATCTATATATCGTAGAATCAGTGACGTGATAGACAGTTCAAAATAGCACGTGCTTGAGAAAGAGATTGTCATACGTGTTCTTTTACGTTGTATCCACACTTGTAACACTGATGATCGATATATTACTTTATGTTTTTCTAAATATTATAAAAGAATTTAATATCTTATTTCATTCTTTTTCCTATATGAATTAGAATGACAAGTAAAAAAGGACACACCCTTCGAATTGAATCAGAAATCGATAAAAACCGTGAAGAAGGAAATTGGAAAAAGGTTATAGAATTGGCAGAACACCTAAAAGTACAGTATCCCAGTAATGGTAAATATTTTTTTTCTTTTAATGTTTATAAACACTTGTGATTTGATATTTTTGTTTTTCAATAAAATATTTAATAAGATTTTATAAAAATTAATTATCAAGAATTTCGTAAATTATTCATTTAAAAAAATCGTTGTCATGTCTCGGATTACATGAGTAAAGGTCAAATATAACTCTAATAAAATATATCATTTGATATGAAATTTTTTTAATATTTCTATATTTTAATTTAAATTTTAAAAATTATTGAATTATTAGATATTTTTAATTTTTAAAAATAAAAACGAATAATTAATATTAATTACTAGATTATTAAATATTTCTATTAGTATTTATATTAATTTTTATTAACATATTTTATTAATAAAAATCCATATTTGTAAATATTTTAATATATAAAAATATTTTCAAAAATTGTACAAAAATTTAATTTCATAATAAATACATAACATAAAAATGCATATTTTAAATAAATAGTTTTAATTTTAGAATGTTTAGCAAATTTTTTATGTGGAGAAGGAAGATTAGAAAGTTTTTTAGAACAAACTCCACCTATAGATGCTAACATTGGAAAAGCTAGAAATGGTCTACAAGAAACTAGAAGATATTTAATTCTTGCAGCAAATGAAAAAGATAAACAAGTAATTATAATCTTAATTATATAATTTTTTTATTGTATATTTTTTTTATTGTATATTATTAAAAATTTATAAATTTAAATATTTTAATATTAGATTAATTAAATAATATTTGAAATTATCTAGGCTTTGGTTGTATTAGATGCACATTTATTACTTGGTAAATTGCATTATGCAATGGGAATGTATGAAGAAGCTCTCAAGCATTATCAACAAGCTGAATTACATACACTTACAGAAAAACCATTACCTTGTAGAAGTCTACGTATTATTGCAGAATCATATGCAATTAAAGGTTTGCATCAGATTTAAATCATAATATGTTAATAATGTTAATATATAATTAATATGTATTAGTATGCTAGTGTATTATTATTTTTAATACCATATATAATAGCCTGCTTATTTAAATAAAGGAATGATGTATATCTATTATAGTTTCATGTTTTATATTCACTTAATAAATTTTTTTTTAATTTCTATGCTTTAAAACATTAAATTTTATATCATTGCATTAATATAAATATAATATTATTAATATAAATATTCTAACAAAGATGAAGAACTGCATATCTTTTTTTTTATTTTCTGTAAAAGTATAAATCTTTTCCAATCTAAGGTAACATCAAATCAAAATCATTTATACAACCAATTATTTTTGAGGATATTTATATCATTTGTTCAGTATTATAATTAATGTATAACTTAGAGAAAGAAAGATTTGTTTACTTTAGACACAGGAAAACATTTATCCCGCCGAAGACTGCGCATTATTGCTGAGTCACATGCAATTCAAGGTTTGTACTTTGCTTCATTTTTATTTCTTTTATTTGCTATGTGTAAGTTTATCCTATATCTTCATTTTTCTTTCTTTCAGCTATTAAATTATATTACATTATTGTATTATAATATAAATTGTATATGTTTTATCATTGTAGAAAATTATTGTTAATGCAATAATATAAATCAAATTTTTTTTCATTAGCTTTGAAAATATTGAAATTATGTATTGTTTTGTTAATATAATTTTCATTATTTAATAAGAATTGCTAATAAGAATTTTCCAAAATTTAAAATTAAAGCAATATATTTTTATTAAACTATTATGTATTATGTAATATAATAATATATAGATTTTAGTATTTAAAATCTAAAATCTAAATTTATATATAAATTTATATAATTATATTTTTATATCAAAATACAGAGAAATCTTGTTTATCTAAAAATTTCTAAAAAAGATTTTTAAAAATATTCTATTAATAATAATAATATATTTTTTTATCTAAATTACTTATTTATTTATACTTTTACTTTTTTTAATACTTTTTTTAATATTTGTTTGAGTCTTAAATTCAATTCTTATTATTATTTCATTATCTTATATTATTTTCAATTAATAATTTTTAATTATTTTATTTTATATTTTTTAAACATTGAAAAAATTATTGCATATATTATATTTTAATTAATTTGTTTATGTTTTAAAAATAATTGATATATAATTAAGTAAATCAGTGTTTATTCCTGTTGTATAATTAATATATGTATAACATAGATAATTTGTTTTGTGGTGATTTTATTGATATAATTTATTAATAAAAAATATATTTGTTACATTTATTAATACATTTTTTGATACATATAAATAAGTTATATATTTATTGCATAAAATAAATTAATTAAAAACATTGCTTTGTATTTTTTATGAATATAATTTTTCAATATTTAAAATATGTATCTTAATATAAGAACAAATTATTTTTGTTTTCTATTAATTGTATTTTTTGTTAACAATAAATTTTTCTGATATCCTTTTTTTTATTTATAACAGGTCTTTGTCTAGAAAAATTACCACCAAATTCTAAATCAAAATATAAAATAGCAGAATGGCAAGAACAAATCATCAAATGCTATGAAATAGCTGGGGATCTAACATTGGTATATTTACAAGAACAAGATAAACTTGCAATGCAACATCAAAATGGAACATCTACCGTAAATAGTAACAATGCAGGTGATCCTTTATAACATATTCTTTTGCATTAAATAATGTTAATTGATGTTTAGTGTTCCATAATTTATAAATGTATAAATAATATCCTGATTGATAGTAGGAATATTCAGTGAATAAAGAACAGTAATAGCAAACATTAAAATAAATTTATTTTGTAAAAATATTGTATTAATTATATTTGTTTACATTTTTTCAGGTGATATTATAGGGTTGTTGGTGGAATGTGACAAAACTTGAAATTTGAGTTTTGTAGTTAATACCTTAATATCATTTGATCAACAGGTACATATTCTTCTCAATCTTCGTTTTGTTCTACAAAACATATTGGACCAATATTGGAAACTGCACTACAAAGGGCACCCATATTGTACATTCAAATTGGTAATATTCAAGGTGCAATAAATCGTTATAGGTAATTATCTGTTTCTATTAATAAAATTATAAATAAAGAAAGTGAAAATAATAATAATGTAGAAAAATATTTAAAATGTTAAATAAACAATTTTTATTCATGAAATTTATAAGGGAAATTTTATCTGCTGTGGAGTCTACAACAACTCAAAGTCTTAGGGTTACCTTAACGAGACAATTGGCAGAAGTATTAATTCGAGGTATTAGTGGTGCTGAATATAAACCTCCAGAAATACCAAGTGACTCAACAGGTAATATTATTAATAAAACTATATATTACTATGATAAAATTTAAACAAAAAATTAGAATTGGAAATAAAATCATTATTATAATTTATTTTTTAGATTCACCTTGGAAACCAAAGAAATATTTAGGTCTTAATAAGTTTGTGCCAAGAAATGAATATGAAGAAACAATTTTATTATTATTAATAAGTGAAGCTATGGCAGTTAGAGATGCTGTGCTTAGTCAATCTCCAGAATTTAAAGATGCAAGAATTCATGCTTTTGAAAATGCTGCTGCAGTATATGATCTTCTCACAGTAGTTGTTGTGAGATGGAGTCAAGTGGATTTACTGTATGAAGTAATTGCAATGAATTTTTCAATATATATTCATTTCTCAAATATACATGTATATAATATATCATATATACAAATATACATATATACATATATATAATATATATCATAACATAATTTAATTTTATATTTTTATAGTCATTTGAAAGGGCAATGAAATTTTCTCATGAAGAAGCGCATGTATGGACTCAATGTGCATTATGTTTAATTAGTATGGGAAAATATATGCATGCTTATAGAGTTTTAAAAGTGGTAACAAGATTATCATCGCAAAAAGTAATGCCGTGCCTTTTAGCCGCGAGACTATGCTATGAACAATTAAATATGGTAAAAATTTTATTTCATTATTTATGTATTCTGTAAAAACTAACATATAAAAAACATATTAAAAACAATATAGATAAAAGAAGGTATTGAATGGAGTCAAAAAGCACTTCAAAGAGAAACTTCAAATTCTCAAGGGATGCAATCAAGATGTCATCTTTATATTGGTATTGGTCATAGTATTCTTGCAGTAAATACTATAGTAAAAATGGATAAAACTTATCATACCAAGACAGCTCTAGAATGTTTTCAAAAGTATGTACAATTAAAAATTAAAAAAAGAAATAAATTAAATATATTATAATATTATATATTTATTTAATAGAGCACAACAATGTGATCCAAATGATCATTTAGCAGAATATTATTTAGCTCATGAATATGCAATTAACAGACAAATTAATGACGCAATGATTCATGTAAAAATTGCATTAAATCTACGAGCAGAACACATTCCATCATTGCATTTATTGGTATTGCTATTGTCGGCTCACAAGCAATATTCAGAAGCATTGCATTTAATAAATAGTGTATTAGAAGAATATCCAGATAATTTAAATTTTCTTTATGTAAAAGCGCATCTTGAATTACGAAGTATCGGTGGTGAACAAGCATTGTTTACCATAAGACATATGCTTTTATTATGGAAGAATCTATATGAAGATCAAACTAATGCTAATTGTAATGAACAGCATAGTGAAAAACGCAGTGAAACTAGAAGTGTTTTTCAACTTTATGCTTCTGAATTGTCTGATAAAGACTCCAGTATGTCTTTATATATTTTCTTAATTTATAGTTTTTAAAATTAAATTATTTTGTATAAAAATTTCAAATAGCTAAAATTTTTAATAGGTTCTCTTCATGCACAATCATTAGCTGCTTCAAGAGTAGAGCAAGCTTTATCGGAAGTTGCATCTTCGCTCAGTTCCTTTACTCCAAAGCCTGGACCACAAAGAGCATGGTTGTTACAATTACAAGTTTGGCTGTTGCTTACTGAAGTGTATCTAGTTTTAGATCAACCAAATGGTGCTGTTCTTTCTTTACAAGAAGCTACAAATATTTTTCCATTAAGTCATCATATTATGTACACAGTAAGTAATATTATTTTCTAAGAATAATAATAAAGTAATATTAATTTCTAAGAAAAAATAAAGAAAAGATTTGCTTCTTCTTATTTCATATAATTTCATTATTAAAAGTATTGAAATTCCAGCGGGGTCTTCTTCATGAATATAAATTGGAATATATGGAAGCAAAACAATGTTATCAGAATGCAGTTTCAATTAATCCATCACATATTAAAAGTTTACAACATTTGGTAATGATTTTAGTAGTTTTTTAAACAACAATTTTTAATGAATTAAATAATAATATATTTATTTATATATTATTTATATATAATATTATTATATATATTATATAATATAATAATTATATATATTATAATATAATAATTATTATATATATATAATAATATTTATATATTATTTTTATTGTATATAGGGATTAATTTATCACTATTTGGGTAGTCAAAGATTAGCTGAAAAAACTTTACGAGATGCTGCAAAAATTGATCCAAATTCTCATCAAACATGGTAATATAAAAAATTATTACATACTATGAAAATTATGCTTGTATCTATATTTGAAAATATAATATGATATTTAATGATAATATGATAATATGATAGTATGATATATTAAATAATTTATATATTATAAAATTTTGATCAATAAATAATTTTCTTTTTATAGGTACAATTTAGGAAAAGTATTAGAATCTTTAGGTGAAGTAGAAGCAGCAAGTGATTGTATGGCTACAGCCTTGGAAGTAGAAATTACGAATCCAATATTGCCAATTCTTTCAATACCAGTAACATTTGAATGATTCAAAATTTTAATTTTTTAAAAAAGATCGTAATTTATCATGCAAGATTGGCATTTGTTTGTCCTTGTGACAATCGTACCTGCTTATCTTTAAAATTAATATTACATTATTGTACAAATATATAAATTCTTTAAAAAGTATTATGCAAATAATTTATCAATAAAGACTTACTGTAAAAAAGACTTAAATAAAGAAATATAAGAAAGAAAATTATTTCTTAATAATTAATATATATATCAAATTTAATATTAATAAATATATCAAATATTTAACGAATTTTTTTATTAAAAAAATATTCTATATGTTATTAAAAATATTTTTTTAATATTTTATATATGTGATAAAATATTTATAAATAAGATTAATATTCACTTTTAATTTTTTAAAACAATTTTTATCAAAAACAATTTCAAATAATATTCTATGATTTTTTATTATTTTTATTTTTTATTTTATTAATATATTATTATAAAAATATATATGTAACTTTATATAATAACATTAAATAAATTTATTGAATATATTATAAATTGCATGTAATTGAATGTACACTTTTATAACTTGTAATAGAAATATTTTTATAGTAAATTTTCTGTGTATGATGTGCGCGTGTATATATACATATATGATTAAAATAAATTTTAGAATTTTTTTTCTATAAATATTAAATATAATTAATATATTATATAATAAATAACTATATCAATATAATGTAAAATAATAATATTTATATATAAATATTTATATATTATTACTTTTTATTATATTTTTTTAATTAATTTTGTACATTTTTTTTTTAATTATTTTATTATAATTTAATACTTTTCAAAATTTATGAAAAAAATTTTTAAAAATATAAAAATAAAGAAATAGGAATAATTATAATAACAATATGATTCATATTATGATGCAATATTATAAATATAAACTTCTCGATAAAATATAATTTAAGCATAATTTTTTAATAAAATCATTAAATTTTATTTTTTTAAAAAAATTTAATATCTATATTTTATTAAAATAAAAAATAATGATATTTCTAAAATATTATAAATTTTTATAGAAAAATATTAAAAATATATAATATTTTTATATAATATTTTATATAAAGTATATAATATTTTTATATAAATCAAATTTAAATTTATTTCACTTAATACTAAATTAATATAAATAAATAATATAATAAATTAATATTTATTTTTTTTTAATTTTTTAATTTTTAATATTTTTAAAAATATAATGATTTTTTAATAATCACAATATTTTATATTTCTTCAAATATATGATAAAAAATTAATATTTTTTTATATGTTAAGTACATATTAAAACAAATTTATTTAAAATTATTACATACAAATTTACCTACTACAGGATAGACTCCAATATCGCATTTCTTATTAAATTAACATCAATTAGATTCTACATCGATAAATATTTCGCGTTTCTTATTAAATTAATAGCAATTAGATTCTACATTAATAAACATATAAAATTAACATTCTTTACTATGACATTAAATTCCCTTCCTTACCATTAATTGTGAACGCTATTGTGCGCTTTTTCATTCTCTGTTTCGTCTTTTTTTAACGAGATTATAAGTGTTTCTATCCTATTCTATCGCGTGTCGCATTGCGCGTTTATTGGTGCGCAGACTCATTGCAATTTCGCCACAAAATTTTTTCGAAAACCTCATTTAACAACAAGCCGGTGTTTTGAAGAACTGTGTCATGAATCCATATTTTCTATAACCTATCAGGTTCAGCATTGATTTTTTTTGGTAACGATATCCAAAACAGTATTATATAGATAGTCCATAGAACATTGTACCGCGTCACGTTTAGCGCATCACGCATCTGCAGAGCTTACGGCTATGCGTAATACAATCGACCAACTATTATCTTACTCTTTTTTTTGTATTCGTCGAACGATACTTATAGAAGATTACAAATTTGCTGTAATTGTATTGTATTGGAATTAAAAATTTAGTAATATAATAAAATATATATAAAATACACATAATTATAGGTTAGAAATTTTGATGTTTTTTAAGGTATGACACACTTAAATGTAATAAAAAAAATAAAAATATGTATTTTAAATAATAATAATGAATGGCATAACTCGAATAAATCTTTTTTAATAATATAATATAATATAATAATATAATATTTTATATCAAATGTATAAATTATAGCATATAAATTTATTATTTTTTTAAATTCATTACATTTAAATTATTTTTGTTATAAAATATTATTTCTAAAGAAAATATTGCATATTTATATCATATATTATTAATTTGCTTAAATTATAATATTTATTATTTCAAGAAAATATAAAATTATATATTTATTTGTTACAAATTTTTTTAAAATAATTTATTTAGATTTTGATTAAAAAATAAAACTATGAAAACCATTTTTATTACATGAATTATCATAATTTTAATAAGAGAATTTTGATAAATAAAAATTTTTATTCCACTAAATAATTTTTTTATTCCAGATATTTACATAGGAAAAATTTGTAGTTATATATATTGTATAATACATATATTTGTATTTTGTACATATTTTTTTATAGTAATTTCCAAATCCAAGATGACCTTGATATACTTTCAAAAAATTGACGTGAAGGAACTGTCATTTCCGTTAGGTAGTTAAGTACATACGTGAACGTTCTTTTTTGCCGCACGCATGCTCATCGCTTATTATTGATATCGCGAACATCGTGCGACGGCGTACCGCATATCGGTCACGGCCACCAACGAAACTGTTAATTATCTATTAGATATGAACGAGATTTATGAATATCGATATTAAAGTGATATCATAATTTTAAATGAATTAAGAATTCTATGCAAAAAATATGCAAACAAATGATTTACAAATCAATAAAGAAAATTCATTTATTATATGATATCGTGAATATTAGAATTTGATAGAAAACTAATATATATAATTACAATTATATTAAAATTTATATTAAACATATATTTATAGTTGCAAATATTAATTTAATATTATATTATAATTAAAAGAATATTATATGGATTAATATTATATTACTTTTATTAGTAGACAAAGAAATGCTAAAGCACAAAAATCCATAAAAATCATATATAAATTTACCTTCAATTAATTTAATCTTATGAGTTACATATATTTGCATTATATTTTGCAATAAATTATATGCCAATATGTTATATACTTCAATATTTAAAGAATTAATTCTTGTATGCAATATATTTGTTTTTTTTTTTTTTAGCTATAAAATATATAATTACAAAATTTTATTTTATTTATATTTAATTTATATTTACATTATAAATTTTATCGTTATATAAATTTATATTATATATTTATATTATATATATTATATATATATAATATTATATTATATATTTATATTATATATATATATTATATATTATATATTATATTATGTTATAAAAAAGTTTAATATTATATTTTTAATTATAAAATTATATTTTTTTTCTTAATAATTCTTAAATATAAAAGTAAACGATAAAATAGATAATAAACAAAATTAACGTAGTATTAATACAATATATAATGTAATATTTAATAAAAATTCTAGCAAATTTATGTTATTATATTAAAATTATATATCCACATAAAATTATTTTCGAATTATTTTAAAAATTATAAGTAAGAATTAAAATTGATTTTTTATTTTTCTTAATTAAAAAAATAATTATTTAAAAAATTTTTAAGAATATAAATATAAAAATGTAACTAATTTAGAAATTTTAAACAAAAATTATTTATTTATCGTATTTGGATAAACATCGAAAAATATAATAAATATAGTATTTAAGAATAATATAATCAGAAGATTATCTATAATACCTACTTTTGCAATAGAAAATACTGTTGAATTAGAAAATGTTCAATAATAATACAAATATACAAATTTATCAATTTACATAACAAATATTTTTTAAATAGAAAGTTTATAAAAGTTTTATAATTACCCGATTATTATTGCCAAAAACTATATTTTCAACGATAAAATTAATTTACATATAATATGAATATACAAGATATTCTAAGAATTAATCATGCAATAAATTTAAATTGATTTTGATAATATAATAAAAAAATATTTAAAAATATATTGATATGAAATGAAGAATTTTTTGCCGCAAATAAAATTTAAAAGCATTATTAGAATTTTTTAAATAACATCATTAATATATTTTTTTATTTATATTTTCATAATATATAAGAAATAAAATTAAAAATGTAATAGAACACATTAGATATTTTAGTCATGATTTTAAAAAATTTAATTTTAATTTTCGAAAATTAACGAACAAACTTAGAGAAAAATAAAAAACGAAATAATTTTAATTGACAATTATTTAGAATCTTTTAATTGCAAATGCAACAGCAACAATTAATTTATTGAACATTTCCTTTTTTTTTTATATACATATAGAATCATGGACTCGTCATTCACATTTTTCTCTCACACGTCATACGATGATCACATTCAGTATAATCAACTAATACAATTCCGCAAATCAAAATTTTATCCTGAATGAAATATTCAGTCTTTATTTTTTATCATTATTTTTGTAAAATTCATAATTTTTATAAATAATATTAAAAGAAAATTTAATTACATTAAATAACTTACAATAAATGTAAATTATATTTTATTATTAGAATTAAATGTCGAACTTTAAATTAACAATTTTCTATATCAACATTAAATTAAATTTTATATCAAAGAATTTTAAATTTACATTAAATTTATTTTATTATTAATATTTTATAATATTTTATAATATAATAATTTACTCAAAATCAAAATCATATATATTACATATCACTATGAATTTATTAATAAATAATCCAAATGAAAAGTACAAATAAATAATGCAAATCAATTTCATCTGTGATATTATATTATATGATTCAATTTATATACATATAAAATATTTTCTGTCTTTATATACATATAAAATAAAATACTAGTTTTTTAATTACATCATTTATTCGTCATTGTTAGTCTCACATTCTTTTCTTTATCCATTTTAACTTTTGTAACAATTTTACGAATCCAAATAAAATTTCTATGTATTTCAATTACGAGACATATAATTTTTATGCATAATTCAGTAATAAAAATAGAGTATATATAAATAGTGTATATATTTTTCATGTTTTGATTTTCAATTTTTTAATTCTTTAATTTAATAATATTAAATTATAATTTAATAATATTAATTTAAATAATAAATATTATAAATGAAAACAAATTTTTAAATAGTTATAGATTAAATGTTGAATTTTAAGTATCACTAATATTGATTTTAATCTAATATTGGTTTCTTAGCCTAAAAATGATGCTCAAGTAATTATAATATTTTTTTACTCAAAGTTGCGCATTATTTTTATTTGAGAAAATATCGACCGACTCTATGAAAGAACATTGCAACCATTAAAGCTGAAGTTAATACAAGGGATGGTCCATGTAAAATAAACTATTTAAATATTTTCTTTTTTCTTATCTTGGGAATAGAATCAAAAATTTTCATTATAACACAAAATTATAATTAAAAATTTTATATCAAACATAATATAGAAACTTTTTATAAATAAGAAAAATTAAAGATTTATATAACTGAAAGATTATTGTAATTTTCTTTTTTTAATAACTTAGAATATAGAAATATATTTATTATTAAATGTATTATAAACAAATATATAACAAAATATTTTAACAATAAAGAGCAGCAATTTCACTTTTCTATATACAATGGATATAATGATTTTAGTATTCATTAACTAACATTGTTTCATGAATGCAATTTTAAAATATTTTGTATAAACTGTAAGCATTAATCCATAATGACCTATTATTTATAAGACAAGCTAGAAAACGGAATCAAAAAGAGTTGTACTATTTTTCCTAAATCTTTTTTTTATCCAATTACTATCATTTATGTCCAGATTTTTTATCATTAAGAAATAATTTAAATCAAAAGTTAGATAAAAATTATGAAAAATTATTAAGATTATAATTGTATAAAAATTAATTGTAAATAAATAATATCGTTCTAATAGCTGTCATTAGTATTGATTGACATTATTTACAACTAGGAAATTAATGAAAAATCTTAAAGAAGCAAAGAGAGAAAAAAAAAAGCAAAAGAGAAGATTAAAATGGAAAAAAAAAATTAGGATAAAGTAAAAATAAAGATAGATAAAGAGTGTAGAGAATAAAAAAAAGAAAAAAAAGAGAAAAAAGACAAAGAAAGAAAAAGTGTAGGGCTAAACGCACCCGAAAAACGCGCTCATTGCATTCGAGCTATCTCTCGCAGGGAAGCCCGGCTTTGACCCGGTAGCCGGCGGCGGCACAGTCCGCGCGGCTGCCTGACGCATTGCAGGTGCGCGTCGGCCAATCACAGGCCTGGTTAGTTCGCCCGGACTTGTCCTGTAAACACGACCGCACCCACCCCACATGTAAAGCGGATTTGCACGATTGTCTATGACGACTATTCTGTACGTTAGACGTTGTATCATTCCTACTTCTTCTCATTTGTCCAATTAAAAACTAGTCGTTTTTTCAGGGTTTTCACAGAGGAGAAGCCGCACGGAACTATCTGTCGATCGCGTAGGAAACGGCGCAGCGCATCACCGCGTGAACTCCCCTTAACCCCCGTCTAGATTGCCGACCAATCGGGAGATACCATCATGTAGCCCGTTAGGGGCGGCGTAGTGATACTTGACTGAGACAAGCGGCAGAGAGGCTCGTACACCGAGAGAGAACGGTGGACTCCATTGCTGTCCTGAGTGCGTTTCTCGTCGGCTGTGTCGTATTGCGTGTCTATCCGTGCTTTCGTGCACATAAGTTTTCTTTCCACATTGGAGATATTGTGAATAGTATTCTTTGTGTTTAGTGCCTGAACAATATTTAAAATCGTCAAACGTATCAAGACGTAAAAACGAGCCAAAATGGTAAGTCCAATATTTTCTTTTCTGGTGCGTGTGCTTATGCGGATGTCGTTTAGCGGCTCCTCGCCCTCACCCTCGCCTTGGTTTTCGTTTGCCGCATTGACGCGTCGAGTGCACGTGCAACCCAACCGATACGCATTTATTATGAAACTTTTTTTTGTAATATTTTTTTGATTAAAAAGTTTCGATTTCTATTTCTATATCATTTTATATCTTGTCCTATGTATCAATTTACTAACGCACTATTATATTACATTCGTAATGGCCGGTATGCGGCGATGGACCGACTATCGATCCATTTCTCCTCCGGTGACTACGTATGTTTTTGCCAATCTTTCTGGACATGTCATAAATTGCAAAAGTTTCAAAAATATTCATGAAAACATTAAAAAAACATTAATGTAAAAAAGAAACGAAATTTTTAAATCTTCTGCTTCAAATATAGCATTATTATAAGTACAGTAAAAACTTTTGAAAGTCAATATTATCCATAATATATTTTTTTAAATATCAATGCAACAGTAAATTGAATGTTGTTAAAAATTTATTTGAAATTATAGATTTACAAATTATCAACTTAAAATCTTAATATCTTATCTTTAGATTATCAATCTCTCATGAGATAATGTCAATTTCTTTGGATATTTCACTAATTTCAATTTAATATTAAATTATTAATAGTAAATTCGAATAATGAATTATTATCATTTGTATATTTAAAAATTGAAAAATTAATTGATATTAAAAAAATTTAATTTAATCATATTTAATGAAATAATTATATATAAAAAGCCATATATATATATATATATAACAGTTATTATTATATATATATTTGTAGATGTATTTTATTATGATTTCAAAAGGAATTTATCTTCATGTTAAAGTACAAACTTTAAAATATATCTATTTTTTTGTCTTATTTTATATCACATTATTTTTTTTTACAAAATTTTGTTTGGACAAATTTATGTAATGAAAGAAAATAATCTTACAAAATTTTTTTTGTATAATTATTATTTTTTTTTATGGATGATCATTGTTTTCTTTATATAGTATATAGTATTTGACAATCAACCATTACACAGTAATACTTCACTATTGATTTTCGCGGTCTCTTGCCGTTGCGCTAATTTCCTCTATTTCTTATACATCGTACTTGTTCTACAATTAGTTTTCTCACATAATGAGTTTTAAATTTTTTCTTCAAAATTGAAATTTAAGGATTTTAATTTGTATTTTATTGTATATATATTTAACTAAAAAAATGTTGAAAATTGTTATATATGTATAAATATATTTATTTATACATAAATATATTTATTATATTTTATAATTATGTAATTTCATTTTCTAAATTTTCAAATCACAAAAAATAAGAATACATTTTATGTAGTATATGTAGAATTTTAAATAAAATTTTCATTTTTATTATAATTTTATAATTATAGTTTTATGTTTAAAGACGTTCAACGAGCCTTTTGTCGCATAACCTAAAATGTATATTATTTCGATCTAAATTCATCTAAATTATTTATATAAATATGCATATAAATATTAAAATTTTATAAACAAACTTTTAAATCGACTAAACATAAATTTTTAATAAAACTTTTTTACTTTTATTTTAATTATAAAATTTAATTTATAATGTATTATATATTTTCTTTTCAATAAACAGTTAAATATTCCTAATATTTTTATATAAAGTATAAATTATATGTAATTGACTTATATTCAAGATATAAAAAGAATATTTTATTGTAAAAGTTATGAATTAATTTAAAATTTTTAATATTCATTACTACATAATTTTTATTTATAATGAAATAATTTATTAAAATCAAATATATAAATAATAGGAATTTTATATTTGTATATAGGATTTTCTATTCAAAAGTACAATACAAATGAATATAACATTTTATAAAAGAAAAATATAATCATATTTAAGTAAATTATATATTGATACTTATATATATTGATATTTTAAATACTAATTAAATAAATTATTAAAAGAATTATTAATAGAAAATTATTTTATAATACATCAAACTTTCATGATGTTCATTAAAATAGAATTTTTATATGCAAAAAACTTAGATTTTAATAATACTATATTAATTACTTATTATTATTATAATACTTAATTAATATATTACTACTTAATTAATATATTAATTAATTAATTAATATATTAATGGTTTATTTAATATTTAATTAAAAATTTAATTTTTTAATTTAAAGGCTGATCAACTTACGGAAGAACAAATTGCAGAATTTAAGGAAGCATTTTCGCTATTTGATAAAGATGGAGATGGTACCATTACAACTAAAGAGTTGGGTACAGTTATGCGATCACTAGGTCAAAATCCCACAGAAGCTGAGCTTCAAGATATGATTAATGAAGTTGATGCAGATGGTATTTTATATAATTTTATTTTATATTTAATATTTAACATTTACATTTTGATATTATTCATTATGCAATTTTTATATTCATTATATTCATTATATTCGTTCATAGATTGCATATAATTTTAATATTATTTTTAAATTTATTTTGTTTAAAATACTTGCATAATAGAAAAATAATTCTTATATAATATATATAATTATCTCTTTCTTAAGAATATTGGGAAAAAAATCTGATTTCAGAAAAAATCAAAACTAAAAATACTTGGAATTGTAGGTAATGGCACAATCGATTTTCCGGAATTCTTAACTATGATGGCTCGTAAAATGAAAGATACTGATAGTGAGGAAGAAATTAGGGAGGCCTTCAGAGTATTTGATAAGGATGGAAATGGTTTCATATCTGCAGCAGAACTTAGACATGTTATGACAAATCTTGGCGAGAAACTCACTGATGAAGAAGTTGATGAAATGATTCGGGAGGCTGACATTGATGGTGATGGCCAAGTTAATTATGAAGGTTGTATAATTAAATATAATAATTTTAATTTAAATAACAAAATATATTATGTAGTTTTAGAATTAAAATATTGTTATCAATATTTTAAAAATTCAAATTAAAACTTTCAATTTTAAATATTTAAAATTTTAAATATTTGCATAATTTTTAAATTTAAAATATATATTTAAAAAATTACAATTCTAAGAATCATTTTATTTGTCTAGAATTCGTCACAATGATGACATCAAAGTGAATGCAACCTGTGTAATGGAAAAACTTGCAACTTGGAGTGGTGTTGACGTATTAAAATAAATCAAGAAACAAAGAAAAATGTAATGTTAACAAAAAACGAATCGACCAGAAAGTGAAAAAAATCTTATATCTGGACGCAAAGATGTCTATAAAACGCGAAAAATCAACGTCCAACACGCGTTAATCATCATTAACGATAAGTAATACAGGGCAATTGTTTAATTAAAAGAGTTATTCCACTAAAAATCATTATCTCTAAATACACAAAACTTAATTACACAACATGAACATAAAAATACATATTACTCGCGCACATACATGAATACAAAAAAATATACAGCACACACAAATACCATCTACATAAAAGATAATTTATTTCCGTATTAAAAAATATATAATTAAAAAATGTTATATATAATTAAAAAATATATTATATAATATATTATATATATATATATATATATATATATATATATATATATGTATAAAATGTATAAAAATGCGTTTGTTGATGATAAAAGTTTCTCTACTTTCCTCTCTTTTTGATCTTTTCCTTTTCTTCTCTGTCTATACTTTTGAAGATTTTCACATGCAAGTTTTTCTAAATTCTACTTTTTAAAATATTGAGAAAAATTATTAATTAGTGAATGGAGGAGAGGAAAAGTATTAAAAGAAAGGAAAAATTAACAAATTATTATTATAACATATTGTGTAGATTCGAATATTAATCAAGATAAATTAAAAATTTAGTCTGATTGTTCCTCAATCAAAAAAAAAAAATTTGTTTATAACGTTAACAATGATATTTGCTCTAGTGAGAAATTTTATCAGTAATGTATATATTAAGCGTTTATTTTATTTTGTTAAAAAAATTCAGTTTGGGTTTTTTTTTCATAGTTCAAAAAGTAATAAGTTTTTTGCTGATAATTCCATGCATATTAAATTCTTTATTGTATCATCATGAATAATTCTATTTCTTTAGTATCTGGAAAATATAAGGATTAAAGAAAAATTCTCAGAGTTCAAAGATGCATAGTATTACCTTGGACCACATATTTGTGTAAAGGTAGAACATTTATGAAATTAATTTACATCAGATTTAATTTTGATGAAACATGCTTTTTTAATTTTGTCATATCTTTAAAAATCTTATGTAATATACAACATTATACACGTACATATACACACATACGCAAGTACACAACAGCAACATATAAAACATTTCACCAAGTGCGTTCTGTATTCAATTTCATTATAATCTCCCGTTTGTATCTTATCTCCACTGAAAAAGCCTTAAAACGCGTGCGCGTTATACAACGTCGACACCACTTTTGTTGAAATATAAATGAAATCACAGGGAAATAGGGATGAGGGATTAAAAAAGGAATCAAGTCACAACAGTGATCGGTGCATTATATTTTCCTTCACCCAGGGGTGCGTGCCAGTCTCGCAAGATGAGCAACTAAAACCGGAAAAACTGGTGTGATTTTGTGCGATTCGTACGATAATGTTACTTAAATATTAAGAACAGACACCGAAGAGTGGAAACACATGCGTGTCGATGGTTCAGTCATAATATATATGTAATATATATTATATATACATATATATAAATATATATACGTATATATACATATATATAAATATATATACGTATATATATGTATATATAGTTATATATAATTAATTTACGAAAAAAAGGAAGAAAAGAAGAAAGAATTCCTCCACAGTCCTTTATTATTTAATATTGAAGTGAACAAAATGAGAAGTACTTGTATTTCTGGTGACCTAGATCGCATTGATCATAAAAAGACAAAATAAATGTATCCTCATTTTTAGGTCACAACTACTCAATTCGTTTCCTTCATTAACCAATGGACCTCTCGTTTCAGCCATTTTTATCTTCATCGTCATTTTCAATGGCATCTAGGAATAGTTTGCCGACAAAATGTATGTGTATAATTCACTATCAAGATTCGCGTTAACATATCTACGAAGTTTCATCGATTCGAAAGCCTTTTATAAAAATATTAAGGCATACGAATCGCAACAAAGAGCTCTTACAACTATTTTACTTCACTTGCGATCGTTCTGATAGCTGTTATCGTTATTGTGAACATAAAATTAAAATTTAGATTTACGGCGAAAATGTTCTCACTTTGTAAAGATGCAAAAAAGAGAGAAAGAGGAATCACGACAAAAGTCCTTTTGTAAATGGTGATATAGAACTTATTCAAATAACATCCCTATTTAAATGCTTAAACAAGTTATTGCTCGTTTCATCGATCATTGACAATTAGTATTTAAGTCTAAGTTAAAAAAATATATTCCAATATTTAATATTAATTTTATATTCGTGTCGCAAGTTATACATAGTCTAAACTATAATTTTATTGTTCAAAGTTCTTTACAGCAAGCGTCAGGAGCCAACATTGAGTTAAAAAAAATAAAATAAAAAAATTAGTATTGTATTTAAAAAATAACTAAAAGCCTGAAATTTATCAAAAAAATGCATTCTAATTTCTTTAAGAGTTGTTTCTTGAGACATTTGTTCCTCGCAAATAAAGTAGTAGAAATTCTATATCATTCTTGTTCTCAATCTTTTCTTCGATACTACATAAAAAATATTAAAATGCGATATTTATAAAACTCCGTCGTGACGTGGATAAGACATTATTTATTTTTGATGTTTATCTTTAAAAAATAATTCCAATAAATGTATTTATTCATTCGGCTAACAAAGAAATTTTTGCTACATATTTCTTTATCCTATATTTGAGATTGTACGATTATTATTTCTATTTTATGTGAGATATTTTCCGCCATATTTCAAAGGCATATTTCATTTATCGTGCATGACGAAGCGATACAGTTTGTATAAAGTGTTATTAAGTTAATAAATTGTTCCCATACATTAAAAAGTCGATAAATTATTACTTATATTACAAAAATAATAATTCTTTAATTTCTCAAAAAATTTTTTTTAAATATCATATAGATTTTAACTTAAATAGTCTAGTGTTACTACTATTTTGCATAATGATAGGATTTTAAATTAAAATATTATATTTTGTACAAATTTTAAATATATTCATGTATATCATTAATATAAATAATATAAAATAATATAAAAACAATAAATACATTAATTTACTATTAGTAGAATATAAAAGTTAAATTTTATAAAAGAAAATTTTGATTTAAATTTTCTATTTTTCTATTAAAATTTTTAAATAATAATATTTCTACTAAATTTTATAATTTCTATTAATTATATATTAATATAAATGTATTTATTCTTCAATTTCATTAAATTAATATTTCTTTGTTTTAATAATAAAAACTTCTTTTTTAATAAAAGGTAAAAGTCATTTTTTAAAAATCTTTACATTCATTAAATACATAAAAATTTATGTAAAAAATATTATATTTCATGCAATTTTGTCAGGAAAATTTAATGTTTTGTAAATTCTTTGCATATTTTTATAGTATACAACCTTCTGGAATAATCTTAAAATGTAAGCATACTTCTTGTAGTAAATTTTTTAATATCCTTGCCTGGTTCTCTGAACTCTGTAAATCCATATTTATTACAGTATAGAATTAAAATTTCTTTTTAATAATTTACTTTAAATAAATGTATTTTGAAATTGATTTAAAGAAACTTACCCCATTTATTATAACAGTTGGTATGAAAGAAATTCTTGGTATTAAAACATTTGTTAATTTTCCATATTCAGCCAAAAGTTCTTTACCTTTTTCTTCATTATAACACTTAAATATAGGATTATAATCTATATTCATTTTTTTTGCACAGGTTTCCATGATTCTTTTTGGTATCATATTATTTTTAATCATACAAGATAGATATTCTAATTTAATGGAAGAATTCTTTAAAATGTCTATAGAACATGCATGAATAATATTTGCTGCACATTCAATAGGTCCATGTTGACATTTAAATTCATATCCATCTTCTGTTTTCAATGTCTATAAAAAATTTAATTTAGATGAATAATTCTAAATATATATTTATTTTTATCTTTAAAAATAATAAATAATCTTTTAATTTAATTTAAAAATATTTGAATATGAAAATATTTAAATAAGTAAGATACACTAATCTATTGTTATTGAAATGAAAAATGAAAAATATAATAGATGACATATAATAATGACATATTATGATAGAATATTATTAAAATTATTTAATTATTATATATATTATTATTATATTATACTAATGTATAATAATACATAATATTTAAGAAATATATTGTTTAAAATTTTCTTTTTTTTTTATTTAAAGTATCTTACCATAGCTTTTCCATATGGTATAAATTCTATTCGTACATTATCTGGAATTCTGTGATATGTTGGTAATAACTGTTTTATGAAAAAACTGCGTGAATCTGGACATAGTGCTTCATAATAAATAGCTATGTGTACCTTTTGTGCATTCTTCTCTTCTTTTTGGCTTAATGTTACTGGTTGATTGTCCTGAAGCTGTGCTATACAAAACTTAGCAGATATCCAAGAAAATCGAGAAAGTTACATAATTATTTTTATTTTCATTTTTAAGCCATTGACATGAAAATTAAATATTTATATGTATAATAATAATACTTTATTTTTATAAAATTTATTTCATTAATTTTAATATATAATTTATTATTATAATTATGAAAATTATTTATATCAATATAAGTTTTACATATCGATTAACTACTTATTTAATATATATAATTTATAGTTATATAATAATAATGATTTATATGGCATTTAGAATTGAAAATTATAATTATTAAATTTTTAAATTAACATACTAATAAAATAATAATTAATTAATTATATATTAATTAAAACTAAAAATATCTTAAAAAATTAATTTTATAATATTTGTGAACATGGATTTTTACCTTTTATGCCAAATTTTCCTTGTGTAAAATTCAACCATATTTTCGAGGATTGCCAAAAAAGTAAAACTGACAGAATAATCAATAATATCTTCCATCGAAAAATTCCTAATCCCATTATCCGTAATTGTAAAAACAAAACTTAAAATGATGATAGAAAAATATAAAATTTTACTTGTAATAAAAGTTTAGTGCAAGAAGTCTATGGTATCGCATCACGATAAACATGGAAGTAAATTATTATTTTGTACTATCTATTCTTTAACTTGAATTATTATATATTTTATTATAGAAATAAAAGATATAATTGATACATGTAAAATAAAATTAACTTATATATATTACTAATTAAATATATTTTTAAAAATATTTTTTTTAATTTAATAATGATAAAAATATATATTAACAATTTAATAAAGAATCAAATTTTAATTATTTTTATATAATGTTTAAAATAATTTATAAATAATTATAATAATTTGCAAATTATATGTATTAAGCTTATAATAATCATACAATTTTAAATTATGTATAAAATAACTTAAATTAAATAACTGATAACCTCAAATATATCAATGAATAATTAAAATTATCTAAATATCATGGAGTACAAGAAACAAAAAAATATATTATTTTATAATTATTTTATAATTATACATATAAATAATATTATATATGAAAAAGTTAGTATTTAAAATTTAAATTTTTTAATAATGTTAAAATTTTTATAGATTTTATATATATTTACATTTATTTTTTATTAAATTATATTATAAACATTGGTATAATAAAAATTGTAATTATCTAAAATTATTTAAAATTATATATTATATGTAATTATTTATTTATTATTACAATTAAAAATAATATCAATTCTAATTATTTTTCAATATGTTCAAGTTCTTCTAAAAATGTTTTACACTTTCCTTTAAGTATCTTAATTGCTTCTACAAATAATACAGATGGTAATAATGTTCCCACTGATTCAATAGTAACTATAAAAGAAAAAACACTATTAATATATATAATATTCAAATAAATAATATTTTTAGACACAATATTTCAACTTACAGATAATATGATTTCTTATTCTACTTAATCGTATACATCCTTTGAGATCCTCATGCTGAAATACATTTCTAGAACAACTATCATAGCGAGGATTTTTTACTCTAGCTTCACGAGAATCTGGATCACCAGATTTATTCTCAATTACTTCTATAACACCTATGCTAAAACAATTTTTTAAACGATCTGCCATTTCTCCTTTTACTGGTTTTATTATTTGTATATCTGGTAATAGTCTGTATGATGCTGTAGCTAAAGAAAAAATATATACAATATTATACATACATACATACATATATATATATATATATATATATATCATATATTATATTACATATACATATGTAATATATATATATGTATATTACATATGTATATATATATATACAATATTAAATTCAAAAATATCATATATAATATAAATTATAAAATAATTTATATTATAAAATTTGATAATATATACTTTAGTAAATATCTAATACTTACCTACAGGAGAAAATTTAGCATGATCTTTCCCAATTCCTTTAACTGCATGCATAAAAGCATGAATTTCTTGTCCTGGACGCATTTTACATATTAAAATATCATTTTCTAAAACACCTAATTGTTCTGTTCCTCGAGGATAAAGTTCTGCTTGATGTCCAATAGGAACCCATTTAATATCTCTACTATATACTATAAATAAAATTATTTTTCTTTTTAAATTTTTACCATTTTTTTTAACTATTTACCATTTACCATTATTAAATATTTACCATTGCTATTTCTATACATATCATTTGTCCTTCGAGAATCTTTAGGTGCTTGAGAATTCCAAGTACATGATATTTTAAGTTCATATCTTAATGTATCTTGATCACTAACTTCATCTTGATCTTTAGCAATAGAGGAAGGATATTCAAATAATCTTGGATCAGCTCGAAGTGGTATTAAACCCAATCTTTAATAATAATATATGTTATTTTTAAACAAAGAGATAATTTTAAATATAAAAAATTACCTATGAGCTAAAACTTCATCTTGAATCAAACTTGTATTATTTACAATATAAACTTTTTCTATAGCCATGGTTGGTACTTCACTTAAAAGAACTCTACGAAATGCATTAGCAAACCCAACAGGATAACCTATTAAATCAAATTCTAATTCTCTATTATCTTCAGATTCTCGCATAACTTGTATTCTAAATTCCTAAAAATATAAATCAATATATTATGCAATAATTATAACATTTTCTATTCAAATTAAAAAGTGTACTTTTTTAAAATTATGTAAATTCCAATCCTGTTGAGGTTGATAATGTGTATATTCAGAAGCCTAAAAAATAAAATTATCATTAATAATTATTTATTTTAATTATAACTAATATATATATATATATATATATATATATATATATATTGCATATTATTTAAAATGCTTACATTTGGTATACCGTATTCTTCAAGAATAACACGAGATTTTCGAATTTCTTCCATTATTTTCTATTTGTTATAATTTGAGATTATATTTGAACATATAACCATATATTTCAAAGTTTGTGTTCCTCAATGTATCAAATATTGCTCAAATATATATTATTATATTATAAGTATTTATTTGTAAACATTATTTAATATTATTTAATATAGTATTTATAAATATTTATAAAATTCATTTTAATTGTGACTAAGAAAAGAATTATTATGTATAAAATATTAATACGAATATATAATTTAGTTTCGAATACATAAATTTGTAAAATAAGACTATAATATTTTACATTTAGATTAAAAGTTCATATAAATAATTTATAAGTATATAATACTTTTTCTTTTTTCACTTATATAGTTTGTAATTTACAAAAAGATTTTATGAAAATTTATAATATTAAAGTAAAAATTTGTATAAGTATATATATATATATATAGGAAAGAAAGAAAAGGATGATAAAAGAAAGGATTCTATATAAATGTCTTAATAGTAATTAATTTATTTATTTAGTAATTTTAGTAATTATTTATTTATTTATTTTGTTTTTGAATAAGATGTAATTTGATAATTTTTTTTCATTAAAAAAATATTATGTTCAACAGATTTTCTTCAATATATGTTGCTTAGACTTGTTCATCGAACAATGCGACTAATTTATATGCTTCACAATCAGTGTTTTTTGTTAATAACTCCGAAATTTGTTAACAAAGTAACGAAAGATTTTGGAAAGGAAAACGTTATTTGAAATTTTAAGAATTTTCAATTAATTGATGTTTTCACATTTAATTTTATATTATAATTTTATTAATATAATAATTTATAAATATAATATATGTAATATAATAATACAAAAGTTAATAGAATTATCCATTTTATTTGGCAGTTTTAATATAATATTATAAAGTATAGTAAATTATAATATTATAAATATTCCAATGAATAATTTAATTGGATTTGATTCAAATTAATTTTGAAATTGTGAATTTTTTTCTTTTAATAATGTATAATCACCAATGATCGATAATTGTGTTCTACTTCACAACACTATAATGTATTAATTTTTTCATAAATATTTTTTTTTTTTAATCCAAAGCAGCAGCACCAGAAATAATTTCAATCAATTCTCTAGTAATTACAGCTTGTCGAGTACGATTGAATGTCAGAGTTAATTTATCTATCATCTCTCCTGCATTTTTACTAGCATTATCCATAGCAGTCATTCGACTTGATTGTTCACTACAAGCACCTTCTTTCATTGAATAAAATAATAAAGAGGTTAGAGAAAATTCTAAGTAGCTTTGAATTACATTTTCATCCAAAGAATCATATAAAGATAATTTTGGTGCACTAACTATTGCATTTTTATCAAAAAGAGGTAATTGGTCAACGCTATATGATACCACAGATTTGAATCTATTATAAACAATACGACCAGAACCAAAACTATATCTGTAAATATTAATTTATTAAATATTATATATGTATAATATTATAAATATACAATATAATTATGTATACTAATAATAAATATACTAATTTACTAATTACTAATATATAAAATATATTAATTTGAAAATTAATTTGATATTTTGTATTAAATTAATAATAATACATACCCACTGTTCATGATTTCAATTGCTACTTTGGCAGCATCATTAAATGTAGGTGGTTTACGACCAACTTCAGATGCAACAAATAATATATTATTAGCAAACAATCGTGACAAAATTGCTCGTGATTTTTCACCAACACATATAATTTTTGTATTTTCACGTTCTTTGGGATCTGCTAAAAGAGAATCTCTAATATTACGAGAAACTCCAGTATGTACAGCACCACACAATCCACGATCACTTGTTATTGCTACTACAAGTTTTTTTTCATCTTCTGGCGGAGCTTGAATTTCAGCTTGTTCATAAAAGATTTTTGTGCCAACACCAAGAGGTCTTGCTTGTTTTAAATCTCTTTCTGCTCTATTATATTTAGCAGCAGATACCATTTTCATTGATTGAGTAATTTTCTGAATATTTTTTACAGATTTTAATCTTATAGAAATGGCTTTAAGAGTTGCCATACCACGTTGATGTTGCTGTTGTTGTTGTACAGCAAGTTGTACAAGTGTTTTCATATGATTAGAAAACATTTTGGAATTAAATATTCCTGTAAGTTTGTATTAAAAATATTATCTTATATATAACATATATAGTAAAATTCTTATTAAATTATTCTACATTTAATATTTATAAAAAATAACTTTAATAATGTAAAAATCAAAACTAAATAATTAAAATAATTAAATATATGATATTTATTCAGTATATGATATAACTTATTTATTAAAACTACAAAAATTATTTTCTTAATTATTATATATTTTCTTATTATTCTTAAAAAATATTTAAAAATGAAATATGATATATAAGAAAGTAATTTTTTTATATCTCAAAATTACTTTATTAAAAAAATCTAAGAAAAATAAAAAAAACCATTACATATTGTGTCATAACATATGTACATATATCACAATATATAAATTACGACTTTTAACATAATCTATCTATATAATATAAATAATTCAATTTTTCAATTTAAATAAATTAAAAATAATAAAAAAAAATAAAAACTATAAAATAATAATAAATAATAATAAAAGAATAATTGACTACTGAAAAATTTAAAGAAAATTTAACTTACCAAAGTTTTAAAATTTTAACGTTTGGAAAATAAAACAATAAATTAAAATAAGAGAAATAGATATCTTAATAAGATTATAATTAAGAAATAAAATAACAAAATATATTAAATAATATATATTTTTACCTTATTATTATTATATTATATATTTTTTAATTATATTTATTATACCATTATAATATAACTATATTAATATTATAATATTAACATTACATCAATTATTAATATTAATTTATTTAATATAATTTATTATATTATAAAATAATAATTGTTATTTTTAACAGTCATTTGTCTTACTAAGTTTTTGAGAATAACTATAAAATAAAAATTGAATATAAAACTAATAAAAATTAAAAAAAAATAAATAATATAATATTATATAATAATGTTAGTACAATAGTTAATAACAATATTATTGGTTATTTTTTAATAAGAATTATCTTTTAGTAGAAAATATTATCTGATTTATATAATCATAATGGATACTATTTAATTATATTTGGAATTAATTTTCTTTATTGAATATTTACTTTTTGTTATTCATTTTTTTATATAGTAATTTATTAAAATAACTATTTTACGTTTTATTTATTACATATACTCACCACACGATTTATTACAATATGATAAAAAATGAAAAAATTATGTCAAACAAGATAGAAATGATCATAAGACATGAAGTCACAGAAAGTGATATAGATACCTATACATATATGCGTATAAGTTCTACTAAAGACGATCGATAGACAAGTGCAAAAATATCTTTTAGGATCTAGGGAATTTATTATATATTACTAGTTTATTATAAATTATGAATTTTTTTTTCTTAACATTTTGTATTTATGTATGTATATATGATCTCAAATAAAATTTTGTTTCTAACTTATATTAATATTATTAAACAAAAATCAAACTTGCATGATAGCATTTTATTTTTTATATTTATTTAAATTTTATTAAATAATTAAACAAAGTAAATTGATAATTTTTTAAAAACATTCTTTGCTATTAGATTAATAATATATTAGATTAATGAAATAACAATAAATATTATATTTGGATCATTTAGGTAATTATTATAAGCATACAAAAAAAGTTAATTTATTTGAAATTTTATTTTATTTTTGTTATATAATTTGTTTTATTTAGTATATAAATTTATCATTTTTATTTTTTTTAACATTAATTATTATTAAAATTATTTATAAAACCAAAATAAAAAATAAATTGTTTTAAAATATATAATCCATTCATTTGCATATATTTATATATACATATTTGCATGTTAACAATATTTTCACAGTTTTAATTTTTTTAAAGAATAATTGTATTATTAATGATATTTACAGATATGATCAAAATTCAAATAAATTTTATAATTACATTAATCTGCTTTTTTACTTCCTCGTGTTTTCCATGCTATTAAAAGATTCCAAGAAAAAAACAAAGAAAAAGAATGAACTTGTGATGCTAACAGAATAAATGCATACCATAACAATCCATATGGTAGATCCTAAAAATAAATTTTTATAATTTTGAATAATATTTTATATTAAAAAATTTAATATTTTAATAATATAGAATAATTTATTTATTTCCAATTATTTTATTTAAATTTATACCTGCCAAAAATGAATTTCATCTGTTTTACCAATAGTTAAATATTTCCAAACATCCTTAAAATAATAAATAAGTGCATAAAGTAATGGACCATATCCTAATAGAATGATACCTATCATATATTGTTTTAATGTTTTAATTTTATTTTTTTTAATAGCAGATAATGCAAGAAAATTTAAAATTAAACTTGTACACCAAATATATTCCCACCATAGAGGCTATAAGAAAAAAAGATATTAATTCAATATTTTATATTAAAAATCATATTAAAAATTATATACCTGTGGTACTTGCAATTCTTCAATTTCCAAAATGAATATATCCAAATGATCTAAAATATCAGCTTGTAATTTGGCAAGCATAACAAAGAAAAGAAGATAATGAAAAAATATACAATATTTCAGTCTTGATTTATTTGTTGCACTAAAAAAAATATATATTTTAATTTTTTAATTAAATTCTAATAAAAATATTTTATTTTTAATCATTGTTCTTTCATCACTTTATTGATATTAATTTCTAAAATATTAATATCAAATAATTTTTAAAATGAAAAAAAAAATCTTATATATTATTTTTATTATGTTTTAATTACCTGATTTGATAGTGACTAGCAATTTTTTGTCTATGATTAAAATCACTTCCATCTGTACCCAAAGCTTGAGATAGTGTAACTTTTGAAGCCATATTTTGAAATTATTATGACTAAGATGTAAGAATCACGTATTAATTTTAATAATAAATATTTATATATAAACAATTTTCAAGCTGCAATTCACGATAAACTATTCGGTATTTCATTACCAAATATTTAACTATTTTTAAACTTTTAGAAGCTCTGTTAGTAGTCCCATGGGTCACGGATCTGTGCAAATGTGTCACTTTTATTAAGTCACGTTTTCATTTCATAAAAATTGAATATCGTTTTTGTTGATTTTCTTTTTATATTATTTTTATAAATAAATATTTTTAATTACTATAATATATTATTTTTTATTTTTCAAAAATATATAAATCAATGATACATAAATACAATTTAAAAATTTAAAAAATTATATATAATTATTTAATATATGGATAAATAAAACAAAGTAAAGATTATCATTATAAATATTATTTTCACATTTATTTAATTATATAATCATTTATTATATTTTTAAAAAATTTATAAAACAAATAATACAATTTGATTTTGTGCAAAATTATATATTATACATTATATTATATATTAATAATTTATGTATGTATGTTTATATATTATATAATTTATTTTTGTGAGTATTTTTGTGTGTGTATTTGTATTGTATTGTATTTGTATATTAATTTTTTATTATAATAATAAGAGAAAAATGACAGCTGCACATAATAAAAAATATATATTTTATACATATATATTCTATACCTATTGATATACTTATTGATATAGTACTTACAGTTTTTATTTTGATAAATTTATATGTAAATTTGAACACGGGTATGAGAAAATGATATAATTTTAAATTTGAAACAATAATTAAAATTTATTTAAAATGTTGCAGAATATTAAAACAATATAACATCGTAAAATATATTAAAAAAACATATTAAAAAAAATTCAAATTTATATTGTATAAAATTTTATACATAAAAATTTATGTATAAAACAATGCGTATAAAATATAAATGTATAACAATAATATAATATAAAACAATAATTTCTATTAATTATATTATTATAATTATATTATAATATTAATTATTATATTAATAGCAAATAATGAAATTTTTATATAATTATGAAAATATTAAATTGACATATAATTTAAAAATTATATTATTTTAAAAATTAATATAATATAATAATATTTATATATATATATTATATAATATATTAAATAAATAAATTAATAACATCATATAATATAAAGTGGAACATAAATTATTATATTATTAAATAAAAATAAATCTTTTATATTTTTATCAAAATGAGTTTTAATAAAGTAAAAGAATTCATAGAAGAAGGAGATGTGGTAATTTTATATTTAGGACCTAATAATATGCATTCTTTAGAAATCAAACCAAAAATATTCAATAAAAAAGGTAAAATGGTTGATAACATTTTTCAAACAATTTATGGAGCACTCAAAGTATTTTCTCTTGTGGGACAAAAATATGGAACTAAGATACAACTTTCTCGAGGATGGGTATATGTATTACAACCAACACCAGAACTTTGGACATTAACAGTTCCACATAGAACACAAATTATTTATAGTCCTGATATAAGTTTAATTATGTATTTAATGGATTTAGCACCAGGAAGTATAATTATTGAAACAGGTTGAAACAAATATTATTGTCATTTATTTACCAAATATTTGTTTGCTTTAATTTTAAAAATATTAAATTATATAATAAAATTTTGTTAATATTATCTGTAATACATTAAATTATATTAAAGTTTTTACTATTATCTTATTTATTATTAATTTTTTTTTATATTTCATTACTTCATTAGGTACTGGAAGTGGATCTCTTTCTCATGCTCTTATTCGTGCAATTCGTCCCCATGGCCATCTTTATACATTTGATTTTCATGAGGAACGTGTAAATGTTGCTCAAGCAGAGTTTAAAAGACATGGACTTGATAAATTTGTAACTTCAAATTATAAAGATGTTTGTATGGAAGGATTTGGAAAACAATTAGAAAACAAAGTGGATGCAATTTTTTTAGATCTTCCATGTCCATGGTTAGCAATAGATCATGCAGTATGTACTTTAAAAAAATCAGGTATAAATTATAATATTATTTTAATATTTATTTTTTATATTTATTTTAATTTATTAATATATTTTATAATGTTAATTTATTAATATATTATTAATAAATTATATTATTAATATAATAAATATAATTAATTGTAAATAAATGATGTTTTTAATTTTATTTTATTTTTAGGTGGAAAATTATGTTCTTTTTCTCCTTGCATTGAGCAAGTTCAACGTACTTGTGCAAAATTGATATCAAAAGAATTTATTGAATTGAATACATATGAATGTTTACAAAGAGAAGTAAATGTACAATATAGAAATCTTTCTATATTGGAATTGGAATGCTTAAAACATGAGGTATATATAATAAATACAATATATGAAATTTATATATGATAGAGCATAAGTGAAATCTTCATTTATTAAATTATTTTTCATTTAATTTTCATAAAAAAGAATTATATTATAGTGTAAATAATATGTTCTTTATTTATATCTATATTTTATATTTTAAATAATATTAAACTTTAAAAATACTAATATAATGTTTTTAAATTATTTAGCATAAAGATGAAGATATAGAACAACAAAATAAAAATGAAAAACAAGAACAAACAAAATTGCTAACGGTAACGCATGCTCGTTCTTTACCTGGTCATACAGGATTTATTACAATTGCTACATTACCTCCATTGTATGCACGAAAGTTAGAATTGAATTTAGAATCCAAAAATTAAAAAAATTTTAAATTGTTACAGAATATTAAAAAAATTATTTTACTATATAATATTAAAACTTATTTTTTTCCATATAATTTCAATTCTAGACAAAATAATTTTTAGTAGATTTTACGAATGATTTATAATGAATTAAAGTAATGAAATAAATATTTATCAAATTAATTTTTTACTTGTATTAATGATCTCATTAAAAATATAAAATATTTTATGTTTCTGTCTTGCTAGGATTCCAGGATAAATAATCAACTCGTGTGGCTGCTTGATATTCTTTTACCAAATATTCAACAACTTCTCTAGAATTGTCCAATTCATTTAAATTATCTTCAAACATTTTTTCTTTACGAAATTGTTCTAAGAATGCTTCTCGTTTTCGTAATTTATCATACTGTTGTAAGGCACGATCAAATAACTGAAATGTGTATATATAATATTATAACTATAACATTTAATATTTAACAATTATCTCATACGTAAATATAATAATTATTAAACAATTTTAAAAACTTATATTTAATAATTAAAATAATTCAGTGTTTTTAATATAAAAATATTTTTATATCTTACTGATGATATATTAGTATGATTAGCTAACATTAAACCAGATACTCTGTGTGCTGTTTGGATATATGGCGATTTTCTTGAAAGAGCTACTTGTATGCTAGCAGGACCCCAAGGTATAAATTGTGCAAGTTTCCTTTCTCTGATTCTTTGCAAAGATTTATGAACTTGAGTTGGATCAACTTCACCCTAAAACATTGTACTTATTAAATTATTATTTTATATATCTATAATAATTTAAATTAATTATAAATTATTTTTTTTATTAATTTAATATTAACTTTTATTCTTGATTTTAATATTTTGAATGAATAAAACTTACTTGAATGATATTTAAAATGGATATATAACAATGAGATGCATTTCTATCTAATGCTGTAGAAACCATCATATTTTTTGGTTGTAATAAACGTCTCATTACATCTAATACAGAAGTTTTTCTTACAGAAGCTCCCTATTAATCATTAATTAATTATGCATTAGAAATCAACAAAATTTTTCAAAATGTTTTATCAACTATATCTTCTTCTAATTTTTAATTTTATTATAAAATATTTATTTTAAAATAAAAAATTATGTTATGTATTTATGAAATATTTACTTCTTGATCTGTAGTAAGAGGAGTATAACCAGTCATAAGAAAATGTAATCTTGGTGTTGGTATTAATGGTGCAATTAAACCAACTAAATCATTGTTCATATAAGAAGGATACCTAATATTACATGTAAATTAATTAAAAATTGAATAACTTTTAAAAGTCAATGTAACTTTTCAAACAAAATAAATGTAAATGATACACTACCGAAGTGTGGTGGTACTAACAGACATTATTGTAGAAACAAGTTTATTAATTTGTGTAAAGCTAGGATTTTGAATATGAAGTCTATCTGATGCTATTCTATTAAGTGCTGTGTTATCTAAAACAACAACACAATCAGCACATTGTGTCAGCCTTTTTAAAGTTAATAAAGAATTATATGGTTGTACTACTACATCACTGAAAAAAATTTTCTCATTATATTTTGTATGTTGTTATTAAAATTAAATGTACATTAAATGTATTATTTTAATTATATAATATAATTTCAATACCTTATTTCATCTTGATTTGGAAAAACACTATATGTTTCAATTAATTTTTTTGGAAATCTATCTGCAAGAGATTCTAGCATAAATGAACCCATACCTGAACCTGTTCCACCTGCAATAGAATGACATAAAACAAATCCCTGTAAATAAAAATAATATTATAAATTAAGTCAATCAATTTAAATAAAATAATTGTGCATACCTCTAAACTATCACTTCCATCTGCTTCTCTATCTAAAATATCAAAAATTTCTTCTTGTAATTTCTCTCCTTGATGATAACCAGATGCCCAATTATTTCCAGCACCACCTCCATGTTTTGATAAATAAATATTCTCCGGATTATATAACTTGTAAAAAATAATGTTTATAGTAAATATATATTTTAATAAAAACATGAAATTAAATAATATTAAATAAATTTATAGAAATATAATAATAAATACCTTTGAATATGGAGAATTCATAATTGTATGAATTACTCTAGGTTCTAAATCTAATAATACTGCTCTTGGTATATAATGTTCATCATCTGATTGATAAAAAAATACATCTTTTCTATCAGTTCCTTCTGTTGCATAATCTTCTAAAATACCTTCTGGACTAATACCATGTTCTGCGCATAACTTTTTCCAGAACTCAAATCCAACTGAAAATAATAATTATTTCATTTTTTTTATTTTTCTAAAATAATAATAAAATATTATAATATATTTTATAAATATATTCTTAAAACAAAACTTTAGTTTTCTATTTTTATAATGAATATTACAATTCTAAATATTTTCTAAATAATTTTTAAATATTTTAATAAAAAATATTAAATATATCAAAGATTATTTTATTAAAATAAATTAGTGAAATAATAAATATTAGAAATAATTAAAAATATTTTATTTGATAATAATATATCGATAAAAAAAAACATTTTATAAAATATTATATAAAAATATTTTTATAAAATTATGAATTATACAATTACTTACTTTGATTGCCACATTGACCAAGTTGTAAAGTTATCATTTCACAAGGCATTTTAAATTTGTTATTTTATTCTTATCTTGAACAAATTATATTTATTTAACTTTAATTTTAGCGCGATGAACCTTTAATTTGATTAATATTTCACGTTATCATTTCATATTATAAATATATTTTTTACAAATATTTTATTAATATATAATATATAATTATTTAAGTTATATAAATTAAAATATATTTAAATCTAGATAATAGAATTATATGCATATAAAGAATAATAATATTCGAGTTATTGCAATTATATTATATTATAGATGGTGCTATGTTAAGCTATGTAATGTCTTTGCTTAAAACTTCAATCAATTTAAAATTGTAAGCAAAATTTTCATAAGTAATAAATTTAAATTATAATATAATAATATAGAAAAGAAGATTTTTAAATTATTTTGAATAATTAATATTAGAGAGAGAGAAAAATTATTTTGTAAATATATTTAAAAAAAATAATAATTTTTATATTTAAAATAGTACAAAAATAAATTATATATTAAGTTAATCAAAATTATTTTTTTATTTTTATTCAATTATTGAAATTATTTTAAATTCTAATATATTGTAGTTACAAATGATTACATGAAAATCAATGTTATTTCAAAAGCTACATTTGCATGATATACAATAGAAAGCGTTGCAAATCAACTAAGCTAGTATATGCACTTATTTTTTTCTATCCATTCAACCTTTATGTCATGTTGTGACAATGTGTACTTTCAATTTAACCTATTAAGATAAAAATTAAATTTATTTTAAGTCTTCGCATTCTTACATAAATTAAAATGTAAGTATTATTTTGTTATATTATTTAACATGGCATTACTTAACATGGTTATTTAATTTATAATTTTAATATATTATGGTTTTAATAATCTATAATTAATATAAAGAATAGAGAATAATTTAAAAATATGATGCAAAATTATTTTTTTTAAATTATTTCTCAATATAATGAAAATAATTCTTCTATTTATTTTTATAAATATCTTGATTTTTTAAAGAATATTTAAAACATTTAAAATCATTAAAAAATTAGTTACTTACTTTATACAATATTTTAATTAATTGATACATATATATTTTAAATTAAATTATTTTTACCATAAATATGATTTTATGTTTTTAATAATAAAAATTTTTCTATAAATGACAATATTAACTTTTAACAGATGTCTGGAAGTAAGTGTCGAAATTGTGGATCTACGGATATTGAGACAGATCCAGCTCGGGGAGATGCAGTCTGTACAGAATGTGGATTTGTATTAGAAGATCAACTCATTGTTAGTGAAACAGCTTTTAAAGAGACACCATCTGGTAATATGATGGTATTGGGTCAATTTGTTGCTAATGATAGTACTGGAGGAGCTACAGGATTTGGAGCAAGTATGTTATCATAAAAAATATGATTAAATATTACTTATTCTATATATATTTTTTTCTCTATATATATTTATTTATTTTTTATAAAATTCGTTTTAAAAAATTAAATTTAATAATTTTTATATTTATAGCATATCATGTCAATGGAAAAGAATCAAGAAAAATAACATTGCAAAATGCAAAAAAAGGAATAACTCATTTATGTATGCAATTACAGTATGTAAATTTTTTCTATTTTTTATAAGAATATTATTATATTTAAATTATTTATTATTCTTTTTATATAATTCATAAAATATTGTATATCCTGTATATTCTATTTTTTTAATAGATTAAACCAACATTGTATTGATACATCTATGAATTTTTATAAAATGGCATTGAATCGACAATTAACTCGTGGAAGGAAACAAGCACATAATCATGCAGCTTGTGTTTATATTACTTGTCGTACAGAAGGCACTGCACGTATCCTTTAAATTTTAAAAAGAAAAATAAGATCTTATAATTATATTTTTAAAATTTATTTTTGTTAATTTATATCTATTTTTAAATATAAAATATTTGGTTTAATATGAAATCTTTTTAATATATAATTTCAATTTTTTTTAAATATGATAACTTTTAAAATTAGATTTATACTTAACTAAGTAATTAGATATGCTTATTGACATCAGTGATGTTCTTCAAATTTGTGTTCATGAATTGGGACGCACATATCTAAAGTTTACACAAGCTCTTTGCATCAATATACCTTCAGTAGGTGAGCATTTTATAAATTTGCATGATACAAACTTTTTTTATTTTTCTTTTTGCTATGACTCAAAAATAGAATATTATTTTATAAAAATAAAAATCTTTCAATATTATTTTATTTTTTATATTAAATGCATTAAATACATTTTGTAGTGATATTTCATATCTAGTGCAATAAAATAATGATAAATAATTTAGAAAAATCGATATAAAAAAATTTATATTTAATTTTTATAATATCTATTTTTATTTCTTAATAATCTTAGGTAGATTATTGTATAATTATTTTTCATGAAATTTTACTAGTTAAAATTACAATTTTTTGATGAAAATTTTATGATTTTTTAATTTTATTATTGAATTTAAATTGATATATTATATTATAAATACATAATAAATAAATACATAATAATTAAAACTAAACAATTTAAAATTTTTGAAGTTACTATAATTATTATATAGTTAATATAAATTTTTATATTTTTATATTTTTATATTATTATATAATTAATATAAATTTTTATATTTTTTTTATAAAATAAAAAAATTTTTTAAAATAAAATTTGATTTAGGATAATTAAATTAATTTGCTTTATTTTTCAAATATAAATTTTTATAAATTATTTTTAACAAATATTAATTAATATTACATTTATTAGTTTTTAAAATAATAAAATTAAACAAATAATTTCTTATGCATATTATCATTTTATATTATATTAAATTATATTATATTAAATTAAATTATATTATATTATATTATATTAAATTAAAATTTAATGATCAATAATATTAAAATTGTTTTCAATATTTGTTTTGTTTTCAGTTTATTTAAAAATAATGTAATATATCAGTCAATTCTATTATAATAGTAATTCAAAAGTATTAAAATACTTTATGATATACTTTATATATATATATATATAAGTATACAATATAAGATCACTATTTTTATATAAGATTCTTATATAAGATATTTATTTAGATTTATTGCTTATATAGAAATTTTCAATTACATTTTTCATACCTTAATATTTAATATATAATATTAAATAATGAAATTTTAAATAGCATTAAAAAATTTAAATTAAAAAAATGAAACTAAATATCTTACTTTATTAATAATAAATTAATAATTTAAATTCAAATTAACTATTCACTTGAACATTTTAATATTATTTTAAAACATATAATTGATATTCATTTTTTTTAAATACCAATTTTAAACTAATTTATATTCAAAATTTATTTATTATTTTTTTTTTTTTTTTGGCACTTGCCAATCATGCTAACAATAGGAAGGCATTGTTTTGTACATTTTATTATTATTGAAATATTGCAATTCATTGTACTTTTTTAAATAGTAGTTACTATTTTGTATTTGATGCCAGATTCTATGGCATTATTAAATACAATATAATGTTTACTTTAAAAAAAATGATAATTATAGTTATAATATAATTACTTATATTATATGTATATATTTTATCTTGAAATTATAGAATTTTTTTTCTATTTTTTTTAGGATTAGGATTAATTAAGATTAAATTATAAAATTATATAAATATGTTTGAAATATTTTAAAATGTTTATATGAAATATTGTGATTTTTATTGTATATAAAAATGCTATTTTATTTTAAGGATCTATGCTTAAATATTTCTTTCAATAATTTAATAATCATCTTTTGCAATATATTAATACTTAAGAAGTTAAAGAGGAAAATAAAATATATATTTTCTTTTTTCCTTATTGATATAATATAAAAAATAAAATAATGATTAAATAGAAAACAAATATTGTTGTTCATAGGCAGTTTCAATCATAATATTATATTATACATAGATTAAAATTATTTTTCATTAATTGTGGCATGTTCTAAAATACGCGAATACATCGAATAAAAGTAAAAACAATATAATCTTCTTTCATAAAATGACGCTCTACATTGTTCATTTTAAATTATTTTTAAATTATTTTAAAAAGAAAGTTATCATATATATATTTTTTCAATTGAAAATTAATTAATTGTGATAACAATATAGATTCAAAAATTAATTGATCCTTGTATATTTTTTTATATCATTATTAACAATAATTTTAAGATAGTAAATCCTTTTAAATAGCACTTATTAACTTTCTCAATTATTTTCTATTAATTTAAAGATCATCTTTACATTTTTTTTTCTATATGTTATCTAACAAATATTTTATATTCTTCAGTTGTATATTTACAAATAATGCATCAAATACTTATTATGCGAAAAACAATTTTTTTCGAAAAAAAAAAAAATAAATAAATTAAAAAATACGTGAATATGTAAAAATAGTAATAGACACACTCTCTTCTATAAAAAATATTAATTTAAAAAATTTAATTTTAATTTAAATATATTTATTTTATTAATTACCAAACAATATCTTTTATACTTTTTAGTTTTATTATTAGTTTTGATGTATAAATAAATATTATTTTATGTATTATATTTTATTTTTGTTTTATAAAAATAAGTTTTTAAGAAATCATTTATATTTTGCATTTAATGTATTATAAAACAAAAAATTTAATATAAGTAAAGAAATTATTATTTTTTAAATATTAGATAAACAATAACAAGAGTTATAAAATTATAATAAAAAAAACTATTAACTTTTTTTTATGAATTATTCACATATTAGGATTCTATATTAAATTTAAAATATAAATATTTGATATTTAAGAGTGTCTCTATTATACAAAATTCGTCATTGATTTAAAAATTATACGCAAATTAACAATTATATAAAATATTGAACAATGTTAAGGTACATGTTTTTAGAGACCATCAGTTAAACCATTATTTCTGTAATAAATTTCCATCAGTCATCTACTGGCGGTCCATAAAAAATTAATTCGGGTATTTGTCCGCCCTGTACACCAGTACCATTCGTACTTTCCGAACTGCATTGAAATTGAAAGTTTACATTACCAACTGTTAT